AGACATTCATTATATGCAAGCCTGATCACAACAAAATAAATTTCAAAATCTATTTTCCACATTGTATTATCCCTAGGACATGTACGAAACACTTTGCTAATTTTTTTGCTTGTACCTCTGACATTTTTACGACTGACATTTTTTCCTCTGACATTTTTACGACTGACATTTTTACCTCTGACATTTTTACCTCTGACATTTTTACCTCTGACATTTTTACCTCTGACATTTTTTTCCTCTGACAATTTTACCTCTGACATTTTTACCTCTGACATTTCTACCTCTGACATTTTTTCCTCTGACATTTTTACCTCTGACATTTTTACCTGGCACCGTCTTTCTACTGGCAAAATGCGGAACATCATTTTGCCCCTGCATTTCTTCGTTTTGAGAACGGCTCATCGTTTCATAAACTTTAGCCTCCGCCCCAAGGTTATTTCATGTCGTGATGAACAAACCTATAGTCACCATTAGCTCAGGATACACCCCCCTCCCCCAAATTCTGTTAATTTTCTGTTAATATATTTCCAGAATCTCTCATCATATTGAGTGTCTTGTAACATAGAAATAATGTTACCATCTAGATTATTTTCCTTGTTGATGTGTTTCATATAATTTCAATCCAACACTTTTGTCCAACAGTGTCTGCTTTTTTCTTTCTTTCCAGGAACCCTACTGGTGCTAACCACCGTGGTCTGTTGGTCACCGTACTGTATCGTTAACACTTGTCTCGTATCGATCCACGTCCCCCATTGGATGGGCGTGGCCACGGTGTGGCTAGGCTTCTCCAACTGCCTACTCGACCCTCTAATCTACTCGTTTATGAATAGACGAATTAGAGCCCATTACCGTGACATGTTCAGACGTTGGTCAATTGGATTGAATACAGTGATTAGATGCAACTCCGGAGAAGCATGATTTTTTTTCTACATGAAAAGTATAACCATTTCGTCGTGGAAACTCGGCTAAGGGCATAATATTTTAATTAGCCTTGTTCAGATATGGAGCGGAATTTATCATCAAACTTTATGAATAGACAGTTGACCTATAAGTCATGATTATAGCCTATACTGTTTAGAATGGAGATAATTATATTATCCTATATTTTGTTTTTTAAAATGTACGATCGATTTACAGGAAATGATTATTATTTTTACGAGACATTTTGGTTTCATTGAATGAAAGAGATGGAAAAGCAAAAGACACACTCCGACTCTTAAATTCTAAAACGGAGTTGTTACCAATGATTTGGAGATCGAAACTACAGTCCCACCAAAAACCTAACGGAAACCTCAATATCTGTTTTCTGACAAAGCAATTAATTTTGTCTCTTTCATAAACTATCACCTCTCTTTCTTCATTATTTATGTCGTTTAGCAATGTGAGATTACGATTAGTTCATTTCCGAAATATGTGTGTCGGCCACAATACAAATCAAGATCTTATGCATAATTTGGAATTGGCTAAACATACACGCGTTTTAGGTCTATGTTGTTTTTGTATCACTCGATCTATATGCATTATTATACAATACTCCTGGTTTCTAATTGGACGATTTGTTCATATTTTTATTCAAGCCAGGGTCGAAACGTGCAAATGCTTGGAAAAATCAACTGACCAGCCAATAAATGAATTAATTAATGAAATAAATAAATAAATAAATGGATAAATGAATTTGAACTTATAATTAAATAAAACAAAACCCAACAATCAGATGTTTTGCTCTCAGTTGCTTTCATGACCCATATAAACGTATCCAGCAGGGACGTGTTTGAGTTTGATGTTTATTTATTTTTTCCATGTATATACATCGTCACACATAATTTGATTTGTAACATAGTTATATGGTCGCATAAACTCATACATTGAAAAAAAGGTGTTGCCACGAGCACGGCTTGAGCTTACGTTCTGTTGTTCAAACTCTGAAGGTGGGGCAGATTCTTACAGACCGCGAAGGGGCGGGGCGAGGGTGGGGGGGGGGGGGGGTAGCTATCTGAGTTACTAAAGGCAGCCCTCCTGTTGTATCGCCTGTTTCAGGATATATCGGAGTCTCAGTGAGTTTATTCAAAGCCTCCTTTCGTCCGAAGTCTATTTATACGATTCCGTGAAGTTCAGTAGATGACACATCAGTCAGTGGCAATGAGGACGTGTCAATAACAGTATAGGTCTACTCCCCATGGAATACATGGAGATGGTATTCATATTTATGTACTTTTCGCAAAAAAACCTTTCGAAAAAAAAATAGTAAACCCAAGGTATTTTCAACCGGCTTGTACGTTATATGTCACCTGGTGAATTTGCGAACATGACGGGGACATATTACGTGTTCTGAAAATGATTTCTGAAAACAACAGTCTTCGGCATTGCTCTTAGTTGGTTTCTCAAAAGCAGGGAGTGGTTCTCAAAAATTAGATTTTTTCCCTTAGGGGTGGGTTTGGTGGTCTGGGGTTCTAACATTGATTTTTGACATGTGCGTCGATTATTTGTCATTTATAATCGAGAAAATTGACGGGGTGAGAAATTAGGGGTCGGCTTGAAACCCCACCCTCTCTCGAACCGCCCCTGCTCAAAAGTCCTTTAGATCCCTTTTTATACTATGGATTCGGATGATAGGGTTATAAACCTAGGTAGAATGGTAAATGATAGAGCGAGTAAAATGGGGGGGGGGGGGTGGTGGAAGGGCCATCAAGAAAGGATGATTTTGAACGAAAAGGAAAAAATCACAACAGACGGTCTGGCTGTCCCACTATACCAGTAGAAAAAGAAACTGACATGAATTTACATTTATTGAAATCTAAATAATGATCTCCTACATCTCCTATCGAAGCTACAAGTAGCTGATGCACAGATGGCGCCCTTTCAGTTAGATAGATAGATAGATAGATTGTTTATTGGTTTCCACAATATCTCATTTTTCAAAGAGTGTAACAACATATTGAAAATGATTATAATATACATGTACATACAATACCGGTACACACTATTCAGAATATTGTCCATTAAGTTGAACTTAAGAGATATAATGGCGGAGCCTATGGAAAAGCAGAGCTTGTTGTGGATAGGCTCCTTAAAATACAAATGACATGATTAGCTAAAGTAAAGTTTATAAAATACAAATACACGCTAAAACAGGGAAAGGGAAATTACAGGGATACATGAACCGATACACACAATTAACTACAAAAGACAAGGAAAAGGGAAGAGAATATATCTGCAGCTTATTAAAACAATATTACAGTATAGTTTGTTCTCGATATGAGTATATTATAAACATAGTTGGCATGGTCATACCGTCATTTACTCATTGTGAACAAATAATGAACAAAAGTATACAGCTTGGAGACAAGAATAGTCAGGAATTTAGGAATGACAACTAAAACCGGTTTACTCAGTTATGCATTATCATTGAAACCTTGCAACACAAACTTAAGATTATGATCTTCAATTTGTTTTTTCATTTCTATGGAAATATTTGAATAAAAATGAATACATATCGAAGATTTTAGTGTTTTGTTGTTGTTGTTGTTTTTGTTTTATCAGAAATATTACAAATTACTGGAAGAGTGTTCTAAAAAAATAATAACATGACGATATTATCTTCTGCAAACAGAGTAAAAATGCATATGTGCAAAATCGCACTTCACCTTTAATACTTTAGCTAGTTGCATTCGCGTTCGCAATTTTGAGCGGCAGGTACGTTTTGGAATAACCGAATTCCATCCGCTACTTCATGTATAATTTTAAAGGGATAGTTGAGTTATGTTTTCAGACCGCAAGTGCCTTCAAAGTGCATGGTTATTGCTCTTATTCTTATCTATGACATTTCTAGTGCCCTTTTAGAACCTAAAATTGCTATGAAGGTAATTTTAGACCCCAAAATGTGTGAAATTTAGCCAATACGATCATACCAAATTAGCTCCACTTTAAAAAAAATATGGTGACCGTTAATTAATTATTTAATTAAAAATAACAATACATGGGCCGGCTGGTTGTGCGTAATATGACCAACACGAAAATGCCAACAAAAAAGCCAACATCGGCATTGGCTGAAGTACGACGTAAAAGGCGCTATTTCGTTTTTTCAACGGCTTTTTCAAATTATCTAATATTTGTGGTGGTACACAAGTATTAGAAATCGTTATATTTATGAATATTTCAGACGTTTCTGAACCGATTTTGATCAAACAAAGATGATTTTGTCATTTGAATTGTATGTTCTTTTAAATTTGACACTCAGTTTTTTCTTTATCTCACCAAAAAAATATTTGTGTAGCGCCCTCTGCAACAGAACTCAACTATCCCTTTAATAAAGTGGTTGGCAATATCGACATTATCGTAGACTTTGTTTTAACATGTTTTAAGTTAGGAACTTCCATAGGCTGGTCTTTGCAGCTTGTTCTTTTCGTTGTCAACACATTATTGTTCTAAATATTCTATAATCATTCCAATAAAGAAATAAAATGAGATATAATCAAAACTCATCTCAATGATAATGCTCTACATTATTAGGCCTATATATAATTGTCATCCTCACTACTGCAACATTGTGTGCAAGGAGCACCGTCTTTTTAGCATGCCACACAGCTTAGAAAAACTACAAACATGATCACTGATAACAAGTTAGTGAACCCTACTCTGCATTGTCATGTCATTTAAACAGCAGCATAAGCGAGCCGCCATTATCACCAGCCGAGCCTCCTGCAAATCGGCTACAGTCATGGCAGCAATGTGCAATAGCAGGGCCTCGAGAGACAGTGCATGGATGAAAATGGAAGGTGGCTGAAATACGGCGTAAACGGCGCTATATCGTTTTTTCAACGGCTTTCTCAAATTATCTAATATTTGTGGTGCTACACAAGTACTAGAAATCATTATATTTATGGATATTTCAGACGTCTTTGAACCGATTTTGATAGAACAAAGATGATTTTGTCATTTGAATTGTATGTTCTTTCAAATTTGACACTCAGTTTTTCATTATTTTTTTTTGTTTTAACTCAACTATCCTTTTAAGGAATATATTAGTAACCATGCACTACAACACAGTTTAGACGTTACTTGTGTAAACTCAAAGGGGATTTAGATGCGGATAGTGATTTAATTCATAGAACTGTTGATGTGTTCCTATTCGTTTTGTGATCGACAATGCATCGGCTTCCACAACCAGCCGTTGAAGCCGCTCAACGCCTGCCCTACCCCCGGTGTTGCATGGTTCGTTGAAACTAGTTCAAATGCCGACACAATGTTCTTTGTGTTGATATAGGAATCGCTAACTTTTATTGCAGAAAATATCTTCATCAATGATTTATTTGTACCAGATGAGTATTGATAAAACTGTAATTGACAAGTATAAACCATGTACCTGTACCCACCACCCATAAATTATGATAATCAATACGTTACCCTCGCATCTCATTATTATCTTACCCGCATACAACTGTCAATAATGACGATATGTTTTCTCCTAAAGTCACTCTAATTTGAATTGTATTATTGCCTTGAACCCGAATAGGTTCATGAATCTGGTTATGTTTATTATTATAATATAATTATGCAAGTACTGTTCTTTGAAATAAAGAAATTATTAGAACAACGAGAATTAAATCTTATGCCTCAGGAGAAAGATATGTGCAGTCGTCCCCGTGGTAAACTCGAACGCGTTGGGTCGTCGGACTTGTGAAACCTGTAATGAGAAGATACTCGGTGACCTCGGCGTCATAGTTGATGTCAAAGGTCTCGGGGTCACGGGCGAGGACGGAGAGTGAACGGGCTTGGCTGTCGGTGACGACCGAGTACTCGTACTGGTCGTCGACGATGGGGCCGAGTTTGAGAATCCAATCTAGGTGGGAAAAAAAGTTCAATGCATATTAGCATATTAATATACAGATTGATTTTCATACGGGAGAAAGAGATAGGGGAGAAAGGGGAGAGAGAGAGAGAGAGAGATAGAAAGTGAGTGAGAGAGAGGGAGAGAGAGTGTGAAAATCGGGTTGGGTGGTACATACACGTATTATGGCGAAAATAATATGGAGTATGATGTAGTTTGATTTATTTTCGATTACATAGGCCTAAACAATAAAAATAAAAATACGATGTCAAACGTCAAACGTAATTTTTAACGCGGGGGGGACACATGATTTATTTTAAGAATCACACAGTATTCTTTGTCACTATACTTACATGTACTTGCTGCGGCATCGTTATCAAGTTCGATGAGAACCTTTCCCGGTTCACTTTGGATAGGAACCCAGGCATAGCCGCTGCTGGTAACAGGTTCCCCCTCTCCTACGCTGTAAGCGTTGGTCACGGTAAAATTGGTCTCAGAGACCTTCCCATCTAAAGAAGGAAGAGAAAATTACTGATTGAATACTTCATGGAGGGTAGAGAGATAAATGTGAAGGCCAGAGAAAAATAGAGATACGTCATTATCCTCCTCCTCATCATCATCAGTGAGAGCAGCGTCATCTAGCTCCACATTGTAAACCTTCAGGACGATCATAACCACTACTTTAATCATCAGCATCAACATCATCATCACCATCACCATCATCATAACCACAATCATCACCATCATCATCATCACCGTCATCAGTGAGAGCAGCGTCATCTAGCTCCACGTTGTAAGCCTTCACGACAATCATAACCAATACCTTAATCATCAGCATCAACATCATCATCACCATCTTCATCACCATCATCAGTGAGAGCAGTGTCATTTAGTTCCACATTGTAAACCAATGCCTTAATCATTCGCGTTATCATCATCAGCATCATCATAATCACAATCATCACCATTATCATCACCATCATCATCATCATCGTCGTCGTCATCATCATCATCATCATCGTCGCTACCATCATCGTACTCGTCGTCGTCGTCGTCATCATCATCATCATCATCGTCAACGTCGTCATCATCATCATCATCATCATTATCATCGTCGTCGTCATCATTATCATCATCAACATTATCATCATCATCTTACAAGTTATATTGGTACGTACATTCAGCTGTTGTACATTCTGCGCCATCTATTCCAGTGAATGAGTCTGTCCAGAAATTTGTGTACATCTACAACAAAAAATGAAAAAATGGAACATAAAAAATGAAAATGTTTTCAAGAGTCTATTTGTTTCAAAGTCAAACGTTTTTCAGGTCGCCCAAATTATAAGATTTAAGAAATGATAAAATTCAGAAAAATACACACGCAATCGGCTATAAAACGCCCCATGGAAATAAGCAGGACTAACTGATGCATACAGTGAGTAAGTAATGCACATGTCAGAGAACGATGATTTTGAGAGGGTGTTCATGTGGTAATACTATCCCCCCCCCACTCTCTCTCTCTCTCTCTCTCCGTATGTCAAATTCTTGATATGCTACCGCCATGATTGAGGGTGTATGAAGAAGAAGAAGAAGAGAAGAGAATAACTCAATTACATGAGGGTATAATGTTAAAACAGGTTGGTATTCTGTAAGCATATTACATTCACAGAAAGTTGAGACTATTGTTCCCTATACCATTTTATTGACCACTCTATCCTTATCATACCTATGCAGCGTTGAGCATGTATCAAAGTACAAGATTTTTTCCTTTTCAGGAATCAAACAAATATTATCAAGGAGATGCTAATGATAATTACAAATATCAACTGTGTTGACCTCCCAACCTTGATATTGACATACAGATAGGATGATTTAAAAGTTTGCAGCAATTATTATACATATATGCATCAAACTGATGTTTTCGATGTTTATATTTGCTAAAGGCGATGTACAATTATAAATCGTGGCATATCTTAGACGACCCTTTAATATTACATTATAGTTTTTGCTTTTATTATGCATCTCATTAACTAAATAAAGGAAATCTAGATGAAAATGCCGAAATGCGCAACGTTAACATAGACATTGTAGCATTTTAAAGGAAAAGAATTTGAAGAATCTATAAAAGATACAAAAGACAAAAAGAAAGATGATAAATCAAAATCACATAAGAAACGGTTAATAAAAAAAGGTTAGGAATCATAAATATCACTAAAGTGCTAAAGGATGGTAAAATTCACAAGTTTTGGGGGGTTTTGCTCTTGATTATATCTTTATTTCGAAATTCCGAAATTCCGAAATTCTGATAATCATTGAATAAACCTTTAATTTATTAGGCCTAACTTTTTCGATGGCTGAAGCCTAAAAACATTTCTTTCTTTAATTTTGTTATTTTTTTAATATTTATTTTTATTATTATTATTATTACTGAAACAAGAAACTTCAACTACAATACTCAAAGCGTGATAAGATATGATATCGAATGTCGACTTTTATACCCCAGTTAATTCTGCAACTTGCTTACTATGAATTATTATGATTAAAACATCGCTATATGGATTTCATTTTCATTGTTTAGGCCAAAAAAAGTTTCTTTTCACCTCATTAAATGAAAACTGAAAATTAAAGTCCTTATCATGTTTTCGTACAGTGTGTAATTGGGTTTTTACAGACGTTAATCAATCAGATATGATTATTTACGTCTGGGGACCGATCTCTAACCGGTTTCGGCTTTTATACCCCAGTCACATGACCAAACTGTCTCAAAATCGAGAGGCGCTCGTTTTTCCGAAGGTTCGTAATTCCGAAAGAAAGATAAAGGGTTCTTTATCATTTTGTGGATAATGAACCTTAACTCGGGATTATAAAACCTATTTCATTTTCGGGAAAAACGAACCTTCGGAATTATGAATCTTCGGAATTTATGAACCTTTGGAATAAAGACATGTAACCTCCTAATTAACCACTAATTGACAATATAATACCGTCCTGGCCATTTAGGGTAATGTACTTTTATCGGTCCATTTTCGATTTTGTGTCGGTCTCAACGGCGTGACTAGGGCACTATTCTTACTTACGTTATACCAGCGTCCGACATATTTGTTGGCGTCGACATCATACACCGTCCCGAGTCCTTCCGCAGGTGACGAAAAGCACAAGATGGCGCCGAAAACTGCGACCAGCGCAAACCAGGATTGAGTGTTCTTATTAGCCATTTCCCTTATCTTTCAACAAACGTAGCAAAACTTTTTTTTAAACCAGTAAAATGATGAAAAGATTGGTTTGTAGATTAAAAGAAGAAGATGTCGTTAGGCCAGCGGAATAAACCTCCTAATATCCGATTTCAAACTATGCAAGATGGTAACACTTTATAGAGGTAAACGACTATATTTGTCATACTAAAAATGACGATGTATCTGTACCAGTGTTGACTGCACAGTCCTAGTTTCAAAGGCATATATTTGGCAAAACAGTAAAGGAGGGGGGCAGAGCCAGAGGCTCGACTGGATAGTGTTGAAGACTATACCTACAGCTGACATTTAGTATTAATAACTATCACTACGAAGGTAATCACTTTCGATAACATAATTGTATCATCAGAAGTATTGTGGAATTAATTGGACTAATCGTCCGTTAAAAATCATTTCTTCTTCTTCTTCTTCTCATAATCCTCCTTCTTCCTCTTCTTCTTTTTTTCTTCTCCCCTTCTTCTCCCTTCCCCCTATTCCTCCTCCTCCTGCTTCTTCTTCTTCTATCTTTTTATAATTACCCCGGCTAAAAAGGACGGGGTAAATTTTCAATGCCATTTCAATTCTCATAAAAAGTGGGGAGGGGAGTAAATGACCCCTCCCTTCCCCGGGATCTACGCCAATATGGAGTTATATCTCGAAAGATCGATAACTCAAGAGGTTAGCCTTAAGAGGCGTACTTAGCCCCGTCTATCTTTGGAACTTCACTCTTAAAACAGATTAGCAATATGATAAGAAGTGATTATCATTTTTTATTCCTCTCAAGATTTATCATTAATTACTGAGGTGAGTGATTCACTGTGTTTTCTTGAGCCAAGGTATGCAGAGTTTGAGGACCCGGATTATTGACGTACATAATCTCGATGACATGTATCCTCTACTGCTATGGATACTATCTTGTTTTGTGCGATTTGTTGGACATGAATTTATTCCCAAAACACATACTTTCGCATAATTGTATGTTAAGCCTACCCTTCTGGATAATGATTATTTATTACAAGAAAATACAATAAACATAATTTACCCAACATCCAAGTTTATTCATGATTTCTGAAGTTAAATAGAATATGGAAAGTCTACCATTTTAGAATGATGCTTTGTGGAAAATACATTGCAATAAATTCGGCTGCAATACGTATGGTAATACTTTCGTTGTTATTGTTTGTTTGTTTGTTTGTTTTTTGCTATTTTGTCTCGACCAATAACAGCACGAGAAGCAGAATTAGACTATAGTGCATAGGAACATGACACGATTCCTCCTTGCCTGGAGGGCAGTTTTGCAGTGTTTCGTCTTCCAGGGGAGTGTTTCACAAAGACTAAGATCGACATTAAGTTGGACTTAACTATGACAGGCCATTCATGCCACTGGTTGCTCTCATCATTGGTCTCTCAATTATGATCTTTAGATGATATTTTTTCCTTCAACGATGAATTAAATAAAAATAAAAAAATTCTGTACATTTGTGACCATGATTTGTACGTCCCTTGAGAATCCAATGCCAGTAAATGGTGAAAGCAAACAGTGGCACAAACGGCCTGCCATAGTTAAGTCCAACTTAAAGTCAATCTTAATCTTAGTGAAACACCCCCTGATATGGTCCTGTGGGTAACCCTGTCTTTCACTGTGGCTAGCCGGAACAGATTTAGAGGCCTTTTTAAGGTGCCGTCGTGGTTGTGCAACTTATATTTCTTCGGCACTTATGCCTAATGCCTGGATTACACATGCCCCGGACGCCGTACGATAAATTAGTCTACGATTTTTCGTAGACATCGTAGGAGGCTACGGGCTACGATGTTTGTGGTTACATTATCTACGAGCATCGTGCCATTTATTGTATTGGCCGGGATAAATGCGAAACAAAATCGTAAAGGCTGCGGAGCCCGTGAATCCGCACGGAAATCTCACGGCCGCCTCCTGCCTCCGCACAGAGGCCGCACGGAAAAGGGGATACGGGCAGGATACGGGCTCCGTAGACTAATCGCCGGCCAAATGTAGTCCAGGCATAAGTCACATTTGCCGCGGCGGCCGTGCGGTCTAAAATATCTACGGCCAATAACAATTATAGGACCGCCGCAGCATTCACACGGTCACATACGGTAGCGGTCACATAATATGTTAGGGTAGCCGCACGGCGTATTTTGAATTTGTGGAGACAGAAAATCTGCGACTGCCGTACGCCTTAGGATACGCCCTAGGGTAACCCTGAGGCCACCGCAAATTCTCTGCGGCCGCCGCAAGTATCTCTCTTATATATTTCGGGAGCGTATGGCCGCCGTATCCTAGCCGTAGAGCAAATGTGACCTAGGAATCACGATGCCTCACAATGCGAGAACATCTATATTTATATACTTGACAGAAGTTTCAGTCACCCGATCTGAAATGGAACAACCTTACAAAATTCAGTTGATGGTGAAAAAAAAACCGTAGTGACGGTGCCCGGAGCTTCAAGCGGCAAGTGGACAAACATTTAGACGATCAGCCTGTTGTTAAATTGTTTGCTGATTTAGTTTTTTTTAGGGGTCAAGATAGTTATGCTTATGAGATGAATATATAAATGGTTAATACAAAATATTTCATCCAAATCTATTTTATACGCATAATTACAATAAAATAGGAAGCATTTGATGACTTGAGCTAACAATTGTAAGTGAGATAATTTGACTTTCCTTGTATAAAATGAACCAGTCCAACTCGTTTCGTTCAATGTGATAGGTATTCGTACTGCGTAGAGTTTACTGTGAACGTGATGGATAATATATGCCAACGTCACGCGATGATACGTTTGGTGATTGGACGCTACCATTTCGGTAGAGAATTCCAGTCGAAAAAAGGGTTAACATAAGAAATTCAAACCAGATTACTAAAGGCCACTTGGCTGTTTGCTCTGGCGTTCACTTGGGTTTTCGCGAATAGCCTCTTTTTATTCGCTCGCCGTCTATCAGACATGAGGCCTTGTCTAAAGGCCACGGTCGGTCTGGCTAGAAAAATACCCCTAAACGCGTTAACCGGCGCGTACTGCAGGATTTAGAACCATTTTGAAAAAGTATCCTTTTTCTTGAAAATGGCCCAAAATGGATGATGGATAATGGATATAAAAAAGCATTCCTTTATACGCGTTTTCTTGGTCACGCATGCTTACAGTATATATATATATATTTGAATGAGACCCCCGGGACTATCTGCAACTAAATGCCCTTTGAGTTCACACAAGAAAAGTCTAAACTGTGTTGTAGAGTGGTTATGCCTCAGTCACACCTTTGCGTATGTTGCTGCGTATTGCTGCGCTATGCGGGGTATATCAATACGCAGCCGTGCCCAGCAATACGCAGCAAATTTGAAGGTAGCAGTCACACTATTGCGTATCTAGCTCGTAGGTAGCTCGTATGCCGCTCGTACAAAGACTGCCTACGGTTGCCTACGGTTGCCTATGACCACGCTATAGCTCGCTGTTGCTCATAGCAGTACGATTCAATACGCAGCTTGCTCGCCATGTTGCGTATGTAGCTCGATCTTTGCTCGTTTGCTGCTCGCTAGCCGTTCGCACAAGTTGGTCTCGTTGCGTGTTCGCTCGCTTTAGCTCGTCTGTTGTTCGTACTGATGCGTGCCAGCTCGTGCTACAGCGTACCAGCTCGCTCGTGCTGCGGCATATGTATAAATACTAGTTATTTTGCAGGACTGGGCATAAACATCTTAGCTTCTGAAGATTCTACATCTACAAGAAAAATAAATCTGATGATAACAATGGCCTTGCAGCAGAGCTCTGCTTCGCAAAAGCTTAAGATTTTGCTTCAGTTGGAGGAAGAAGAGGCGAATAAAGATTATGAGCAAGGGAAGCTGCTGCTTGAGCTGCATCAACGAAGAATCCCTCGGTGTTGTTGGGTGCGGTCCTGGATCTGCCGGAGGAAGGACCTGGGACAATTCGACCAACTGATGAGGGAGCTGGAAGACGAGGACCAAGAGGCACTCATGAACTTTTTGAGGGTAACCCCTGAAATGTATAAAGAGTTAGAGCAGAGACAACATGAAAGACTGGAGAAGCAGGGCACCCTCTTCAGGAATGCTTTCGGCATTCTTGCCAACCGATTTCAGTGCCTGCTGATCACTCTCCGACAAAGCCCTTCAACCGTCAGGACCATGGTACAGGCATGTGTATGCCTGCACAACTTGATGAGAACCCACTACCCTTGCATCCAGATTTCAGTCGTGGACGGGGAGGACGCCGAGCACATAATGCCCGGTTCCTGGCGAGGAGAGCAGACTCTGTAGTAGGTCTTAGGCAGCCGGCTACTCAGGCAGGTCAGGCCAAAAGGAATTATATCAATGCCTACTACAACAGCCCTGCTGGTTTTGTTACCTGGCAGGAATGTTGGACTAATGCAGGCCAGATGCTCTGGATATCACCAACCCAACCACTCGGCATTGACGACATTACCTGACCTGGCTTCAGCAACCGTTTCCTCACAGTTTAATTTATCGCGAGGAATGTAAATCTCAGTTAAAACATTATTCCCAAGAGTTCAACAAAAAGATTGTTGCAATAACTGGGCCAATGACTGGCTTCGCGTCCTCGTCTTCACTCCCCTTTTCGCTTTGGATGTCTGCATCTTCAACCCGTGTGTCTTCTTCAAATGTTGACTGCAGTATGATTCCAACCCTTGAGGCGCCCCGCCTTTTATTGCCGATATGCAGCGCATAGGCAACTAATCGCAGTGATAGCGAGATAAAGCGAGCGACAACCAGCGACTGCGAGCTAAAGCGAACGGCGTACGAGCTAATCTAGCAGCGTAGCGAACGGCAATCGCAAGGGTTCTTGCTGCTGCGAGCGATGTGCGAGCAACAGCGCAACATTACGCGCAATCATGCGTACGACAACGAGCTAAAGCGTGTTAAATCGTGCAGGAAACGCAGCTATAGGCAGTGACAGGTGCTCCGAAAAAAGAGGTGCGTATGATGGCGTATACCTGCGCTAAGCCACTCGCTGTCGCTCGCATTCACTGGTTGCCACTCGTATCCGCTCGTATGCGATTTGACCTTGCGTTTGCTTGCGATAGTTTAGAAAATTTTAAAACTAGCGAGCGAGCAACGCAGGCATATGCGCTAGTCTGCGTATTGAGTACGTAGTGAGCACGTTTTGTTGCGCTTTATTGGGTATGACTGCCTTTGTCTGCGTTCGGGTAATACGCAGCAACACGCAAGCCAAATACGCAAAGGTGTGACTGAGGCATACTAAGGCTGCGTTCATGCTTAAATTTTGAAGGCAGAATGAGCGATCTGAAACGCTCATCGTAAACGCTCATCGTGATCGCAGTTCCACGATGTAGTGTTCATCACTGGCGTACCTATGGGGGGGGGCAGGGGGGGCAGAGTGCCCCCCCTGACGGGCTCCAGGAGAAAAAAAGAAAAAGGGGAAAGAAAAGAAAAGAAAGGAAAAGGAAAGAAAAAGAAAAAAGGAAAAGGGAAGAAAAAGGAAAGAAAAAAGGAAGAAGAAGAGAAAAGGAAGAAAAAGGGAAAAGAAAAGGAAAGGAATAAAAATGGGGAAATTAAAAAATAAAAAAAGACCATGGCCGTACGCACCAGGGGGGGGGGGGCAGTTGACCCCAGATATTTTGAAAACGTACAGTTTTTTTCCTGAAAATGTAGTGTAGGCCTATACCAAATCCTTCAATTCTACTTTTGAAAATGCAAAAGTACCCTCATGACCAGTTCGGTCGCTCGAACTCCCTTCACTCCTTTTGCTTTTGAGATTCTTCGAAAACTTTTTACGCATCTTTCCCCCTCCCCCACCAGAAAAATATTCCGCATACGGCCCTGAAAAATTAAAACAAATGAAAATAGGAAAATATAAGTGATATAACAAATTTGAAACTCTTCGCTGGCGCGAACTGCTTGCTAGCCTATTTTGTATTAAATGTTTTCACTTGCTCGTCCCCCTGAAAAAAGAAAAGGATTAGTATTGCCTAGATTATTGTGCCTGCCCCGACGGGCCCCGACCTGCAACCATGGCAACAATAACACATAATATATGTACCAAATGTTACTAAAAGAGACTAATTCATTTTTCTCGCTCGCGAATAAAATAAATAGACATTGCTTTGGAAACAATTGTGCCCACCTTTGACCTGCAACAATATCATTAAAAATGGAAGAGTTTTTTCGCCCTCTCGCCAAAAAGGAATTGAATCGCGTTAAACGCGATTGCGTCCATCCTGACCTGCACCAATAAAAACAAGTTTATTTATTAATTTCTATTAAAAGAGAATTTATTTTTTTTGCTTGCTCGCTATGCTCGCTCGCCAAAATGGAATTGACACCGCTAACGTGCCCGCCCCAACCTGCAATAACCAGTTAATAATTATGTACCAAACGTTATTCAAAGAAGTTTTGGTGTGCTTGTGCCCGCCAAAATGGAATTAACATCACCTTAGACATGATTGTGTAAGCCCTGCCCTGCAACAAAAAAATCTGAAATTTATGAACCAATTATCATTACAAAAATTTTGCTCGCTCGCTACGCTCGCTCGCCAAAATAGAAATAACACTGCTTTTAATAATCACGTCCCTGACATGGAACAATGAACCCAAGTTTATATACCATATTTTCCCTATAAAAGAGAAGTGATTTGTTTTGCTCGCTCGCTACGCTCGCTCGCCAAAATAGAAATAACACCGCTTTTAATTATCACGTCCCTGACATGGAACAATGAACCCCAGTTTATATACCATATTTTCCCTATAAAAGAGAAGTGATTTGTTTTGCTCGCTCGCTACGCTCGCTCGCCAAAATAGAAATAACACCGCTTTTAATTATCACGTCCCTGACATGGAACAATGAACCCAAGTTTTATGTACCATATTTTCCCTATAAAAGAGAAGTGATTTTTTTTTTGCTCGCTCGCTACGCTCGCTCGCCAAAATAGAAATAACACCGCTTTTAATAATCACGTCCCTGACATGGAACAATGTACCCAAGTTTTATGTACCATATTTTCCCTATAAAAGATTTTTTTTTTTTTTTCGCTCGCTACGCTCGCTAGCTCATGGAATTATGTGCCCACCACTAACCTGCTACAATATCATTACAAAGATAAATGTAGGGGGTTGCCTGCCCGCCAAAATGGGATTGACATTACCTTAAACACGATTGTGCCCGCCCCCTACCTGCAACAATGAAACAAATTTTATATAGCAATTCATTGAGAGAAAGATGTATTTTCGCTCGCTAGCTAAAATGGGTATAAAATCACCCTAAACACAATATTGTTCCCGCGCCCTGCATGGGACAATTGAACCAAGTTTAAGTGGCAATTATTAAAAAAGACGTGATTTTTTTTCTTGCTCGCTACACTCGTTTGCAAAAAAAATGAAATTAACGTCGCTAACAAGTGAATGTTCCCACCCCCAACTTGCAACAATACCAGTTTATATACCAAACGTTACTTAAAGATTTTTTTTTTGCTCGCTCGCTCGCCAGAAGTGAAAATTAGCATCGCCTTTTTTGTTTGTTTCGGTCGCTTGCCCCCCCTGACGGAGTACCCCAGGTACGCCACTGGTGTTCATGCTTACTTCTCTGGCTCCCCAGGCAATTCTCCGTGTGTGGCCTTAATTGGTCTTCCAGCTGGATTCGCAAACCTTCACTGTGCATGCTACGTAGACCCACTAGAGGTCAGTGCGTTGACCCCATTTAAACGCGTTTACAAATTGTAAACGCATCTTTTTGTGAGTTTACGATCGGCGATCGTGATCGCCGTTTTTTGGTGATTCTACAAAAGTGAGCTAAGACGCAACCGTGTTTTAAACTAAACGCGTAACAGATGCCTGATTCTGGCCGTCAAAATCAAGCATGAACGCGCCCTAATACATTCCATAAAATCATACATGAAGCAGCGGATGGAATTCGGTTCTTTCAAAACGTGCTCGCCGCTTAAGATTGCGAACGCGAATGCAACCCCCAACATTAACGTAAGATGAAGAGCGATTTTGCACATATGCATTTTGTTTAGTCTGTTTACAGGTGATAATATCGTCATGTTGTTATTTTTTTTTAGATCACTCTTCCAGTAATCTGATAAAACAACAACAACAACAACTACAAAACTAACATTTTCGATATTTATTCATTTTTATTAAAAAAATGCAAGGTTTCAATGATAATGCATAACTGAGTAAACCGGTTTTAGGAGTCGACTAAAAGAGCGCCATCTGTGTATCCGCTACTTGTAGCTTCGAGGTAGGGGATAATTAGTTAGATTTTAATAAATGTCAATTCATGTCAGTTTCTATTTCTACTGGTATAGTGGGGGCAGCAGACCGTCTGTTGTGATTTTTTTCCTTTCGTGCAAAATCATCTTTTCTTGATGTCCCTTCCATCCCCCCAATATACTTGTTCACGTTGCTTATATCATTTACCATTTTACCTAGGTTTATAAGTACCACATTACCCGATTCCAGAGCATACAAGCTGATCACAAGGACTTTTGAGCAGGGGCGGTTCTAGAGAGGGTTAGGTTTCAAACCGACCCCTAATTTTTCACCCGTCAATTTTCTCGATTACAAATGACAAATAATCGAGGCACGTGAAGAAAATCAATGTAAGAACCCCAGACCATTAACCCCCCAAAATATTTGAGAACCCATACTGCTTTTGAGAAACCAACTTAGGGCAATGCCGAAGACTGTTGTTCACAGAAATCATTTTCGGAACACGTGATATGTCTGCATCAGGTTGGCAAATTGAAAAGGTGATGTAACGAGACTGTTGAAAATACCTTGGGCTTACTACAAAAAATTCGAAAGACTTTGCGAAAACACATAAATATGAGTATGCACGTTTTCATTTCCACTGACTGATGTGTCATCAATATTGAATTTGACGGAATCGCATGAAATAGACTTTGGACGAAGGGATGCTTTAAATGAATTCACTGAGACTCGAGACTCCGATAAATCCTGAAACAGGTGATATGACATGCGGGTTGTAATAATGCCCACAAATGTAATAACGCCCACAAATGTAATAACACTTTACCCACAAATGTAACAACACCCACAAATGTAATAACACTTTACCCACAAATGTAATAATTTCACCCACAAATGTAATAACCACTTTACCCACAAATGTAATAATTTTGAATCACCCACAAATGTAATACTGACTTTACACACAAACAGAGTTTGAACAAGAGGACGTAAGCTCAAGCTGTGCTTATGGCGACACTTTCTTCAATGTATAAGTTTATGCGACCATAAAATTATGTTAAAAATTAAAATATGTCTGACGATGTATATATGGAAAATAAATTAACATCAAACATCAACATGGCCCTGTTAAATACATTTAAATGGGTCACGAAAGCAACTGAAAGCAAAACAGCTGATTATTGAGTTTTTGTTTTATTTATATATATATTCAATTTATTTAGCCATTTATTTACTTATTTTATTAATTTGTCCATGCATTTTCATTATTCGACCCTTGCTTGAAGAAAACTTAAAACAAATTTAAGTCCTCCCAATGGACTTGGTAATAACGATTAATACCTTATTAAAGGGTACGAGCACACTGCCTTCGTTTTGAACCCGGAACATCACGGTTCTGAGACCACTGCTCTACCACTAAGCCATCGCGCCTACTCACATACCTTGCCTAATTAATCCTGTATTGGATGGATCCCAGAGCTTTTAAGTAAAAAACGAGTTAAAACTTTTTTTAAAACGTAACTTAGGTTTAAAATAAAACATGTATTATAATGTTGAGCACAGTAACCGTAAACTAGAAGAAAGAAGTACAATTGATCGTGATAGAATATAATTTGCGTGGAAACAGAAAAGTCATTGAAATAGATGGTGTATACATGATAAATATGAATAAATAAATCGAAGGCTGGTTTACTTTTACCCTCTTGAGTATAGTGTCATCTAATCATGTTATTTTGACGACTAAAACATTTACGAAGCAAAAGTTATTCAACATTACATTTTTGTCATCAAGATCATAATTACGACCATTTCGACAACTGGCGATTCTTATCTATCAGTGACACGAGCTTTCAAACATTCAAATTTATCTAGGCATCTCATGATAATAACGCAGAAGAAAAACAAACACTTTTCTAATTATCGTGCATAGTTCACCATTACCTCTTTTGTGATACAAATTAAATGTGAAAACTACTTCTTCTTTTTTTTTAAACAGACAATAAACAAATTTGGTATTTGTTTTGAAAAATGTCTTACTAAAAAAATAGAGGAAAGCTCGGGACAAAAGAGTCCTCCATGTAAACTTCGTCCCACAACTGGGAGGGGGGGGGGGCAACGATGAATATAATTCTCATCCATCGGCGAAAAGTTTGAGAGTTCGTATTTACTCCCTCCCTTGACTATGAATGTTCATTTTCTTTTACCACCACCCCCTCCTCCCCTCCTTATTGATTGTTTGTTGCCAGGAAGTCATTGATGATGTAAGCTTTTATCACGTCACGTATACAAAAAGTCATAATACAATTTCGTCTTTTTATACCCAGACGTTGTGTGTCCGGACAGGTTGTGTATCCGGACTTGTTTTGGACGATATTACCCAGGACAAATATGTATGATGTTTAGTGCTACATCATGAATATTTTTCACCAAAAAAAAATTGGAAGGCAAAAGAGAAGGCTTTATATTTGTTCAGTTTCCGGACCCCCCCCCCCCCCCCTCCCCATCATACTGCATAATAATAGTGATTTGTTGTAGAAAGAAGAAAAACCGCGGCGGTATATTTTTTGTGCGGCTTTCCGCTCTATATCTGAACAAGCCTTATTAAAATATTATGCCCTTCGCCAATTTCAGCTGCGAAATGGTTATACTTTTCATGGAGAGAAAAAAATCATGCTTCTCCGGAGTTGCATCGAATCATTGTATTCACTCCAATCGACCAACGTCTGAACATGTCACGGTAACGGGCTGCAATTCGTCTATTCATGAACGAGTAGATTAGAGGGTCGAGTAGGCAGTTTAAATAACCTACCCACACCGTGGTCACGCCAATCCAATGGGGGATGTTGATGGATAGGAGACAAGAGTTAACGATACAGTACGGTGACCAACAGACCAAGGTGGTTAGCACAAGTAGGGTTCCTGAAAATAAAAAAGAAAAAGAAACACCAGACACTGTTGGAGAAAAGCGTTGGGTGGAAATTATATAAAACACATCAACAAGGAACAAAAGCCAGATAGTAACATTATTTCTTGATTATAAAACACTCAATATGATGGGGATCTGGAAAATATCTTAACAGAATATTAAACAGAAGACAATACTACTGAGGTGTGAATTTTGGGGAGGGGTGTAGGCTGAGCTAATGATGACTAGGTTTGTTCATCACGACATGAAATAACTTTGGGGCGTAGGCTAAAGTATTATGAAGTTGTAGAGACGATGAGCCGTTCCCAAACGACGAGGTGGGGAGGGGAAGGGGAAGAGGGGCCAAAGGATGTTCCGCATTCTGCTAGTAAAAAGACTTTGCACCCTCGTAACGCCAATATGTAAATGTACAATTTTTGCGAGGGGAGCAATGAGAATTGATACATTCTGTCATGTTAAAAATTGGCATTTTATTTCGAACACTTGAAATTGCAATTTGCGCAAGATTAAACAATTATACAAACTTTAAGAGATTCCAACACAGGAAATATTTACCAGTCAGGGCAACTCTTCTTTCGATGTTGAGTTTCTTCTGCATGGTCCTACGATCTTTTTTCTTGAACCCTGTTATCACATTTCCCTGCTGATTAGTCTTATTTTCCTCGCTTTCTCCTTCAGCATGTTCAGCGTCAGGCTCCTCGATGTTTGAAGACTGGGAGTAGTCCATAGGCTCTGGGGTAAGACTCGAGCAGGTAGGTCCTTCAATCGACTGGTCAATGACATCCATTGGCATGTCGTTGTCAGCATGGGTCACACGGTCGTGGTCGTGGTCGTGGTCGTGGTCGTCATCGTCATCGTCGGTGTCTTCAAGGGAACATACGTTGCTCGCGATACTAGGTTTCTCGTCGGCGTATGATCTAAGCAACCGTTGTTGACGCCACACTTTCAGGAACACACTAACATAGCATAGAACCATCGTAGGTACGATGCCTAGAAAGATGATGACGTTAAGGGTGATGCCATAGAAACAGTCTTCCCGAAACTCTGGCGAGCAGTTGTGGGAATGTTTCTTATACCTGATCGCAGAGACATCTCCAACTAAGGGTGGTAAGGAGGATCCAATGGCGGCGACCCAGCAGAAGACGATAAAGACAATGGTTCTTGATTTGGAAGGAGGAAAGCGGGCCGACCAGACTACGGTCAAGTAGCGATCCACAGAGATGGCAAAGACTGAAGCAAAGACCCCGTAGGCAAAAATAACGTTCCCGTGAATCTGCACATAATTATAAATGAGATTGATTAATGTAACATATTAAGTAGAATATCAGCTTTTAGACAAAAACATCCCTGGACCACTACCCCAGGATTATTCTTCATTTGATGATTAATCACCAAGCATAATCACACGCGGCAACTTTCCCCCGGATAATTTTCCATGCAAACCTGTATTTTTATTTTATTTTTTAAATACATCTTTTCATAGAGTTATGGGAATTTAGAAATCAAAATGTGCTGTAAAAGATATAAAAACTATAAATCAACTTGCTGCCCAAATATTGATGATTTTTTAATGATTGCTGATTGGTAGCTGCAGCATCAACTATTTCATGATTACTTAATTTCTGAAAGATTCATATTCGATGGAGTTCAAGTTTAAACGATCGAGTGATACTATGTTTGTTTGAGGAGGAGATAAGACATAACAGATTTGTGACTTGGTATGTGAAATACCAATTATGTAACTAAATAGATTTACCAAAAACAAATGACAATTTTTTAAAGTTATTAATTTTTTAAAGTTCCTTTAATATCCAAAATCGAAATACAGTAAAATCGTATTTGAGAATGGTGGCGAAGAATGCAAAATAGAAAAAGACTCACAAAACACACAGCTTTGTTGTGAAGGAGAAAATAGCCATGGTCGAACACGGATATTATGACGAATGGAATGTTTATAACTGTAAAGCTAAGGTCGTTTATGATGAGATTCAGGATGAGCCAGTTATGGAGGTTCTTTCTCAGAACCTTGTCTCGAAGGATCGTCACCATCGCAATCAGATTGGCGACCAACGCTCCGAGAAAGATAACGGCAATGGTGATACCTTCGATGACGGCCACCACTGACGTCGACTCGTGGTAGATCGTGACACCATCAGGTCGATCGTACGGCGTTTGGGAGGTATCATGGTTCGACATCGTGAAGCTGCTAAAGTGTTACTTTTCGCTATCCAGTAACCTAACGCCTAAGTAACTGAAAAAGTTCACTTCAGCGTTACGTTATATACCAACTGATACACACTGTAACAGTTGAGGAGCACACGCTAACCGTGATTTGTCAGTAGGTCGACACTATAAATATGGGCTCCAAGATTCTTTCATTCAAATTCATGAGCTTACGTGCGCGCCAGCGCCAGCGCCCGACTATGGAGCTAAGTTTCTCTAAGCAGATTTATGGTTACTAACTGTAAATCTCTTTGGCAGAAGGCCTAATTATATATTAATGGTTTAACCAATACAACACCTTTATTATCATTTGTGTTTTTTGCTGATGACACGAACATCTGCTGTTCACATCATAATTTAAACACCTTAGTAAATAAAATACACTTAATGAGGAGTTACCAACATTATCTTCAATGCAAAAATGATAAACAAATTTCATGTATTTCAAGCACGCAAATTCTCATGTCATTGACTTTCCTTACAACATAATTATCGATAATATCCCACTCGAAAGAAAGAGAATAACAACATTTTGGGGTGTAATTATTGACGAAAATCTTAATTTGAATGAACATACGTCATATCACGACTTCTATTTCTAGGAATATTGGTTTATTTAAAATGAAGAAATTAATCCCATGTTATACGCTTGTTATGCTTTATAATTCATTGATATTACCGTATATAACATATTGCAATTTAGTATGGGCCACCAGCGCCAAAACCAAAATCAACTTTATTTATTTATTGCAAAAGAAAGCCCTTCGTATATTTACTGGTATCTGGTTCACCATCACTCAAGTCCAATATTTTACACACTGAAAACCCTAACAGTATTCGACATAAATTCGCTACACAGTTTACTGACCATGTTTAAGTATTTAAATAATGTGCTGCCTCTTTCATTTCAAAACGTTTACACTATGAATAAAGCCATTCACTCTTACTACCCGTAATTCCTCAAATTTTCATCTAGTAAACCCGAAATTACTTTTGCACATAGATCCATAATACACCATGGTCCTGACCTGTGGAACTCTCTCCCATAATCTATTAAATCATGTTGCTCCCTTTACTCATTTAAGGCCAAAGTTAAAAAGATGTTACTGTAAAAATATTCAAGGTAAAATTTATTTTTCAACTCTTCAGTCTTTATCATTATGTCATGTCTTTTTTCATCATCATCATTATCATCATCGTCATCATAATCATCATCACAATCATCCTCACCATCATCATCATCATCATCACCATCATCATCATCACCATCATCACCATCATCATCACCATCATCATCATCATCATCATCACCATCATCATCATCACCATCATCATCATCATCATCACCATCATCATCATCACCATCATCATCACCATCATCATCATCATCATCATCGTCTTCTTCATCATCATCATGATCATCATCACCATCATCATCACCATCATCATCACCATCATCATCACCATCATCATCATCATCATCACCATCATCATCACCATCATCATCATCATCGTCATCATCTTCTTCATCATCATCATCATCATCACCATCATCATCACCATCATCATCTTCTTCATCATCATCATCATCATTATCACCATCATCATCACCATCATCATCATCATCATCATTATCATCATCATCTTCTTCATCATCCTCATCATCATCCTCATCTGCATTGTCAATATCAGCATCATCAAAACTTGTATTCTAAATTACCTATCTGTTTGATAATGTATTGATCTATTTCATGAGTTTTGTCTGCATGGGGCTGTCATATTATCAAGCAATCTACTTACAATGACAGTCCTTCTTCCTCAAATAATTGTATAATGTTTTATAATGTTTGAGGAAATTTAGTAGTTATACAATGAATGGTGGTGGTTATTTTACCTGACTGCTAAGAAAGCAACCAGACGGCCGACGGCTTTAGGTCCTCTCTGAGGGACCTGGTAATGAGGATTCATGCCTTGCCAAAGGGCACTAGCGCATCGCCTTGGTTTCGAACCCGGGTCACCGGATTACGAGACCACTACTCTACCGACTGAGCTATCGCGCATAATTCACCAATAGTATCCAAAGTTTAAGGAGGAAAGGACCAAGGGTTCAAATTGTCTTTTAGCTGTGAAGAACAATTATAAAGGCTTATGAAAATATTTTTGTTTTTTCTACCCAATTGACGTTTGAGTCCGTGTTTAGAAATAAATTAACGCTATATAATATAGGCTCCTACCCTCTATAATAGTTTATAATTATTAGCTGTCAAATAATCATCAATAAATTATGATGATGATGATGGGAAAAAACAACATGTTCAAGTTGAGGTTTCAGAAGATAATTAGAGCAATTATTAACTGTTATGATGGTCATATATATGATGATGATGAATGGAAAATACAATAATTGAGGTTTCAGAAGATAATTGGAGTGTATAGATTACTCTCGTTTATTCCTATTATGAATAATATCTGGTATTAATCACCGTACAACTTAAAGGGATAGTTGAGTTCTGCTTTCAGACCGCAAATGCCTTCAAAGTGCATGGTTATTGCTATGACATTTATAGTGCCCTTTTAGAACCTAAAATTGCTATGAAGGTAATTTTAGACCCCAAAATGTGTGAAATTTAGCCAATACGATCATAACAATTCAGCTTCACTTTAAAAAAAACACGGTGATCGTTAATTAATTATTTAATTAAAAATAACAATTCATGAGCCGGCTAATTGTGGGTAATATAAGCAATACGAAAATGTCAACAAAAAGCCAACATCGGCATTGGCTGAAATACGACGTAAAAGGCGTTATTTCGTTTTTTTCAACAGTTTTTTTTCAAATTTTTCAAATTATCTAATATTTGTGGTGGTACACAAGTATTATAAATCGTCCAATTTTAGCCGTCTCTGAACCGATTTTGATCAAACAAAGATGATTTTGTCATTTAAATATTATGTTCTTTCAAATTTGACACTCAGTTTTTCATTATCTCACAAAAAATTATTTTGTGTAGCGCCCTCTGCAACAGAACTCAACTATCCCTTTAAGCGTGCTCCTACTATAACAGGCTCCTATCCTCTATGAAGTATGAAAATAATCATATAGATGATGAAAACAGGAAAATGAAGTGACGATTTGTTAAAACTAATGTTATACGTAGTGTTTTTAGATGAATGGCGTACAGATAAACCCCTAAAATACTTGAAATCGCCAGGCTTAAAACTTGTATCGATCAATGTACAGCTTAAGCGGGCTCCTAAACACTATACCGTGCGTCCCCCAAAATAACTATACACTTTTGAAATGGCTGCCGAATAAAAAAAAATATGGCTCTGGGGAAAGATTTTATATGTATGGAAAGCTCATAAACTCAACTTTCATATGACACCAAAAAGTTCAAAATTGATTTATGCTTGGGTGAGCACTGCTCACTTTTGTAAAGGGTATGAAAATTAGGTTGCGCAGGAATTAGCCTTCCAATTTGTGAGAGGTAAATCCTTTGGAGCTTACAAAATTGAGGGTGATATGATACATTCATGATTTGCTGAGTGAATTTCATGGTTTATTAAACCAAACGTTTATGCATGAGTGGTAGACTCAGTGGTGTGTTCATGGGAGTCAGGATGGGGTGATGGTACATGTTGTAATTTCCATGTTACAAACTGTTATTTTTTACATCTGTGACTTTGAATAAAAACCTTTACCCCACATTTCAGTTACCATTTACCTGAAGAATAAGTAGCAGACCTCTTGCACATTCCTTTTTTTTAACAGATTAAATTCTATGACATTTCTATGAATGCTATTCTTAAAACAATTGTCTGAATGTTTAATTAATTAATTAACATTATCAGAATTGGTAACAAAGATGCAAGTGGACTTGTCTGTAGTAGTTGCTGAAGAGGAGCAGTCAGCATGAGGAGCATGTGACTCCAAAACAACGTTGGTACCTCTCCCAAGTTCATCTCAAACCACAAGGGTCTTCAGGAATCTAGATGTAACAGTGGATGTAGAGAAGGAGTTTGTGATCCTCCTGATTTGGACTACTCGCGATTACATACACAATCAATGGATTGTAGCAATTCTGCAAAAAATTCAACCGGTCATGATTGAGCATATTTGAACAAACACTCAGTGAAGCATTGATTTATGTGTCTAACTGGTATTAGGGTAGATTTCAGCTTGTTAATTTTATAAGGAACTTTGCGCCAACAGAACCTCAATGGCCCTTATGGTTCCATGCAACAAGCTGCCCCCTGTTTCTGTAAACACTGACAATCAAGTTAAAAAAATTAATTAAATTCCACACGTGATTACTAATGAATTGATCTTTTAAATATTGTCATCATTTCAGGATTTGTTGGGTTACAGGTTAGTGAGAGCTTTCAGTGGGTAAAATTTGAGGGTACTTTGTGCGGAAACTTCTGGTAGGGGGCGCCATGCATGGTTAATGAAACATCACTGTAATTGCTGAGCAAGAACGTTTTTGATGAGCTAGCCAGCTAGAATCTTAAACAACCCTTTTTTTATCCTTAAACAACCCTTTTTTATCCTTGAATTGACTTTCTTTCTCTCTCTCTCTCTCTCTCTCTCTCTCTCTCTCTCTCTCTCTCACACACACACACACACACACACACCCACACACACGCACACACACACACACACTCAACAGGCATAATCTCCATTTAAATCTACCGGTCTAAATATATTCTTTCTCAGTACTTTACACACTTTAGTCATATTGGAACTATACTTGAGGTTCAGCGTCAATATCTTTTCATTCTTTTTGCAACGTTTCTTCTCGGGTTATTTTGAAACCATATCACATCGAGGGGGCACATACTGGAACGATTGGAAGGGGGGGGGGTGGGGGGCACCGGTATTATTCTGGGACGAAATCCTTATATTCAAGGATACTAATTAGGGGGTGGGTGCATGAGGTAGTCCAGACGTTGCCGTTTTCTCTTCTTTTTCCACTTTTAGCTGCCCATTTCCCTTTTTTCTCGCTCATTCTTTCTCTTTTATTTACCTTTTCACCATTTGATTGGGGGCACGTGAAACGGAGCAAAGCATGAAATAAAAAGCAAACAAAACAAAGAATGAAGTGATCGAGAACTGTAATTTCCAACTGCCGATGTCGAATAGATATTTCACTAATAAAACAATTAGTCAGCTAAAAGTCAGAGGGGCTTTAAATGATTGCACTTTACAATACATTAACGGCATTTTTGCAATGAGCAGACAAGGAGGTAATTGTCAAATTTCAAGCGGTCTTGTCAACATAAAAAATTCTATTTTATGTTGTTGACTGCACCAACTTGTGGTAGGCCTAGCTAATGTAAAGAAGCCTAAAGTTACTGACGAGATGAATGATGAGATAATTTAGGACAAGAAGACGAGTTGCTGCAACTCGGCAAGTCGAGTTGTTTAGGACGAAAAGACAAATGCCGCAGGCGACTGTCCAAGGTCAGTCAAAGGGGATGTGGTATGGGGGCCCCTCACGTATTTTTCCTCCCCGGCCAAAGCTGTCTTAAAATTTTTGGGTAAGGCTTATAATTGTCACTTTGTACATGACTAACCTTTCAGCTGACAAGCAACAAAAAAAGGTATATGCGGAAGGGGAAGGGGGTGTTTAGCCAAATCAGATGGGAGGTTGGGCGGGAGGCATCGTCCCATTCGAGTCGACTTGCCGAATTCTAACTCGTCTTTTAAAGACCATCACCACTACTGGGCAAGAAGGGATTAGACCACACAGCGAGCCATCGAGGTCACTGTGACAGGAGGCTATCTCATTAACTCAGCTCTCATTTAACATAAGAAAAAGAGGATCATGGGGGACCAACAGGCACCGATTGGGGAAGTTTTCTATATAGAGGGAGCAAGTAGCTACAAGTATGGCAGTGTGCCTTTAACTCGTATTCTCGTCTTCAGTCCCTAAATTATCTCGTCATCTCGTCGGCACTTTTAAGCTTCCGTGATAATGCGTTTCGTCTACGAGTTAGTGCACCAACGACTGGCGCGGTCTTCAGCGCGCAATATAATACAGAGTGGTATCGTATCGTCAGGATAAAATTTTATTGTAGGGCATGAAAATATTTTGTTATTTTATTTCATAAAGTCTTATCTACACGATGGAACGTATAGTAATGGGATAACATGATTATTACACGTACCATCCTTAAACGTTTTGCTTGAGGTTCGTCTCCTGTACAATTTTATCATAATATTGTCTAAGTTGTTTATTAAGCTCTTGGAGAAAAATATCGGCAGTCATTCCCGTGGTAAACGCGGACTGGTTGCGTCGGTGGAGTTGTGAAACCCGTCACGAGAAGGTATTCCCTGACCTCGGCGTCGTACATCATGTCAAAGGTCTCGGGGTCACGGGCGAGGACGAAGAGCGCTGCGGCTGCGGGGTCGGAGACGATAGAGTACTCGTACTGGTTGTTGACGATTGGACCGAGTTTGATGATAAAATCTAGATGAAAACGGAAGATCAAAACGAAAGTTCCACAATTAAGGTAACTAATTTTGATCATGTAATCAGGAAATTCAATCTAACAGGTAAATAAGCACAACACAAAAAATGAGTTCCCCCAAGAGCAACTTATCATAATTTCTGAACCGCGAAGTTAATTTTTTTTTTTTTTTAAACCAACGCAATCGCAATGGTTAAACAACAATACATTTTTTTAAAATACTTTTAATACTGTTGTGGGTGAATAGTACATGTATATTTGTACTATCTTTAACTCACATGGGGTTGCGAGAGGTACGCCTTCGAGTCTGACTAGCAGTCGTCCTGGTTCGACAAGGAAAGGTATCCATGCATAACCCTCAATGGTGTCTGAGCGACCCTCCCGTACGCTGTAAGCGTTGTACACTGTCACGTTGGTATCAGAGATCTTCCCATCTAAAAAAAAAAGGGGGGGGGCGATAGAGATATTTTATATTCATTCATTCTCCATTTCTTCATCCATCTGTTCATGAATTAATTCATCTATTTGTTCATCCATTCGTTCATTTCTTCCTTCCCTCTTCCTTCCCCCATCCATCCATCCATCCATTCATATTGTGATCCCGAGAATGAATGAATGAATGGATGGATAGAAGAATGGATGAACAAATGGATGAATCAATTCATGAACAGATGAATAAATGAAGAAATGGAGAATAAATGAATGTATGTATTAACAAATGGACGAATGAATGGATAAATGAATGAATGAATGAATGAATAAATGAATAATGAATGAATGAATGAATGGATAAATGAATGAATGAATGAATGAATGAATGAATGATTGAATAAATGAATAATGAATGAATGAGTGCATGATTGGAGGAGTGGATGATCGTCACTTTCTACATCATACTTCCCTTCATGATGTAGAAAGTGACGATCATCAAAATCGTCGTCATTATCATTATATTAATTACTACCATCACCGTAATCTCCTTATTGTCATCATCATCATCATCATCAGCATCGAACATCATCATCATTACCATCATTATTACTATCATCAGCAGCAGCAGCACCACCATCATCATCATCACCGCTATCATCACCATCATCACTAAAGTTATTATATCTTTCGAACGCCACCTAGCGCCCACGATAACATTACGGCTGTCTTAGAGGCGCACATTACCAATGTTGTGAGAATGGGGTCTATACGAAATGACCAAAAATATGATTGAAGAAAAGGTGGAAAATATTTTGTGAGTTTTTTCTTCCCCTCTCTCTTGTAAGTTTGAAAGTGTGCAGAGCACACGAGTTTCATCAAGATTGATTCAATTGCCTATCATTTTGATAATTTTAAATCATCACAGTAAACTATTCACAAATTCCCATTTTCCTTCATCAGCAACCTTTCCCAATTACATCTAATCAGGTTCTTTTAGTTTGTATTTAATAACATGACCACAATTCAACTTTATCTTTAAGAATCGCCAATGTTCAAATGAAAGATTAAGCACAAACCACACGAAATCTTCACAAAGTATCTTATTCCATTTTTTGTACTTACATTCAGCTGTTGTGCATTCTGCCCCATCTGTACCGGCGAATGAGTCTGCCCAGAAGTTTGTATACATCTAAATGAAACACAAAAAGTTAAATGTTTTCGAATGTTCAGTGTTTTTTAAATTTTGAATACCACTTCAGTGAGGAAAGGGAAATACGAATGAAAACAAATCAATAACTACAGTCAAAACTGTCTCAGTGGCCACCTCTACATTTTAAGTCCACATGCCTATAGTCGTCATGGATTCTGTCTCCCAAAGGAGAGCCTGTCTAGAAAGGCCACCTGTCTACAGTGGCCATTTTCTTTCTTTCCCTTGGATGTCCTGAATAGAGAGGTTTGACTGTACCCAACAAAACGCAGGGAATAAAACAAACGAATGTGATCAAACAATGCTGATTTGAAGGAAGAAAAAAGATGTATATTCATTAGAGACTAGTCAATGATATATCTAGCATATTGTGGAGCTTGTGTACGCACGTCGCACCCTCCCCTAGTGCAGTATCTGGCAGAATTGTATACTTTATCTCTATCTATGATTCACTGAGTATTCCCTATATTGCAAGCCGCCGAAGATGGCGTTATCAACGAACTCGTACGCCCAGCCTTTCTCCGAGCGTAGAATTTCGGGGATGACGTCAACTTCAGCTTCCAGCAAATAGGGGAAGATCACGACAGTGGATCGTTACTGAAAATAAGAATCGGTCAGATCCTGGAATTCTCCTCCATCCCCCCCTTAACGTCCAATGAGTAAATCAAATAATAAATACAACTTGAATCTAGAGAGGATTCTGCATTCCTGGTTTATGGGGAAAAATATGCCATTTTGCAATTTTAACATTGTTAGATCAACCCAACTTTTGCCAAGTATGGAACTCATTTAAAGTACGGGATTCCTTTCCTTCTTAGCGACCAATTTGACGAAACTATAACGAGATTATTATGGATGTTGCCTATAGTAATAAATGATAACTTCTATACCATGATAATTATTAGCATACAGGATACGCAAACTCTAATTTTTGCTGCAGCTACGATTCAATTTTCCGATGGCCATCTTTTTCAAAGGCGATATAGAATAGTGAAAAACAGTCATATTTCTATTGATATACCACTTTGAAAAATAAAAGTCTACACAAATTAAACTTCTTCTTTTGTATCGAGCACACTACACCAAAGAAGTCGATGTTTAGTAGTTCTGATTATTTTAAGGTGTATACAAACAAAAGAACAAATAAATAAAGGATCGAATTGTATTTAATAAGGAGGAAGCAAGATCAAATAAAAAATACAACACACAAAATGATCTAGATCCATATATGCTACGGGTACTGGAGTGAATATGCAATGAATGAATGTGCATGAAATATCCTACTAATTCCTTGAACATCTCAGAAACGTCGCAAGATTAGTATAACCTTTTAAAAATGGCAATTAATTTTCAAGTATCAATTAAAATTTGGATTGAAATTATGCAATTATCTTTTTTAATCATGTCCATTGCTAGATTTTTTTGTTATTATTATCTAAACAAGTTTAATTATACTTCCTTATCATTCCTTATGCTGCAATACTTAAAGGATGAGGTATTTCATTCCGTTTTGCCCTAAATCTTTGCAACTTACGTTATACCAGACTCCGACATATTTGTTGACGTCGATATCATACACCGTCCCCAGTCCTTCCGCGGGTGACGAAAAGCACAAGATGGCGCCGAAAATTGCGGCCAGCGCAAACCAACATGGAGTGTTCCCAGCCATTCTTTTTTCTTACAACAAACTCAGCAGAGATATGATATTGTCAAAATGCTGTTAACTCTTGCTTGTAGCTTGAGAATGAAGAAGATGATAGAGGGACTACCTCAATAAATCTATTACCACTAGTTTGCGGTCAATGGTAGGACGGTAACACCCAGAAGAAAAACGACTGACTTCGTCATTAAATGTACAAGTGTTATCTGGGTCCAGAGATATATCTCGGATTACGATAAGACAATGCAAGGAGACGTTCTTGGCTACAAGTGCCGCATACTACTTAAAATTAAAGTTGAGTACGGGTCATGCGATTGCGTTGAAGAACAAAAAAATGTCCGGAAGCAATTTGATAAGGATGATTATGGAATACATACGAAATGATATATATATATACCGGAAGGTGTTGAAATGATCGGAATGAAAAGAATATGACCCAATCTTGCTAAAAAATGTGTTTATGGGACTAAACATTGTTGTGGCAAGTTTGGTCCAACCCTTTCAGCTAGCCTATTTCTCGTCATATTTCGAATAATAAGGGCATGTGAAGAGCGTTCCTTTTCAGTGGACATTACACAATGATATTCTTTTAAACTGACATAAACAGTAGGAGAAACTCAAACCTTTTCTTTTAATTCTTCTTCTTCTTCTTCTTCTTCTTCTTCTTCTTCCTCCTCCTCTTCTTCTTCTTCTTCTTCTTCTTCTTCCTCTTCTTCTTCTTTTTCTTCTTCTTCTTCTTCTTCTTCTTCTTCTTCTTCTTCTTCTTCTTCTTCTTCTTCTTCTTTCTTCTTCTTCTTCTTCTTCTTCTTCTTCTTCTTCTTCTTCTTCTTCTTCTTCCTCTTCTTCTTCTTCTTCTTCTTCTTCTTCTTCTTCTTCTTCTTCTTCTTCTTCTTCTTCTTCTTCTTCTTCTTCTTCTTCTTCCTCTTCTTCTTCTTCCTCTTCTTCTTCTTCTTCTTCTTCTTCTTCTTCTTCTTCTTCTTCTTCTTCTTCTAATTCTTCCTTTTCCCCTTCTTCTATATTGTCTGTTATAACATTTACTTTTTTCCTTCTTCTTCGTCTTTATTTCTTCCTCTTCATCTGCTTCTTCTTCTGCTTCTTTTTCTTCTTCTTCTTCTTCTTCTTCTTCTTCTTCTTCTTCTTCTTCTTCTTCTTCTTCTTTTTCTTCTTTTTCTTTATCTTCATCTTTTGACCAGAACTCAGCGTTCTCTTTAATCCCGTTCGGTCCTGGTTACACCTTCAAAAGAGATTAGTAAAGATAACTACCAAAAAAACTGATATCCTCTTACTCCAGTTAATGATCCACTAGGTCCCTACGTACCAACGACCTACTTTGAGGATTATTTACGTTTTTAATTTTTGAACTAAATATCGGTCGATTGTCATAACCATTGGAATATTTTGTTCACCACAGATCAATAAAGATTTTGGGTGTTTACATTGTGATAATGGAAACGCGTCAATCTAACAAACAAACGAACGAAGTTATGAAATTATGCAATTAGATCAATAAAGATTACGGGTGTTTACTTGTGATAATGGAAACGCGTCAATCAAACGAACAAGTTATGAAACTTAAATTATGAAAGGCAGACTATGCAATCAGATTATTCTAGACCTGATGGTGGTCTGCGGCTTATAGCCACGTGACTGATTATAACATATAATTCCATAATCGGATGAAGATTTATGGTGAGATCCCGTGACATCTCCAGAAAATTGTTGATATTGCATCAGGCATGTATCTCGACATGTGAAAGGTTGTGGCGAATATGAATGCGTCATGTAATGATGATAACGATCTCGGAGGGGGGGGGGGGTTCACAAATACTAAGATCGACTTTAAGCTGGACTTAACTATGGCAGGCTGTTCATGTCACTAGTTCCTCTAACCATTCCTGGCATTGGTTTCTCAAGGGACTTACACATTGTGGTCACAAATCTTCAGAATTTACCTTTTTTGATAGTTCATTAATATAACAAAACATGTTATCTAAAGATCTTAATTGAGAGACCAATTGTGAGAGCAACCAGTGTCATTAATGGCCTGCCATATTTAAGTCCGACTTAAAGTTCATCTTAGTCTTTGTGAAACACTCCCCTTGACATGTATATAGAGCAAACAACAACTACGCAAGGTCCTCCAGCAAGGTCTAGATCTACTAAGTTCGGCGTTCACAGCAGTCAAGCATTCCTTCCTACCAATACTCATTTAACAACCGGTTGGAGAGTGGCAAATATAAATTAATATCTTGCCAAAGGATATATGGGTGTCACGGCGGGACTCGCAAACCATGTAATCTGCAGACCGAAGACGGCACCACTGGACCACGACACCTCTAATTCATGTGCAGCGGGAAATATCAGGATTGGGCAGGTGGCGAAGTACGATGTACACACGTGCACTGTACTAAAAAAAAAAAAAACAACAACAACAAAAATGCCCCTTATATGGAAAGCTTTCCATCTTTCGACTGAAGGATTGCCCTTTCAGTGGCTGCCGGGCTCACGATCAATTGGGCAAAAAGAATTTCCGTTTCGGTTTAATAAAATTTGGAGTGGACTATTAGGCTATTATTATTATTATTATTATTATTATTATTATATGTGCCTCCAAGTCTCTTTATTATTATCCTACTTATGGACAAGAGCAAGTGCCCCTTTATCTATAATTAAATTTACTCTTGTTTTTCTGCATTTTATTTTGTTTTTCTTCAAAAAAAAAGAAAGCACATTTGACATCGAGTATCATTATTTTGTTTCATGAATATGCGCTTTCCACATCTAACGAAACATTACAATTTGTAAACTGATGAAAATTAAAGCCTTTATATTTTACATAGTACCCCTCTAAAGGCATATTGCCCTACGGCACAAGTATTGTGAGCAAACAAAAGCCCTTTCCCTTTTAACTGTTTAACAAATATATTCCCCCAAATGAAAACAAAACTTGTAAGTTTTCATAGAATCTTTAAAGTTATTACACTGACGCTCCATTTGTTTCCACGTATTTTTAACGAGAAATAATGTATTTAAAAAAGAAAGAAAAGATACACAAATCTAAATATCCTTCTAGAACATAGCAAGCTTGCGCATAAGGCATGAGAATATTTATAGAAGTCATCGTTTATTTCGATCCTCCCCTCCCCCTATCTCTCTCTCTCTCTCTTTCTCTCTCTCTCTTTTCTTTTTCTTCCTTTTCCTCTGTTATCCTTTTCTATGATTATGTAGTCTCTACTCTCTCTCTCTCTTTCTATATGTTACTCTACCAGCTGTCCTTTCATTCCATGTATTTTTGGTCGTTTTACCGTAATGTCTCCCCCTCTTTATTCTTTTCATTTTCATTTTCTTGTCATTCTGCATCTTTCTTCGCCTCTTACCGATAATCCTTTATACAATTTCTCGTTTCCTCTCTGAATCCCGATTTCCTTGCATCCTCTCTTTAGAGATTATGATCATCATGTCAAGAAGCTGGCCCGACCGAAATGCCTCAATATTTGTTTCCATTCATCTTCATAATTTTAGAAAACGAAGTTTCAAATCTTAATTTGCTCATGTTGTTCCCATGAAAACTAAATGAAAAATGTTGCGCTGAATAACGAAATAGTATCGCATGATTTGTCATGATAGTAGGTTGTTTTTAATCATAAAATAACTACATGTATGAACTCAGATCATCCCTGGACGCAGTCAACGACAGCAGTATACTCACAAAATAACGAGGACAACTTCAAATTCTTTTACAACGCTTTTATTCAATAAATAATACGAGCGAGTCAACTTTCCCACAATTACATAATATCATTGACCATCTTTGCATTAAAATCATACGAAATCAGTGGCTTATCCAGGGGCAGTAGGGGCATGGTTCCCCCTTCCCCGGCAAAAAAAAAGATGTGGGGAGGATGATGACGGAGGCTGAAGACCTTTTAATATGTTGCTTTGCAGATATTCTTGTTTTCGTCACACCAAAAACCTGATGCCTTTTCTTGTGCTTGTCATAGAATTTTCGAATTTGTCATTTGTGCCCCACTCCTTGGCAGTAAATCCTGGATCCGCCACTGGGTTGGGCGTGGTCCGTTTATCTTTAGGGCGTGGTCCATTTAATCTATTGGGTAGGTGGGTAGACGCATTCTGATGGGTGGGGGATGGCATAGGGTTTCCTCCATGGGCCGGTGAATCCTACACGGGTTACGTAACGGAGGACGTCATTAGCGTACAGGGCTTCAAATTCGGCGGGGTCGCGGGCGAGAACGAATAGCTGACGAGCCGCCTCGCCGTCGGTGACGAGACTGTATTGGTACTGGCCGTTGACGACGGGTCCGAGATCGAAGATCCAGTCTAGAGGGAGAATGACAATAAAAGATATTTATTGAAATTATAAGTCTTAAAATCTTCTTTATTTGAACAAAATTTTAAATTATTTTTCCAATAAAATGTTGTGCGTACAGAGAATCTATAGGAACATTTTTTTGAATTTGACCAGTGAACGCTTTAAATGAATAAACATACAAATCACGACTATTTCATAATGATGTTGTTGCAATCGTTAAGAAAAAAAGTTCATATGACGAAAATCACTAGATGCAGGTTGTGGTAATCATCTTGGCGGATAATGAAAAGCAACAACTTAATAATAATAATAATAATAATAAAACATTTTATACAGCGCATAACACATATTCAAAATTGCATGTATCTACATGTATGCACTTTAAGAAAAAGAAAAACAATGCATTGGGTTCATGATTCTGATTATTTATGAAGTGGTGTAGAGATATGTCTGTAGAGAATTGGTAAAGGTTGTATAGGATCCTATACTTTTCAGTTGTTCAGGCAACTGTTCCACACACACAAAAAAACTTACTATAACAATCTACATTTGAGAGCATGTACGAACATTTTATAAGTGCAGTATGGAAAAACAGGTATTCAGGGAGACATGTTATGTCCAGCTCATTTATTAGTTGAGCAATACTTTCACGATTTCAATATCTTAATTCGAAACCATATGAATTCAATATCTAGCTATTTTTTATAGACTTTTTTCTTGAAAGAGGAAGAGGAAAGAAACCAGAGGGGCTATTTCTTTTGTATAATAATAGAGGTAGAGGTGTTGTGGTCTAGTGGATAAGTCTTTCGACTGTGGATCACAGAGTCCGTGGTTCGAGTCCCATCACGGTACTAATGTCCTTTGGCAAGATATTAATCTACATTTGTCGCTCTCCACCTAGGTGTTAAATAAGTACCGGTAGGGAAGGAATTCCTTGAATGATGTGAGCGCCGAAATCGGCTGCCTAGCAGAGCCGGGATAATAGTTGGAGTGCCTTGAGCACCATGCATGGCCGTGATTATGTGCGCTATATAAATATCCAATATTATTATTGTTATTATTATTTATAGTTTCGATTTATATTTTGACAATTTCTCTTCATATATTCATCTGTTTAAATTTTACTTACAATCTCCCTCCACGGGCACGCCTTCGAGGACGACCTTGAGCTTTCCTGGGACCTTGATGTCGGGGATGAAGGCGTAACCGCTGATGTCATCGGTGTACTCGCCATCGAATCGGTAGTTGGCGTTGTAGACAGACAGGAAGGTAGCGTTGATCTGGGCATCTGTGGAGGAAAGTTAGAAGTGAATGAACGTTTTTTTTTATTTTCATATTTTTATTAATTTCATTACCTTATTACATTTAGTGTGAGTGACAAGCCTTCGGAAGCAATGCACTGTAAAATATATATATATATATATATATATATATATATATATATATATATATATATTATTATTATCACAAACCGAAATGGATAATTTTAAAAAAAGGCTTCTAAATGCACTGGAAACATAACTTTCTGACGAAAGTTTCATTGTGCAAAGTTTCCCATCAGATTGGATTATGATTTCTATAAGTTTTCAAAAATCGAGATTGGTACCCAATTCGAATATTTTGATGATATCATATCTTCACGTAACGAAATTATTTGGTTTTATGAAGTAAGACAGAAGAAGAAGAACAAAGGAGATGTAAAAAAAGACAATATAGAAGAAGGGGAAAAAGAAGAAGAAGAAGAAGAGGGGCAAAATATATCACTGTTCTACTTACAGTCAGCTGTGACACAGTCAGGGTTAAACACGTTGGAGAAAAGATCGGCCCAGTAGTTGGTATAAACCTGGTTAAAAGAAATAACATACAGACAAATTCAAACATGAATTCTACTCTCCCCATGATTTATTAGTGTTCTACAATCAACAATGCATCTTGCCTTCAAAATTATACGTCATCAATTTCGAGGCACAGGTTGATATTAATCAGTTACATTGGGAAAACGCTTTTGTAAAGCACGCAGATATTTTGCAAAATACTATCTATGGAGGTATAAATATTTAAGTGCAAGTTTTAAAAAAATTAAAATGCGTTTTTGCATTTTAGTCCACGCCATTATAATTAATCTAATCAGGGTAATTATGATCACCTGAACAAGAAAAGACAACATAATCTGAAAGCAGCTGTTATACTTTTAGCAAATCATAACGTAATATTCTTTCTCAATATCAGAGTAATTACTATTCATCGGCAAATAGTACATTTCTCACCTGGTACCATCTGCCGACGTAGGCGGCGGGGTTGAGGTCAGGCACGACGTGCATGGCCTCGCTGCTGACGAGGGCTGCGGCCAGGAAGGCGGCGAGAACGAGCAACTTGGACATGATGATAGCGAGGACGATCCCACGAGTGGACTACGAAGTACGACGACGACGACGAGGCGGAGGAGGAGGAGGAGATGTGGTTGTTCTTGGAGTTTCGAGGTGGTGATGATGATGATGATGGACGATGGTGTCCGATATTTATAGTCGAATATTTCCTCAAATTTTCCTTTGAATAAGAATTCGATTGCGTAAGGTCATAACGAGAGATGGGGCCAGTTTGTCCGTTATGTAAGAAGATAATCTCACCGTTTGATAAAGTTATATTAAAATGAAATAACTGTTCCTAGGCAATAGAGCCTGCATAAATATAAATCTCGCTGTTGAAAATTGGACACATGGGATGAAACGTGATCAAATGTAATGTCCATTATCATTACTCTAATTTGTTTCATATCTGTTTCAATGTCTAAATGTTGGCTTCTATGTTTCTATGAAAGTCATATATCAAACAAGCTCCCTTGAACAATTAAGTACACAAGAGAGGAGATTAAAAATATAAAACAATCAGGTTAAAATAAGAGGAATAAAAGAGAATGTGGAGAGAGAGAGAGAGAGAGAGAGAGAGAGAAAGAGAGAGAGAGAGAGAAAGAATTGGAGAGAGGGGGAGGGCGAGAGAGAGAGAGAGAGAGAGAGAGAGAGAGAGAGGTGAGAATGTGAGATAGTATTGGAGAGAGAGAGAGAGAGAGAATTTGAGAGAGGGAGAATGTGAGGGGGAGTGTGGTCGTACGTTTTACATAATTTGAAAATGGGTCAAGAATAAATAATTTTCAGCCATCTCTCAAGAATAAGATTCTGGTGAGAATAAAGTATATTATGTGACAGTTTGATGGAAACAAAGAATTATGTTATACATGTAGGCCTATGTGAACAGCAATATTTGATATCCTTATAATAGAGTATGAATAATAACAAACATATTTCAAATGTACGAATGATCTCTATTAGTATTGTTGAATTTCCTCTTTCCCTCTGTCTCTGTCTCCATCTCTCTCTCTCATTCTCTCTCTCTCTCTCTCTCTCTCTCTCTCTCTCTACTCTCTGTCTCTGTCTCTCTGTGTGCTCTCCATCTTCCTCTCTCATTCTCTCTCTCTTTCTCTTTTTTTTTCTCTCTCTCTCACACACACACTTTCTCCCTCCCTCTTTCTCTCTCTTTCCCCTCTCATTTTTCTAGTTCATATGTTAAGCAACGTGACGGTAGCTTATGTTACGTAATGCTTTTCAATTCAATTCCTGGGACATCATATGGAACCTTTCTCATGGATACTGAACAGATCGTGAGAGAAAAAGTCCGGCCGAAATATGGCGTCCGTGATAAGAAGGGATTTTATAAATTATCCTTTGGGTAAATTTTCGGAAATATTCCATCTTTATCCGTGAGTCACCATGAAGAACAAAGTGATACCAGTCACGTTTGATCCATCGACAACCCACGTGTTGTTACGCCTAGTGGCGTAGAAACAGGGGGTACGGGGCCCATGCCCATTTCGGGGTCGTAAAAAGAAAAGAGGAGATAGAATTAGAGAAAGACAGAAAGGGAGAGGGAGGATAACGTAGACAAAAAGAAGATGGCCACACCCTAAACGTACCCGACAAACCTTTAAATCTGTATTCCATTCACCTCGTAAGACCTCTGCCCCCGCCCCCACCCCTTCCCGATACATGAGCCCCCACAATGGCTCAACCCACGCTACGTCATCGGTTATGCAACCCTCTTATCTTCCGCCTCATATAAAAAGATGAAACGTTCTCCATTTCATGTTTAATTTCTGAAGCTCCTGATTAGGTGGCAGTCGTCGTTCTTCTTTATATTTTGAAGTAATAATACGCGAAATTAAATCATAATGGCAAAGATGTTGATTGTTGCTCTGTGCCTTGCGGCTTGTCTACTCGGCGGCGATGCCATGCATACCGTCCCGGAGCTGCAGGCAGAGGCCTACATTGGCAGGTGGTATCAGGTAAAAACTCATATGGGGGAAAAACATGTCTTGTATATAAAGGAAGGGGCGGAAATAATTCGCCAAAGCTGGCATCATTGAAAAAGATGAATTACCATGGCCACGATAATGATGAGTAGTCGGAAAATGTGATTGCATACTAGTAGCTTTTTTTCTTCAAGTAGACATCTTTAGCAAAATTAACACTCAGAAGAGACCGCTTCATAGTCGGAAAATATCCATCTGAGAAATATGATGATTATGTTGTTTATGTGTGCAATATTGCCCAAAAATAGGAATGCATAAATGACAAGATGAGGTATGTTATTTTATATTTATCTCTGATTCTTTCAGGTGTACACAAACTTCTGGGCTGATCTGTTCTCAAACATCTTTGAACCCGACTGCGTAACAGCTGACTGTAAGTAATCAAAATTTAAATATGTCTGTCTTCTGACTTTCATTTTCCTGATGCTCCTAATTAGTCTATTTATAAGTATTCCTCCTTCCCGTTTGTTTGCCTTTCATTCTTAAAATTTGACATTTATATCCTTCTCCACTCTCCCTCTCTCTCTCTCTCTCTCTCTCTCTCTCTCTCTCTCTCTCTCTCTCATTCTCTGTAGTCATGGTAGTGGAACTTTGTTGTCGTGTTTCTTTGCTTTTCAATATATTTACCAGTTCTACTTGTTCTAGATATATTTCTTTGTACTTTCTCTCTCTCTCTCTCTCTCTCTGTCTGTCTGTCTCTCTCTCTGTCTCTCTCTCTCTCTCTCTCTCTCTCTCTCTCTCTCTCCACTCTCTCCTCCTCCTCCTCCTCTGCCTCGGTGCCTCCTCCTGCTACAATTCTTTTCATTGCTCAACACTTTAAGCAAGCATATTTATCAAACCGTGCTCATCATATCTCTGCAATTGCCCATTCTGCTAGTACCTAGTGGGATTGTTTCGTACGTATTCCATACTTCTGCACATATTGATTTCATCCGCCACCCTCTCACTCATATTTCTTATTTCGTTATTCCTTATCAGATGGCCTTCTGAACAGTACCTACGTCTCGGTATACAACGCAAACTGGCGTTTCGATGAGAACCGTACAGACGACATCAGTGGCTACGCCTACATCGTCGACGTCAGTGACCCCGGCAAACTCAAGGTCGTCCTCGATGGCGTCCCAGTCGAAGGAGATTGTAAGTCACCTTAAACGAAAAAAACATATTTCAGGATTTCCAAAGGCTCAGTCATTATATATTGTAAAATTTGCTTAATTTTCTTCAAGAACAAAAAATAATAAAACACGTTTGACACGATCGCAAAGGCTTTCGAGGAACCAGCTTTTGAAACATGCGAACATTGCAATGACGTATTACGTAATCCGATCATATTTTTGTGATGAAATTTAAAATAGGGTATTGATTTCGTTTTTCGAAAGTCTTTGCGATCGTCTTGTTTTAACGACAGATATTTAAAGGTAAAGTTGAGTTCTGGTCACGCGGTGTGGAATCGTTCAGAAAAGGTTGATCATCTAGCACATAAAGTATTGGTGTGTACTGCAAGGTTCTTGGTAAAGTTACAAGCACTGTACACACAAAGATGGATATGGGACTACACGAGCACGTGGCCTAAAAATCCGTCCCGATTTGTATGCAGTTACATGCCACATTTAGAATATTAAGGCATTTGAAGAGCCTTGCTTTTCGGGGAACATGTTTTATCTGATGTTCTTCCAGTCTTGCATAATAACAATGATAACGCTCACAAATTATGTTTCACCTCTTCCCAGAACTCAACCTTCTCTTTAAACCTACATGTTAAATTTTATTCATCAATAAACTTAAGGCAGTCATGACATATGCAGATTTTATTTATACATGAGATAGCCTAATTAAAGAAAAAAAAATCGAAGATATAAAATTGATTATAATATAATCCACATTTCCCTTCTTTAACAGATTGGATCTTCAAGCTCGGACCAATCGTCGAGGGTCAATACCAGTACAGCCTCATCACGGACGGGGAAGCCGCCCGTCAGCTCTTTGTTCTCGCCCGTGATCCCGCAGAATTTGCCGAGCTTTACGATAAGGAGGTCATGGAGTATCTCCCCCTTCAAGGGTTCACCGGGGAACGCAAGCAGCCCTACGCCATCACTCATAATGCAGACTGCGTATACCCCCCGAGAAACTAATTTTCGGCAACAATTTTCATCGGGGACGAATACTTGTTTAAAGCCCGTCTGCACTAGTTTGGCCAGGGGAGATTAGACCTCCCTGCAAGGTCACTGACAGGTGGTTATTTCATCAAATCAGTTCTGGGGGTCCAGCAGGCCCCGATTAGGCATTGTTTGCTATATAGAGGGCGCAAATAGCTATAAGTAGTGCAGTGGGGCTCTAAAAGACATTAGACATAATCATTTATTATTGGTTTGATCATGCTTTGTGTAGTATTGGTCAAAATCGTGCATTCGTTTTATTTATTATTTCCCCGTGTATCGTACATGTATGTAATGGAATTCCATGTAATATTGGCATCCAAAATATTTTTGATGAAAATTCACCATTTGCCCTAATTTTAAGAGATAGGGTACTATTTTGGTGTAGGCTTATATCATGAATATATAACTAATATTCCTCTGTGCACTTTCTGCGCTGCACCCAAAGGATATTGCGTCATCTCATCCAAGAATATTTATAGAGTATTGATATATTTTGTCGCTTTAAAACAAAGTAAACAGACTCAAACAGGAAAAGAACTCCGCAAGGAAAATGTTGATGTAACTATGAATTGAGTAATTATTGTTTGTACTCACCCATGATCACGACTGTGCTGTGGTGTATTAATATATATTTGTTTGACTAATCGTGATATTTTCCTCAGCAATTATTGTAAAAAAGTGTCTTCAATATAATGTGCCTTCTTTCAACTGAACGTTCTTTTATTTATAGTCATTTGAGAAATCTTCATTTTTTATCAACTAAACCTTTTTCATTCAAAAGGATATCATGCCAGTTGTAGACCATCAAATAAAATCAATCGAAAAGAAAGATCGCTGTTTTTGTTCTAACTTGTTCATCTCCACTACGTTAACTCACTGTCGATGATAAGAGTAAATGAGGCGTGGTTCCAGACCATTTATTTACAAGGGTGGGAGGGGAGAATATGGCTAACAGTCATTCTTGTTGCTATTATCACATAGAGTTCAATTTGAAAACTACCATGATTATACGGAGGAGGAGGAGGGGGGTCGAGCATAGGCTCAAAGTCGCTTGTTTAAAAAGATTGAACATTATTCTGATATCTCTTTGTTTTTATTTCATCCATTGTGAACTATGGAAAATTCGCTTTTGATAGTTAAGGCTCAAAGTCGCTTGTTTAAAAAGATTGAACATTATTCTGATATCTCTTTGTTTTTATTTCATCCATTGTGAACTATGGAAAATTCGCTTCTGATAGTTAGTTTTGTCTCAAAGGTAAATGTTACTCGTCACTTAATAATCTCTTGGTATTAAGAACAAAAATCCTACCCCTCTTTTAGGATTCTAACTTCCTGTATATATTCATATCAAACGAAATTTCCGTACCATTCACGGCATGATCTATTTCAATGTTTACTAAAACATGGGATTAACGGACTAAAGTCCTTATTAACACAAAGGATTATCTGCTATCACAAGCCTCATAATCATTAATTACATGTCTGATTAGCTCAGCATTCCAGTATATGCTCCATCACAGAAAGAAGAGAATTTTTACAGAATTTCTCCATGACTTCAATCTGAAATCATATTGCATACGTACTTATTTTAGGCCAAAAGGGCCATTGTGGAAAACAATTTTTAAACTGAAAATGCTACTCTGTATAAATAAAACTAGAAATAAACAAATGAGAGGAGTGGAGAAACCCTCACACACCTTAACAGTAGCTGAATATTCGGTACAATCATGCTGGGCTTATAACTACAACCCTCTGCCCCTCCACCAGCCCAGCACCCCCCCCCCCCCCCACCCCTTCTGGAGTGCAAATACGATATCACTCCGACCTTTTTGTGTGCTTTATGTGTCTTTAAAGTGCCTCGTAGTTGTGCTGCCTATATATTTGTTTTCTTCAGAGCAGAATTGATACGGGATTGAAAGCAATACCTTTCCAAAAAATCACAGTAATAAAAAAAAAAAATGGCGCAACGGGTTTATATTCTAGCCTTGGTTTTGGCTGTGTCGTTTTTCACGATTGAGTGTATGCATACAGTGCCTGAACTTATTCCAGAAGCTTACGTGGGGAGATGGTACCAGGTAAGTTTAGGAAGTTTAGTTTTTTATCTAGACAGCCGAAGAAATGATGCCTGAACTATTTTGGTTTGGTATATGTAAATGGAAAGTGTTTGGAAGAGAGAGAGAGAGAGAGAGAGAGAGAGAGAGAGAGAGAGAGGTATAATGACGGTATGGGCATATCATATTTTAAACAGCGAGAGAACGATCACTGAAAATAAAAGGGAATATAACATTATGATTAGTATGCGTCTATTATGTCTACCCATTATATCATTCATCTATAAAACACACAATTTTGTTAACAATTGATAAAAGACGACGACGATGATGATGATGATGATGATGATGGTGCTGATGTTAATGACTACTACGACGACGTCGACGTCGACGATGATACTGACGATGATGATGATTGTGATGCTGATGATGATGAATAGGATGATGAGGATAAATTTGATGATAATGACGCTGATGATGAAAAAATTTAAAAATTCAAATATCATATAAAAACAAATAACTTCATTTCTAATATCCAATTAAAAAAATCAATAAATTCATTTCAAATATCCAATTGAAAAAAACAATAGATTAATTTCGAGAACTTAACATGTTTTGCATCGTTTCATTCTCATTTATCCAGGTCTACAGCAACCGATGGGCCGATCTTGGTATTCAGGTCATCGAGCCGGATTGCGTGTCTGTCGATTGTAAGATTTTATGATTATAGATACCTTGTGGATTATAAGGGAACAAGTGATGGGGGGTGGGTATAAGAAGAAGAAGAAGGAGGAGGGGAGGGGGAATAAACAGATTAAGAGAAGAAAAAAAAAGAGAGCGACAGAAAGAGGAGGAGGAGAAAGAGAGAGGGGGGAGATGAGTGGGCAGAGAGAGATTGAGAGATTGAGAGATTGGGAGAGAGAGGGAGAGAGAGAGGGGGGTGGGTGGGTAGAGAGAGATGGAGAGAGAGAGAGAGAGAGAGAGAGAGAGAGAGAGAGAGAGAGGGGGGGGGATAGAGCAGAAAGAGGAGAGGTAAAACAAACACTGTAAAACAAAAGGGGACAAAAAGTGATCATCAAGTTATGTGAAACTCTCCAACTCTATATATAAAACGTTAATAAATTAGTAAATTAGAGAAGGAAAAATACTTTAAAAGTGTAAATCATGAATCGTACTATCATTTGGTGTTGATGAAATCATGGATGATGAAAAATATGAAAATATAAATTATGTCGCACTGCACATGACATGCATGCAATAAGAATCTTTAAATGTAAGTCGTATACACGCATTCATTTTCTTGCTTTATATCTTTTATTCCTATATACACCTCTCCATTCTTTCTTTCTTTTTCTTTCTGTCTTCCTTCCTTCCCTCCTTTGTTTCTATCTGGTTCTTTGTCTTTCTTTTTTTTCTTTTCTCCCTCTCTCTCTCTCTCTCTCCCCCCCCCCCCCTCTTCCTATACCTTCATTATCATGTGTTATAGATGGGATAATCAATGCGACCTACGTGACAGTGTACAACGCCAACTGGCTCTTCGATGAGGAGCGGACAGACGACATCAACGGTTACGCCTACATTCCCGATCTCGACAAGCCAGGCGCGCTCATCGTCGTTCTCGAAGGGGTCCCGCTTCTTCTAGATTGTAAGTCGTCGTCGTCGTCACCACAATTTCGAGCACTTTGTTTGTATTTTACCTTATTTGTTCATGACTATGTACGATATTGTGCAGACGTTTTTGACTTCTTTCGGCATTACAAGGAACAAACTAGCATAATTGATTTAGGAAATGCCAACACATCAAGATGTGTTTATTCCTAGTGTTAGAAAAGAACAAACAAAATGGAGCAAGAAGTAGTACAAAAATTAATGTTATGAAAGTGCAAAAACTACAGCGGAAATTAAAAGGATTTCTTTTTGGACATAATAAATGAATGCAGTGTAAATGAATGCAGTGGGATGATAATTCACCTTTTTCAAATCGTGGCACCTTTCTTCATAGCTATACTCTTCTCCTGTCGTCTTCTTCTTCTTCTTCTTCTTCAATGTATGATTCGGTTTAGTCTTCAGTACTTTCTTTTTGCTCATCGTCACCCTTATCTAAATGACCTAATCCTTAATTCCCAATACAGACTGGATCTTCAAGCTTGGGCCTATCGTCAACGGTCAGTACCAGTACAGCCTCATCACCGACGCCGAAGACTCTGCCCGACCTCTCTTTGTGCTCACCCGCGACTTGGACGTGTTCGCCGAGCTTTATGACCAGGAGGTACGCGAGTATCTCCCCCTGCACGACTACGTGGACGGTTTCAAGACACCGTACGCCACGAATCAAAACGCGAGCTGCATTTATCCGCCATTAAATAGGAATTGAAGAACATTATAATTAGGCCTAAAACAGATGTTGTATTGCCCTTTGCGACCGACCCCAAAATCTTGGATTTTTTAAAACCATTTTTGTATTAAAGCATTCAAAACTAAGAAATATCAGCCCATAGATGGAGTATAAAAAAAATATTAAAAAAATTAAGATTTCCGATCTACCAACCCATGTTTTGGCACCTAAAGGGCAATACAACATCTTTTTTTAAGCCTTATACAAGAGACTAAGTGATGAAGAAGCAATGAAGAAAATCTATTACACTCTTAATACATGTTTCACAATAATACGAAATTATTGTGTTCCACAGTTATTTATGACTGCATGAAGGCATTGTTTCGTACATTTTATTTTAAAATGTCATAATTGCAACGCTGTTTTAATAGGATTCCTTTTATAGTATCTGAATGAAACTTTTCCCAATATTCATTATATCCAATATTTAACGTTTTTTAATTTAATAACAAATTATTTTTAGAAACGTTTTGGTATTTTTTCATGATTTAGGGCTGGATTTTGTTTATATCTTTGAATAAACCTAATAAATATTCTTGAAAAGGAACTAAAGACGTGTGTGTGAATGAGTGAATACAATTTTAAGTGACAATGACTAATGAGGTTCTCGAGTCAGGCAGTGGCGTAGCATAATAGTTCAATCGTGTGAGGGGTGAACTGAGTCTTCTAAATGGAAGTGGATGGATTGGGTTGGAGAACACGGTGACGAAGCAGAGAAGAGTCTTGAAAAAAACTGATTAATAAAACGACGACTGAGAAACGATGTTGATATGTTTAGAATAGACATGTAGCTCACTGTGAGCTACTCACATTACATATTTCATCATTCTCCCATTTTGAAATTGTAGACATGTCTTGAGCAACATCAAAAGTTATTTCTTTCATTAACAGAGTTATATTTAAAGGCAGTTGAGACAAGAAAGAAACTATCACATGAGGTGTCATTGTATGGTACCCATTCCATCGAATAATGAATGACAAACCATTTGCATAAGTCCTATCATTGCGTTTGGATAAATAAAATCCATACAGTCAAACAAGGCATCGGCGTGGTTTCATTTCACAGAAAGATCTGGATAAATAAAAACTTAGTAAAATACTTTGACTTTCTAGATATACATGTAAATATATTTAATCATATTGGCCTGTTTTCAACAAGACTCAAGACTCGATCTTTTTTCTTCTTTTTTTTAATTCGGGTTTTAAAAATGGAGTTAATCTCAGTTTGAAATTATTTTGTTAAACGTGAATTTAGACGTTGGGTCGGGGTTTTGACGGACCAATGGTTGTTTTTTTGTCAATAAAAAGAAACGGTATTATAATAAGCAACTCCATCTCAAATTCATGATTCTAACCTTTTGAATGTAAACAATGATATATTCTGTGCATACACAGACATAGACCATTCGATATCAATCTGATCACTTTAGATTATGTCAAGAGTAGCCTTTATAAACACCCAAGTTCCAATCGTTTTGTAATTTGTATGGCTTATCTATTATATCATATTCAGTTGAGTAAATATTTAACTTTATATAAATACAATAATGATACCCTGGAATATAAAATGCCTAGTTCCACGTTTCCAAATTATGAAATCTAAATTTTCCTGGTCATAATAACAAATAATTTGTCGTTGCGATAAATGAGTGTAAGCCATAATGAAAGTTCGTTTTAACCAAATCATCATGACACAAATTGAGTTTGATTTCCATCACAACCGCTAGGCAATCGTAACTTTATAATTAATCTGAAGATTTGTGATAATAATAATAATAATAATAATAATAATATTCCGTGTTTATATAGCGCTCAATACATCGATCCGACGATGTGCCTAAGCGCTTTACATATATATTATTACCCCGGTGATCTGTAATTTAGATCAGTCGTTACTCTACGGTATATAAAATTGGGGCCCAGTAGGCAAATAATAAATTCATCGATCTAGTTAATTATGCTAACCATTATCATCATTCAAATTTTATCTGAGAACGGACATTTTGATGACCCATATACATGTATTACGGTATGTGATTCGATTTAGTTTATAAATATATATAGGATTGGTGGGGTAAAGGGCACATTTGCATAAAGGATTAACCCCAACCGTCAACATAATTATTGCAGATAGCTTCATCCCTAGTTTTAAAGGTACATAAAGGTCTCCTGCATTTGTCAATTTTAACAATTATTTGTCAACTCTGTGGTGTTTTCTTTTAAAGATGTAGATATTCAATTGATTTATATTGTGATATCATTATATATGTATTTTGACTTTTGTCTTTGATATATATGCACCTAGTTTGTATATTACTTTTCATTTTGTTGAAAAAATGCAGAAATAAAATCAAACAAACAAATCACACACTCATTTCTTTATGAATAAAAATATCAAAGATTTCCAAAACAAAAAAAGAGATTTCAAGTGATGCTTTTTTTCTCTCCGAAAATAAAAATGAGATAATCAGGACAGTTTTACCTTTGCGCATTTACTAATGGATAAGAAGATAAACAGATGAGAAATGCATATTTCTTCTTTAATTTGGTTTCGCTGTTGCGGTATGTATTCCGTGCATCTTTAGTCAGACTTATGTAAAATGTAACTAGGCCAATTTGGATTGTTATGGAGATTTTAAATACAAACAGCATATTTTGGTATTCTCGTAGGAGATAATGAAGTAATAGCAATTTAGGCTGATTATGCAAAACTTGATAAGTCACACCCCGAAAGAGGAGCCAACATAAAGCAGCATGCTCCAGTCACACCGCGAAAAGTGACTCCACATCGACACCATGCCGATCAGAGCCCTGTTTCATTAAACCTTGTTATCAATGATTAGTTACGATAACGGTTATAAGCTACTGAAACGTGGCATTTGATTGGCTGAGAGCAAATTTATTATATGTTATTTTATTTAAGCGGAATAAAAATGAAATTGTCATTTATTATGTAAAATGTAAAATTCAAGCTGTAACTTCCTTCTTCTTATCTTCTCTCTCTTCTTTTCTTCCTGTAACTGTCTTTACCTTATCTTATCTTTATGTTTCCTCTGTCCTCTGTTGTTGTGAATGTACGTACTATGTTTTTTATATAAAATAAGTTGGTATCTTGTTTATGCACAGTATTTATTTGGGGATCATTCTCATCAAGCCAATTCTGGCTTTCATGATTCCCCACTTCTTTTTATCTTATGATGATAATGAACGAACATGTATATACTTTTGATGTTTTTTAAAAGAGAGTGAAATAAATAAATGAAAGGAATGAAACAAGTTTTATGGAACAGGGCCCCTTTCTTTTCCATTCGGTTGAATGTATTTGTTTGTTCAGTGTCTCGTCGGTGTGACAGACTGGGTATTAAATATAAGTTAAAATTTGTCCAATATATAACACACCCATCCCGGTGATAATACTGCGGTGTCACCGGTTCCCCTGCCGCTGGCAAACCCACAAAACTGTTTACTATATGACATCATCTAAATTGCAGATAAAGTCCAGGGGGTGTTTCACAAAGATAAGTTGAACTTATCTCTAAGTTGGACTTTAAAATTATGGACAGCCTTTAGCATCTTTGAAATATTTTGTAAAAGTTATTTCAAAAGCCATCAAATGTTGATCTGAATCATTCATATTTTCTATTATCAAGGAGGTTTCATGTTCTTGATGTGTAATTTATGAAAAGTCTAAAATACTTGAATTTTTGCTATTGAATATATTTTATTTTAAGGCTACAAATGTCTCTCCATAATTAAGGTTGACTTAGGATCTTTGTGAAACACCCCCTGGTTTGATTGTCGTCCACGTAAGAGCGGGTTTTCCATATTACGACATAAAGTTTACATCCAAGTTCTAACGTATTTAGTGGATTTAGTTTGTGTTTAATACGGATCAAGTTTAGCAACCATGGCGTCATTCTACAATATCCTGGTCCTACTTTTGGCTTTTTTCGCCATCACCACCCATGGAATGCATACTGTGCCCGAACTTAAGGCGGAGTATTACTCTGGAAGGTGGTATCAAGTAAGTCAATTTTTATGATACTTTTTTTTTTCTTCAAGTAAGTCATTTTTGTGATACTTTTTTTTCTTCTCCAACTTCAGTCATAGCGAATATATCGTCAACTATATGGAATATGCAGGGGGTGCGGGTAATTTCATTATAAAACACAACCAGAAAATGAAATACATAAAGGAGCGATGATATAGGTCCATTCGGAAATATGTTAACGTATCGGACATGTGGATTAATAGTATTAACATAACTTATAATTATGATCAAGTTTTACATTCTTTATCCGTGGAGGTGTCGTATGGTGGTTCACTCACTTGACTCTCAATTCAAGGGTTGAGGGTTCGAATCGCAGCTCGGCACTAACGTCCTTTGGCAAGATATTAATCTGCATTTGCCACTCTCCACCCAGGTGTTAATCATTGTGGACGTCTGTAAAAATTGAGCCTGGTTGGAATGCTCCCCAGGGAGTGGAGAATGTGCATAGTTGAATCCAATGACCGGGTTTGTTTCATATATGTAAAGCCTAGAGACATCGTTGATGTATTGAGCGGTAATATAAACCCAAGAATGATTTGTAAAATAATATTTAGCCCCCCCCCCCCTCCCCCTTACTTGGCTACTTCATTGGATAAAATCAAAATAACAAAGAAACGTTCATAAAGTTACATAATTATGTTATGAATATTAAACTTAACCCAGAATGGTATTATTATTATTCACAATCAAAGGTCTATACGAATGCTGTATCGGATTTTTTCACTGGAGTTTCGGAGCCAGATTGTGGTACTGCAGATTGTAAGTTGACCCATATTATATCTCTTTGCTATTCATTCAATCAGTCAATCTGTCTGTCTGCCCCCCCCCCCCTCCTTTTCTCCTCTCTCTCTCTCTCTCTCCCCCATCTCTCTTTCTTTCTCTCTCTCTCTCTCTCTCTCTCTCTCTCTCTCTCTATCTCTCTCTCCCCCTCTCTTTTTTCTTTTTACTCTTCTCCATCTTTATATTCCTTTGTCTCTCTATCTCTGTTTCTTTCTCTTCCTCTAGAGTCTTTATATAGCCTTTTCTCCTTCTATCGTTGCTATTCTACATGACCAGAACAACCTTTTGAAGGGATCGATGTACTTTAAATAAATTAGCAAAACAGATACTGTCCTATATTATAGAAACCGCAGCCTTGTATCTTATCATATCTGTTTTTTTTGTAGTATAATATGCCGCAGTTAAACTGCAAAACAACTAGAAGTGATCATTTTGAAAAAGGCATGTCGAAGTTCTTGCTCCCATTTCTCGTCTCTGTTTCATATTAATAAAACGAGAAATAACAAATCTTTAGCTATAACCATCCTCGTTTTCCCATCTGTTTTTCTTTCTCTCTCTGCTCTTTTAAAAAAATCCCCTTTAACTACTTTTCCTCCTTCCCTTCCTCCTCACACAAACAGACACATTAGTCAACTCGACATACGTCCAGGTTTACAACGCCAACTATCGTCTGGACGATGAGTTCACGGATGGACTAGGTGGCTACGCCTACATTCCAGATATATCTGTCCCAGGACGATTAAAGGTGGTACTTGATGGTGTACCAGTGGCGGGAGATTGTAAGTTTGGAATCTTAACTTGGAAACTTAACCCTCTTTTTCAAATCTTGTAACCCGTTTTGTGTTACTTCTTTATCACAATGATAAGGCGAATTTTATATAAAATATAAGATTATCAGAGCACTTCGCGCAAGAATTATTAATTTTCATCAGTCTCTCTGGGTTAATGATGGGGTTTGGGTTGAGTGGTATATGCTTTATTGCTTTTCCGTCTAGCAAATTAGGGGGAGAGGAGGGGAAGGGAAGGGAGGGGAGGGAGTGGTAGGGGGTGGGCCGTGGAGGGTGTGGGGGGGAATTCGGTGGGTGGGTTATACGAAATCTACTATCGGAAGGGGAGAAATACACCGTAATCGAGGTTTCAAAAGGCTTTTAACCTTAATAATGTTGGTATCATTGCAAAGTTAATGTTACAATCTTGCTAATGGTTAATATTTAGTTTTCAAAAATTGTTACAGATTTGACTTATCTGCTTTTAAAAGTGGTGAAATTACTACCCGATTATTCCGCCCTTGATCGGCCCGCTATTGTGACGTACGATTCGTGACGTAGGAGGTTGGGCACATGAGCGAGAGTGCGATCCTCAAGCTCACACACAACTCTCGCCTGCATGCATTATACGTATACAAACGCCACTCGAACGCTAAATATCTGATCAAAATGTCCGAGCTCGAAGAAGAGGTTTTACTCGATTTAGAATTCGAAGTTGATGAGCACAGCTCCACAACAGTGGTACTGGTAGTGATAGTGATGATTATGATGATGGGCAAGGGTGTCGCTTTGTATCCGTGGTTGGGGGGGGGGGGATGATAGGTGCCAAAATATTTTCTGCAATGGATCAAAGCAACCAAGAGGTAGAAGCGTGTGGCAGGTTGCACCCCCTCCCCAAGCGCGTAGCCAAGATTTCATTTTAGGGGGCGGTAGTGGGCACGCAAAGCGTGCAAATCACTTACAGAGCGCGCAAAGCGCGCTTCCTAGGGGGTTGGGTTTCCCTCTGGCCCCCTCCCCCGCGAAGTGCAGAAGCTTTGACGTTTCATTAAATTATTAGAGAAAAAAGACGATTCGATGTACCATTCATAGACTCTTAATCCTTGTTTGAATCAAGTTCCCCTTCCTCCGCGCGTAGCGCGGAAGCTCTGACGTTTCATTAGATTACTAAAGAAAGAAGACGATTCGATGTACCATTTTCGACTCTTAATCCTTGTTTGAATCAAGTTCCTCTTCCTCCGCGCGTGTCGCGGAAGCTCTGACGTTTCATTAGATTATTAGAGAAAGAAGACGATTTGATGTACCATTTCTCGACTCTTAATCCTTAATGTTTGAATCAAGTTCCCCTTCCTCCGCGCATAGCGCGGAAGCTCTGACGTCTCATTAGATTATTAGAGAAAGAAGACGATTTGATGTACCATTCTCGACTCTTAATCCTTAATGTTCGAATCAAGTGTCCCTTCCTCCGCGCGTAGCGCGGAAGCTCTGACGTCTCATTAGATTATTAAAGAAAGAAGACGATTTGATGTACCATTCTCGACTCTTAATCCTTGTCTTAATTCAGTTCCCCCCCTCCCGCGCGAAACGCGGAAGCTTTACCGTTTCATTATATTATTAGAGAAGGAAGACGATTCGTTGTATCATGTCCTTGTCTGAGTGAAATTTGCCCCCCCCCCCCCCCCTCCCGCGCGAAGCGCGGAAGCTTTGACGTTTCAATAAATTATTACTCTTAATCCTTGTCTGTATTTATTTTCGCCCATCCAGCGCTAAGCGCGGAAGCTTTACCGTTTCATTAAATTATTAGATAAGGAAGACGATTCGTTGTATCGTGTCCTTGTCTGAATTCAGTTTTCCCCCTCCCGCGAGAAGCGCGCAAGCCTTGACGTTTCACTAAATTATTAGAGAAAGAAGACGATTCGTTGTACTGTTCTCTATATTAATCCTTGTCTGAATTCAGTTTCCCCACATGATGTACGTACGGAACGTTCGTTCGCAAATCTTTGCATGCACAGCCCGAGTGGTGGTTAGCATGGGTTATCTCCCGGCAGTGCTTGTCGCAATAGCTCCCGCAATAGCTTCCGGAAGGAAATTGTATACTTATACTGTTAATGTTAACGGCCACTAATTAGGCCCATTAGTGACTTTTCAAAATATATGCTCTTCCTTGATGGTCATCTTGCGAGTAATAACCATTAACTACTCTCATCATTAATTTTTCTCTTAATTTTTTTTTTTGAGGGTGAATTATTGGGGGGGGGGGGAATGATTGTACAGGCCATCCCCCCCCCCCCCCCACCTGAAATATTGGGGGGGGGGGGGATATATCCCCCATCCCACCGGGATCGACACCCATGATGATGGGGATGTAGGAGAGAAGAAAGAAAGAGAACAATTTGGAGAAGACGGCGTCGATGTTGGTGCAGGTCAAGTGATAGCATATCAGCGCGAGCTGGCTGAGCTGCCAGCTACCGCTCAGCTCCCCCGGCCCCGCTCAACTGGCGATCGATCTGTCATGACTGGGCGATACATTTTCTAATTTTGCGGAATGTGTTGGGCTTTTGGGCAAATTTCACGGATAATAACACAAAGTTAATAAGATGTGAGATTATATTTGGCGAAAATCTATTACAAATATGCACCATTCATAAATAGAACTGCAGCTGCAGGACATCATACAAATGCAAAAGAACGCTCGCGATTCACTCATCATGGTCTCCGTATATAATCAACAGCAATCACTATCACGCCAAGGCATGATGACCGAACAAATACAAAACATCTCAGCAAATTACACGGAACGGAAGGGTATTTGGACAAATCGAATTGCACGATTCACCCCTCGTATTATATTACATAAATTTGCTTAATATTATATGTAATTACATGATTTCTAGAGATTGTTATTCCACTTTCTGGCCAGGATATGAAGCATGCAAAGTCTGGATAATGTATAGCTATGCGAAATACCGCACGCGAGCTGTGCGAGAGGCGAGCTTGAGGCCTAGAATTGCGATCGTGCCCAACCAGGGACGTCATAATCGGCCTACTGCGCGAACAAAATGTTCAAGCCAGGAATTGAAGTTCTGAGAAGGTTCTTGGAAAAACTTCTTACCGCGTTTCATTTATATTTACAAGACTTTAGAGCAGAATGTGTGTCTTCATATTGGTCTACGCTATCCGGACATGTATAATTTGCCCATTTTGAGTGATTATGTGAAATTTCTTCGCCAAGCTACTTTAAAAGCACCGACTAAAAAGAAGTTTAATGGTATATCGCCAACTCATCCCACCCTGCCCCCGAATTTGGCAACGACATGGCCTTTTCTTATGGGTTCTGTTCTTCCAAGATCCCTTCTGATTTCAGTATTTTATTAATTCAAAGTATGCAATTTTTGTTGTCATCTGAAAGTACAGCAAGACACACCATTCCAATTTGATCACCCTTTTTCGTTTCTTTGCTCACATATTTTGAATTTCTTTTCAGACTGGGTATTCAAGCTTGGACCATTGGTAGAGGGCAAGTACCAGTACAGCTTGGTAACGGACGGGGAGGACGCTCGTCAACTCTACGTACTGTCCCGTGATCCTGAGGAGTTCTACGAGCTCTACGATCAGGAGGTCTCGGAGTACGTGGCCCTGAATGGGTTCACGGGGCAGGTCAAGACACCCTATACAGTACCCCACCGTCCAGAATGCCGCTACCCTCCTAACCCACCGGAATAGGCGATAATGTCCAGGGTCCTTAAGCACAAATAGTTACGATGTATTTTTGTTTTATCTCCCTAAAATTTATTTTCTCTTTAACTACAAACAATCGTAACTTTTACAATAAAATATGAACAAATAAATTATTTCATAATATCAATAACTGTTTTTATAGAGTGTTTTCCCACTTAAAACTTGCCAAAGAGCTTTTAATTGCTATTACCCCGGTCACTGTATTCAATTACTATTCCGCAAATTACGGTGCACGTTCTCCACTCCATGAGGAGCATTCCAGCTATAGTCGCACTCATACAGACGAGACGCGCAAATGCCAGTCCAGTCACACTGACCTTTCAATCCTACCGGGTATACACTTAGCACCTGGGGGGGGGGGGGTGCAATAGAATGCCTTGTTCAAGGACACAAGCGCCGTGCCGGGGTTCGAACCCCCGACCCCGACCAAACCACTCGCCTATGTTACGGATAGATACAATGCATGATGGTAAAATACAATCATTATTGCAGCAAGATTGAGGATGCAATAGGTTTCTACGGCTGTCTTTGATTGTTACAGCAAGTTGACTAAGAGATGGCGCTGTGCAGTGAACAGTACGCTATAGGGCAGAATATTCATCCGTGCAGTATCGCTTTAAATTGGCGTTTTCCAATCTCTCCAATATTATTTAAGTCATTTTGACATGTTAACATTATGGAAAAACAAAGTGTGCTACGAATTCCAGTTATGATTTTGTGAGCCTAAAGTCAATATATTTCCTACATCATTAGTTTCTTTCGTTGTGTATTCCTTAAAATAATGATGAAAACAAAATAATACAAGTTCGATAGAACGCACGTACAATTTTAAAGATATCGGTCACAGTGAAATAAAGATTCACAATATTTTTCAATATCATTAAAATTGTCTCAATATTTGTCTAATATCATGAATGTATCCTTCATTATAGTGTGCAAAATAAGTTATTCAAAAAAAATTACTTTAGAAGAGGATTGATTTTAGGTACGTTTCTTTTTTAAACATGAAATCTCCTTAATTGGAAAATAAAAGAAACATAGTTAACAAGAAAAATGGTTTGAGAGATAAAAGAAGGGAGAAAATCGAGGGAGAGAGCTAGAGACAGAAGGGGACAGAAAGAAAGACAGATGGGAATTATATGAAATAGGGAGAGAGAGAGAGAGAGAGAGAGAGAGTAGTGTTACTAACGTTTTCTGTGATAGGCCGATAGCCCTTCTTCTGCAGATTTCTTACTGAATAATCCTAATCGATTGTGTGTTATCAGCAGTGGCGTACGCAGGATTTGTTTCAATGGGGGGGGGGGGGTTAAAATCAAAAGGGGGGGTTTAAAAAAAAACATACATAAAACATACACATAAAAACTCGAGGGGGGGGGGTTAACCCCAAAACCACCCCCTCCCCCCCCCCCCCCCCCCCCCTGCGTACGCGCCTGGCTATCAGTTACATTTTGTTTGAATGTCAACATTTCTATTATCATTATTTTGTGTACACGTTCAACAAAAATCATAATATTTTGTATACGTTGTATCGCTGAAATGGAATTTGATTTGTATGCTGCAGAAGAAAATAAATTCAATTTAAATTCAAGTTCAAAAGTTTAGCATGGAAATTGAGAAAAAGAAGTGAATGCAAAATGCATGCAATGCTGATTTGTATATAACGTGTATGGTTATTAATACATTCACAGGCCCCAGTAGCAAATGTAATAATAGCGCAGTCGAAATGATCGACGCCCGATGCAACGGGAATAATGACATGTAAGCATCTGTCCAAACACAGAAAAATAATTCGGAGAAAATTAACCCTTTATAATCACGGTGCTTGCATAAATACCATATGGTAAGAATAAATCGACATTTGCTATATCTAAAATTAATTTTATTGACCTTGTACCGAATAAGGGCATTACAAAAATCGTAAACATCCACCACCAGTCAGTTGATCAAGTCAGTTTGGAGTATAGAGCTATTATAGTATCAATTAGCTGTTGGAACACTACAACGAACAAAAACGGGGGAAATGCCAGCTTATGGCCGCCTGGTGGTGTGATTTGTGGCGTCTAATTCTTATGTTTTCCTCAGTTACGGTGCTGTTGTATTGTTATATCCTATCTTCGGGATATAATTATAATCAAGTGGCTTTCAGACCATACATTGACCGGCCCTCAAGCCAAATTACCGACCGGCCCTTGAGGAAAACATCACAAACTCATGGCTAGTACGTCCCTCCTCGCACATTCAACGTAAGTTTCGTTTTATTCTTCGAAAAATTATATCCCGTATTCCTTTATAGGTCCTAACGTAAAGGTTTGCAATTGATCCAAACTGGTCGCTAGTCCTCCAGTCAATCCTAAAATGACAATACCCTACCTCTCATGTACAAATTTGCAATTAATATCAATTATGTGATTGTTCTTAATATCTTATATGTTTATATAATAGTTTTTAGTCCAAGCTCTCATGCTTTGTTTAGGTTCTTCCTTCGTTATTCACTTACATCATACTTTGTCTTTGTAAGACAGAGTAATACTTTGATCATATTTTGTGTGTTTTGTTGTATTTTGTAAACTTTCATCAGTTTATGTTTCTTTGTGTATCCCGTATTCAAACATTTAAAAGAATGAATGAAGGAATGAATAAATTATTATAACAAAATTATTTTCAAAAATCAATAACTGGATCAATAAATAAACAAATAAATGAACAAACAAATACCTAAATAAATACACAAAAAAGTGAACAATTAAAAAAAAAAAATCATTGAACAAAATACGTGACAAAATAAATAAACAAACAAATACATATACATTGATAATATTCAGAGGCGTCCCCTTCCTCTGATCCGTCATCCTATTACCAAGAATAATCAGAAGTACCGTGTCCGGAGTTCAGGCCTCTGCTACAAACCCACAGTTTCTGTCTGGTGCAAATCGAGTGCCTGACTTGGGGCCAGACAAATGTCTTTCAGAGTTTACACCTGTTTCCCGAAATCAAGTAAAGAAACTCATTGACTCGCTCTAAATCATGCAGCTTGGACCCGGTGCCATCGTGGCTCGTAAAGACTTGCGTTGACGAACTTTTACCGATTATCACATCGACAATCAACCTCTTACCCATGTTTGGTGAAGTCCCCGAGGCGTTTAAGACCTGCCTCATCACACCTCTCCTAAAGAAGTCATCGCTCGACAGGAATGACTTTAAGAACTATAGACTAATCGCCAACCTACCCTTCCTTGACAAGGTGTTGGAGAGGTTCGTATCCATTCAGCTCAGGTCTTATCTGGAGTCCAACGACTTATTCCCAGCGAACCAGTCGGCGTACCGGCATTATCACTCAACCGAGACAGCCTTGTTAAAGGTTGCCAATGACCTTCTGTTAGCAGCTGACAACGGACTTGAAGCCTGCCTGATCTTTTTAGACCTTTCATCTGCATTTGACTGCCTGGACCACGCGACTCTCTTCGATCGGCTCGAAATTTGCTACGGCATAAAGGGATCTGTTCTGGAGTGGATAAAGTCTTATCTTAGTGGTCGTTTCCAGAGAGTAACTGTGAGGGGGTCACTGTCACAGTCCCCTTTCCTCTCCGTTGGGGAGTGCCTCAGGGGTCGGTAGTGGGCCGGCCCCCTGTTATTTACCCTCTATACTGGTCCTCTTTGCGATGTGATCAGTTCGCACCATGGTATCCAGCACGCCATGTACGCAGATGATACCCAGCTTTACCTCGTTATGAGAGCTGATGTCGGCGACAGAAGAGATGCCATTAGTAGAGTTACAGATTATTCACTTGATGTCAAGGCGTGGTCCTCAACCAACAACTTGAAACTCAATGAAGCGAAGACTGAAATGCTGCATATGTCTTCTAGGTTGAGGCAGCAGTCTTATGATTGTCCCCCTCTGGATCTTTCTGGAGTTTGTGTGCAGAAGTCGGAGTGTATACGAGATCTTGGTGTAACTTTCGACAAGCACCTCTCCTTTGCTCAACTTATACTCAACAAGTGCAGGACAGCTTCTTGGGGAATTGCTAGGATTGGCAGAATCCGAAAGTATCTCGACAATCCTTCTACGGAAAAACTTATCCATGCATTCGTCTCATCTCACCTCGATTATTGTAATAGCCTTCTATCCGGTCTACCTCAATCCCACATTGCACCCCTTCAACGCATCCAGAATACTGCCGCTAGACTAGTCACACATACCAAGAAATCTGAACACATAATACCCCCTTCACATACACGGATTTTTCTTACGAGTCGTCAACTCGTAGTCAATCGCAAGCATCCGTAATTAACTCGCTGGTATCCGTAACGGGGCGTTCCCACTATCATGATTGGCGCCACGATTGAAATCGTGGTCTTAATCGTGGAGTAATCGTGGCAATCCTATCAGATATTATCAGATCTTGGGGTCAGTCGTGGTAGTCGCGTTGATCGTAGAAATTTTTTGGACGGTTCAAAAATTTTCTACGATCAACACGATTAATTGTCAATCGTGATCATTGCATCAGATCGTGTTGGATCGTAACAAAGCGCAACATATCGCATTTAATCGTGCTTCCTTATCGTGGTGATCGGGATCAACCTTGAACAAGACAAACACCACGCTCTGTTGAGATCTGCTGCGATCTCCCACAATCTGTCACGCTCTGTGACGCTCTGTCAGGTACCATTGCTCACGACCTGACATGAATGACTCAAGAGCAGATACAAGTTGATACGAGTAGGTGCGAGTGAATGCGAGTAGATTCGAGAAGTCACGCTCTTTCACGCACGTTTACGATCTGTTACGAGTTCTTGCGCCCATATAATATATACCGGACAAGATTGAATGCCTCATTTAGCGATCTTCACTTGAATGAGGCGCATCTTTTCAGTCAACTTGCTTTTACTAGTAATTTTTAGAGCCTTTGAGAGATGCCACCCAAGGGTACCAGACGAAAGAAGTGAAAGGGACAGGCTGTCCCACCCCCTGAGCCTGAACCAGTCCAGCCAGGGCCGGTACCAGAGGTGGCAGAGGAGACCACCCCTACCCAGAAAGCCAAGAGGAAGAAAACAGTAACTGCCTTTACTGAAGAGCAAAAGGAAGAAATAATGGAGTGCCTCATGACAAATGAGGTCCTATACAGCAAACGCCTTGCAGGCTTCAAGGATGTCACCCAGAAGGAGGATCTCTGGGCTGCACAGGCTGCAAAGATAAACACTTCTGTGGCGCAACTGAAAGTATGGTACGCAAGCATGAGGACCATGATGGGCCGGCTGAAGAAACGTGCCAAGAAGAGTGGGTCTGGAGGAGATGCCATTACTGACATGAACAGCACAGAGAAGTGGGTGTGGGACAAGTTCTCTTTTTTTTTATCCCTCACATTGAGACGGTAGTTGCCAGAAATGTGGCCTCCTTTGCAGCGGCAGCAGCAAGTGGCAGTGGCACAGAACTCAACCCCTCCACCAGCCAAACCTCAGTAGTTGCCTCTACCTCCAGGGCTCCAACACCCCCACTCCAAGCAGCCTCACCATCAGCCTCACCATCGGCCTCCCAGACAGCCTCCCAGCCACTATGTGAACTCGTTCATCAAGTAAATGTATTCAAATGGCAGCGCCCATATCATGCTAAAAAGCATCACATCATGCCAAGAATATCTTCATTTATATATCTCTTGTACATTTTCGTAATACATTTTGTACATCAAAGGGCAGCAATACATGTCATTTTTAAGAATACCTAAACTTATTGTTTGGGGGTAGGTTTCCTTTAAGATATACAGTAAAAATTGTGTTTAATAGTGGTCACCTCTATTAAGCAGCCGACTAGTATTAAGCAGCCACTTAAAGATTAACCGAAACAGCATTTTCTTCTATATTTGACTTGTATTAAGCAACCACATATTGACTTCCCCTGCATGGGTGGCTGCTTAAGACACAAGTGTGACTGTACTTGGAGATATACTGACTAGAAATAATAGACATAATGATATTCATATAATAAAGAAGAAGTTCCCTCGCTTTCTCTCTTTCAGAAAAACTGCTGGTGGAATTCATGTCCAGATGTACTGCTGCGTCTGGCAGCTCCTACTTTGGAAAGTATGTGGAGGAGACCCTTTCCAAGTTGCCTGGGGAGATCAGGAGGGATGCTGAGTCGAACATCATGAAGGAGCTGCACAGGGCTCAACGGGCAGCTGAGCACAGCCATATGCAGCCACCACCAAGCCAAGACCAGCAGACCCCCTTCCAGTTCCAGCAGGCCCCGTGGCAGCCTCACCCCTCTCAGTGGCCACCTCGCCATGTGGGGCCTCAACCCAGTGTCTGGGGTAGTCAGGACCGCAGCTACGTCCACCGACAGTTCCCCACGCTCCCGATGACCAGCCCATTACCACCAACCAATAAGCCACAGCCAGGACCCTCAGGGGGCAGTGCCACCACCACCACGACGATCAACACTGCGCTGTCCTCCCCCCTACATGCCTCCTATGTCAGCCTGCTGGGACCCAATACCCCTGATCTACTTGCTGAGGATGATGACACAGACCTGTACCAGACACAGGCAGACCCCCCGGACGACCAGTAGAGACTCCTTGTGGCAAAAGTACCCCCCCCCCCCCCCAGAGACAGAAACTCCTTAACGGCCCTTTTTAGGGTCACCCACTTCCTCTCAAACGAACATTGTGTGATGATTACAACAAATAAAAGAAATTGAAAAAAGATGTGTTTGTGATTTTTTGTTTACACCTGTTCTACACATTTGTACATAATAGCAGTGAAGGGATGTTCCTTTGTCTACCACAGCAATTGTTGAGGGTAGAACAAGGAACTGTATATTTTGTCGTCTTTCTTTGTCCGTCATGTTCATAGTGACATGCCCCTGACAAAAACTATCCTCAAAATTACCAATAATAGTATTTTATTTCTTTTCAAATGATAGTCACGTTTACTCTGATAACATTTGATTTGACTCGATATAGGCCTATTTATCTAAGGCGATTTGTATGCAGAAATATAGAAATGATATGGGAGACGAAACATAAAATGTGTTACTCCAAAGGCACCATCTCTTATCATGCCACAGGGCTAATCCCCAGTGTGCCAAGCTCCAAATCCCCCCGTGCCAGGTTGTTTTGGAGAAAATATGATTAACGCATGGTTCTATGAAAAGCGCATGCGAAACACACAGCACACTGCTACTAACTGCTATTACTAAAGCGCCCTTGCACGCACATGGCAGTGAATCAATGGTTAGCTCGCATGTACAAAGCACTATAACGGTAGCGTGCATGCAGCCTCATAGCATGCTATGAGTTAAACAAACAAACAAATCTTCCCACTGGGTACCCATTTACATCACCTGGATGGAGAGTGGCAAAATGTAGATTAATGTCTTTCCAAAGGACATAAGTGATCCACGGACCAATGACGTATACAGTAGACCACGACACCTTCAATTATAGCTATAGGATAAATGTTACCCCTGAAACCCCTAGACAATATCTCCTCTATAAACTAGGACACGCAGCAATAAAAAGAAAATCCCCAAAATGGATGATTTCACTAATTGGTGGAGGAATTGTAAAATGTTAGTTTTCCGTGTGTAAATTATCCCAAATGGAAGTTGTCCTACGTTCGTAGTTTTTACACTGTCGCTCATAAAGTTGGAATATTTTTGTTTTACCCCAATTTATGGAATTATTTTAAAAATAATTTTAAAATAATAGATCTAGATAATAGTATACATTCTCAGATTTTATTGAATAATAATTTGCTAATATGTGTTTTGCGTGACTGCTAAAGCATGTGTATGCTACTATGCTTATCAACGAGGGGACCTACGCCCTTAAGTCATAAATGACAGTAATGAGGATTAATGCCCCACAAAAGGGCACTAATATAGCACATCAACACGGTTTTGATCCTGGGGCCTCACAGTTACGAGGCCATTGCTTTGTCACTGAACCATGACTGTACACAGCGGGGGCTAGGGTAGGAGGCAGTTTCCATAAGTTAAAAAAAAAACAGAAAATGAAATAAATTTTCAATAATTTATTGCATTTTACCAACATAAAAAAAACCCCTCTGGACGGCAATGCATTATGGCTCAAGGCATGGGCACATTTGATTGGTTTGTCTGATTTTTCTGCTTCTATTGAAAGTAAGTTTTTGGGAGTGGACTTGTACTTTAAAAACTTTGGTATATATTTATTCGTAAATCTAGATTTTATTGTATTTTCAAAAAGTCATATGTTAGACCTTTTGGTCTAACATAGATCTTCTGGTCTCCATGGAAGGCCAGCTGCACTATGCAAGTGCAGCTGAAAATGGGCTATCCAACCGTCAATTTCTCTGTCTTTTTGTTTATTTCGTTCGTTTGTTATTTTTGTTGTCGATGTGTACAATTTAATGCCATGCGATTTTTCTTGTTTATGTTAACTGTATATTATGTATATGTTCATGAATTCCATTATATTTTGTTACTTAATAATTAATTTTCATTGTATCTTATGCTGCCCCTAGATTATGGAATATATTACCACTAGAAATAAGAAAAGCCCCATCACTAGATAATTTTAAATCAAAACTGAAAACTCACTTGTTCATATAGTATGTATAGCACAGCATTTACAAGCTCTTGCAGCGCAATAGAATATATCCACATACAACTGTAGTTATTGCGCTTTACAAATGAATATTATTATTATTATTATTATCTTATTTTTATATAACGGAAATAAAAACAAACGAACAAATCTTTATTAGAGTTTCATTTCATAATTAAATAAGGCCTACTGACTGTTTTAGTTTCCAGGCGACATTGCAATATCAATATTTGAACATGAATATGCAAGTCCTCATTTTTTTTGTAAAAGAGGGGCACATTTTTTCCAACCATGTAATGATAAGCAAAAGAAAAAAAATTAGGTGCCTTTTTACTCTAAAATCACCCTATCACCAGGAATAATCACACCTAATGACTTACTATCATTTATAATAGTCATTTAGAGACGACCCTTGTACCCTATTTATTGACTTCTCTGGGCGAACATGACTCGTCTAAACAGGTAAATGATTAGCAGCAACAATTCAAGCATGTGGTTAAAGACGTCCACTTCAGTATCCATGCATAATGCACAACGGTGCGCGTAGCAAACAATACAGAGGTAGAACATAGAAATAGAGCAATAATTGCACCTTAAAATCAGTAAATTTGAACTTCGGAAATATCCTGGTTTTTTATCAAAAGGAATCGATATACCAAGATGGCGGGATGCCGAAAATGTTCGTGCTCAGTCTCAGTCTCCGACTTCGGTCTTTCAACGACCTCGTACGATGTTTTCACGACAACTCAGGTGAGGCCAAGAGCACCGATCATTCATGATCGGACCGGGGCAACGAGTAGGGAACAGGGGTGGGGGAGACAGGCGGGCAGGGCCGTATGTATGCTAGATGGAAAAAGGCAATTAGCTGTAATTGCAATTTACCTGCCTGAATTTATGAATGTATTTCTCCGGTATGAAGTCCCTCAGTAATATGCCTGTTATTGTATTTATAAATCATACATGATTATAGCCTTCATCGTAAACTACAGAAACAGAAAGTTATCAATTTGAAAACCACCACGAGCAAGTGTAAAATGTCTTTTGTGGGCACCCTGATAACACAAGACGTATTCATGAAATAAAAACGTGACTTGGTGAAATTTGGACTGATTCTGCAAAGTAAATTCAGTCATTTTCATTTGTGGAGTGCCAGGAGTGGTTAAGTCTGACAAACAAAGCGCTATGCAATTACCCACTACAGTAAAACTTGTCTATAGCGACCGCCCAAGAGAAACACCAAAAGTGGTCTTTGTAGACAGGTGGTCACTAAAGCAGGTTTGACTGTATTAATACTAATATTCTTATTTTTATTATTCTTATGCGTATTATCATTATTATATTTTGCGTGTTTTCACTTTCCACAAACTAGCCGTAAATCCTATGATCACAAATGTTTACGTTGCTGTTGAGCATTATTTATTCCTCCTGTTTACAGTGCGCCCTCCCTAGGGTGATGCTCTTGATATACCGGTTACTGATGACCGGATACTTCCTAGCTTACCAACTCTACCTGTGGATTGATGTCATTAGCATCCAGGATTACATCTACATGACAACATTGTCCTACACCGTCTTCACTCTATATACCCTGATTGCTCTGGTGAACCTTGTGGTTGATATGTGTCTCCAGAGGCAGTCCAGTTCGTCTCCTGCTTCTAACGGTTAGTTCTGTATCTCCTGGCACGTGGCAGATCTCACATATTGCTCCGATTGTCTCATTTTCGCTCGCTGGAACATTGCCAGCACAAACCACTGACCTCTACCTCCTGGACGGATCATCGCCCATTCCCATCCACTATACGTTACGTACTAAAAGGCTGTATTGTCTGACCGTTCATGAATATTCATGTTTTTGCTTACCTCGGCAAAATGTTTGCTTTTACTAAATAGAAAAATTACAGTGGGGGGTTGGATGAAATGGACATAATGAACCAAGCAGAAGTGATCTATGATAATTCATGCTTCTTATCCTTCGTGTGCTTGACCAATGATCTTTCAATCGCTTGGCAAATTGAGACCAATGTTCGACTTGTTCCACATGTGTTATATTGGCAATGGCGAGCTTGCAACCTATTTTGATCAAATTACGGTGGGTGAACTTTCAAAAGACAATGAGACATGAAGGTTCCAATGAAAGAGCTAGTGATAACGTACGTCGGGGTGGATGTGCTTTTCGTTTAAACAAAAAATGAATTTTTAACGATTTTTTTAACATGTTAGGCTGCTGACTCTGACGATAGGGGGCGTTGTCATTGAGACTAAACGGAGCGATATGGTTAGCTGTTGCTTTCTGTCCTTTAATCCGACTGCTTTTAATTATTATATATGTTATCATTCGTTAAATCTTATCTGTTCACTAACTGTCGATAACTTGAATGAAATGAAAACTCGAAGTCAAATCATCTAATGCGATTTTTATGAAGAAATATAGAAATAATATGGGAGAGGAAACGTAAAATGTGTTTATTCAAAGGCACCATCTTAAACAAAAAATCATCCACCTGGGTACCCACTTACATCACCTGGATGGAGAGTGGCAAAATGTAGATTAATGTCTTTCCAAGGGACATGGGTGATCCACAGATCGATAACGTATACAGTAGACCACGACACCTTCAATTAGCGTTATGGTAAATGATACCCGATATCCCCCGAGAAAATTACATCTCCTCCATAAACTAGCACACTTTTAGCAATAAAAAGAAAATCCCCCAAATCGATGCTTTTACTAATTGGTGGAGGAATTGTAAAATTTTAGTTTTCCGTGTGGAAATTATCTTAAATCGGAAGTTGTCCTTCGTAGTTTATGGTCACCCGTAAACATGCATTTCTCAGCCCTTTTGATCTAGCTTAATCATCCATGGTAGATATCTTGGCAATTGTCCGGGTTCCCATCTTTCAGATGGAACTCTTGGGGTACGAGTCTAGGTTAATTGTTGGTTTCCCACAAATCAGTTACTGTTGTTTCCTCTGTCTTTATCCAGCCCCTATTCCTTTTCCAATCCCTCTTTCGTAAGCCAGTTTGAAGCCTGAATTTCACATGTCATTATGTCTCTATATGTCTCTATGTTTTCTTCCAGTGCTTAAAGGACGTTACATGATTCAATGGCTATTTTACAACGTAACCGTCACATGGACCTGTCTTGTCCTTGTTGTCTTCTGGGGAGCCCTCTACGACCCTGCCTATCCAGACTGGTTATTTGACATCACATGCCACGCCCTACCAGGGGTCTTCGGTGTCCTCGAGCTCACTTTCACAGCGACACCATGCCGACTCGTCCACGTCATATACCCCGTCATCCTCGGGATCAGCTATCTGACATTCACCCTGATCTACTGGGCGACTGGACATCCCCCGATATACCCGATCCTGGACTACAGTGGCAGCCCGAAATTGTCGGCCGGATCGGTCGTCATTATGGCCGTGTTCATTTTCGTGTTTCATCCAGTGGTGTGGGGGCTCACCAAGCTTAGAAAACGCGTGGCGAAAAGGCTCAACTGTTCTCAAGGTCTACAAGGCGATCAACATGAACTCATGGATAGATCGAGCAATGCACCTAGCTCCCTCATCTTTTGACGAATCGGGCTGATACCAATGCATAATAATGGGCCCCAACCGATTAGCACTACGCTTGTTTTTAGCGCACTCCCACTTCTACAATTCTGCTATAAAACCTTTGTGACTCTCCATTTTTTCTACTCAACCCAAGGCAGCACTCCCAGAGGGGGGGGGGGGGGCATAGTTCCCCTAAATGTTCAAGTATCTCAAAAGTGCCCCTTTCTATATTAGGAAAAGTAACCCTGTTTACTTTAGAAAAGTGCCCCTTTTTATTTCTAATAGGTGCCAGTTTCACCTTTTTTTTTTTTTTTAATAAGTGCTCTTTACAGCCTCTGCCAAGTATACCTTTTCCTAAAGTTTCTCTTTTTATTTCTGATGAGTGCCCCTTTTCACCTCTGATAAGTGCCCCTCCCTTTTTTACAAGTGCCCTTTTTCCTTTCTAATAAGTGCCCCTTTCCCTCTTTTAAATGCCCCTTTTCCTTTATGACAAGAACTCATTCCCCTTATCATTAATAATGCACATGATCACACCTCCGATAATTATTGTCCCAGGTAACAGGTGCCCCTTTTTCTTCGACAAGTGCCCATTGTCCTTCGTAATACGTGCCCCTCTTCAGTTACAAGAAGTGCCTATTTCACCTCTTTTCCCTCTAATTCTTGCCCCTTTTCCTTTTCAATAAGAGCACCTTACCCCTTCTCATAAATGCCCCTCCACCCCACTAAAAAAAACACGGTACTGGAACTGTTTACAGACTTTAGTATATTCGTAAGTCAAGATTCTGCCATTCTGTCTAGATTTTATTCTATTTTCAAAAAGGTACATGTTAGACCTGTGAGACCTTTTGGTCTAACATAGATCTTCTGATCCCCATGGAAGACCAGCTGCACTATGCAAGTGCAGCTGAAAATGGGTTATCCAGCCGTCTGTTTCTATGTCTTTTTGTTCATTTCGTTGTACATTCTTTCGTTCTTAATATATTGTTGTTCTTTTTTTTTTTTTCAGTTCAATGCAATGTGAATTTGTCTTGCTTATGTTAACTGTATATTATGTATATTTTGTATCAATGTTGCTATTTTCTGTTACTTTCTTTACATTGTACAATATTTTTATATGACGGAAATAAAAACAAACAAACAAACAAACCTTTATCAGAGTTTCACATTATTACTAAATTAGCCCTACATACTGTTTTAGTTCCAGGCCACATAGCCATATCAATATTAAAACATGAATATACAGGTCGTCATTTTGTAAAAGAGAGAGGGGCACAATTTTCCAACCATGTGATGATAAGCAAAAAAAAGAATATTAGGTGCCTTTTTACTGATTAGTATATGAGGAAAAAACATCACTCCGCAAAATGGGGGGGGGGGGGGTGGAGGCGGCGGCGACACAGTCTTTGATTTGTGTACTAAAATTATTCCTCTTGAGTCTCAAGGTGGGGGGGGGGCTATGGACCAGTTGTACCCTTAAAACCATCGGTAATGTTTGTTGCGTTATCTTCTGGAATAAAGAGCATTGCACCAGAGGACATAAAAGATTAAAGTCGTAAGACAAGGCCGAACTGTAATCACAGAAACAGACAAATTCAGGCCAGGATTATACCCTGTCACACCAGTGAGATCCTGCCGAGACCGAACCGACGACAGGTCATGGACCATGGACAGACCAAAACGATTATATCAATAATTATATAAATAATATATAGTATATAGTTATATCATTAATAAATAGTAATTGGGTCATATTGGTACAGGGTAGCCAGACATCAGTATTGAGACCGGTCTTCCTGTGTGCCCTGCATTTATCATTGCCCCAGCAATTACAATGTACCAAGTATAAATACACCTGGGTGGAGAGTGGCAAAAACGTGGATCAATGACTTGCCAAACGACATTAGCGTCGGGCTGGAGTTCAAAAACCTCAGCCCTTGGATTGAGAGCGATGAAAATGAACCACTATACCAGCACAACGTTACGTTTGAGCGGAACGCAAAATGTGTGACAGCAGATTTTGAGTATAGTCTAAAAAAGCTAAAAAGAAGTGCAGTACATTATGGTTCTCATTTTTATATTTATATCTCGTGTTAAAAGCATATGCGGTATTTAATTACAGTGTAGTATTGTATAGCAGATAATGATATCATATCAGGATGCCATTGCATATTCCTGTATAAAACAACTTGATTTTTTTCTTCAAATCATCAACACAACAACGTCCCCAAGATCAATCGAAAACAAACAAGTAATTTTAAAAAAAACATTGTGTTGAAAGAAGCTTCTTTTTGGCCGCTTACTAAATATAAACACACTTCGGAACAAATTAACTGGCTATTGCTTTTCATGCCATGACCATTTAAAGGATTAAATTGATTGATTGATTGATTTGTATTCGACAAGCTTCCAACATACAACAATATACAATAATAACAGATCAAAAATAAGTCAGCTTGAACAGGATAACCCACGAAAGCTCGAGAGCTTATTTCCAGTGGTGTCCCTTACAGACATGTATAAAATTAATAAGTTAAAATAGTATTCAATCATATAACATGTCATTCACTTCTCTTCTCTGACTGTCAAGTATTAGGTATTCCTTTAATTTCCTCTTAAAATGATCATAGTTTCCTATTTCTTTTACACCATTGGGAAGGGAATTCCAATGTTTTATGGCATTGTAATAAAACGAATTTCCAATACTACCTACTCTTTCTGGTAAGTTAAAGTTGAATCGTCTATTTCTTGTATTATAATCATGTACGTCAGTAACAAGATCGAAGTTGGATCGAATATAATGATTCGACCTAGTATGATATATGTTATGCACGTGATGCAATACGAGTTGTTTTGATCTTTGGTCGACTTCAAGAAAACCAGCTTTAGAAAGTTCGCTGTAGCCAACATGAGTTCTTGGACCAGAACAGTTGATAAATCTCACCATTTTGTTCTGTATAATCTTCAACTTCTTTTGATCTGACTTGTTTATAGTACCATGCAGGGTTAGCATAGTCAAATAAACATTGAATAAGAGCAAAACAGAGTGTACGTCTTGCTTTTAAATCCATACAACTTTGATATCTGTACAAAAATTTCAGACGAGAATTTGCTTTTTTTTACAACTGATTCTACTAAAGATGAAAATGAAATTTCGCTAGCCAACTCAATGCCTAAATACTTCACAGACTCTTTTCTCTTGATTGCTTGATTATTGTGTGTCACTTTGAATTCAAATGACTATTTAGAACTACTTTTAGAACAAAATAAAATGCTTTCTGTTTTTCCCAAGTGTAAAGAAAGCTTATTATCAGTCATCCAATCGACACACGTAGACAAATGTTCACTGAGCTTTTCCTCAATATATTTAGGATCAGGATTTGAATAGAGTAGTACGCTGTCATCTGCGTAGAATAATAGTTTGAAGTCTTTTATACAAATACACATATCATTTATATAACTTGAAAATAGAATTGGGCCTAAAATGCTTCCCTGAGGAACACCGCATGTTAAAGGCATTAGTTTGGAACGAATATCATGAATGGCCACTACTTGCTGTCGATTAGATAAGTAGGATCTGAACCAATCTAAACTTGCCTTATCAAAACCCATTAGTTGTAACTTCTTCAATAAGACGGAATGATTAACTGTATCAAAAGCTTTTTGCAGATCAAGGAGCACCATACCAACAAAGCGCCCTTGGGAAGTTTCTCTCCTCAAATAATCAGTGAAATGAATTAGACATGTTTCAGTCGAATAATCGTGTCGAAAACCAGATTGAAATTCATAAATTATATCATTTTCTTTGAAGTATCTTTCAATTTGAACACAGACCGATTTTTCTAGAATCTTTGATGCTACGCTTAAAACACTAATAGGTCTATAGTTGCTAACATCAGTTTTATCTTTCTTTTTATAAAGTGGAGTCACTTTTGCTATTTTCATATCCTCTGGAAAAGTACTCGTCAAGAAGTAAAAGATATTTACAGCTACGACAGACCACTATTATATTATATCGTTGTGTCATCATAATTTTGTGGTTTAGTCGAATGATGCCAAATGATGACTCAACACTGCTTGTTTAACCACTACATTATGGTAACTTAATGACTAATTCCATGTGATAAACTGATGCTCGTTGCCAGGGGCGGCGATTTCTTTTCATGACCGGGGGAGGGACGAAATGCGAGGGACGAGGGAGCAAAGTGAACTAGAGGGGCGAAGCCCGGGGGGGTACACAGAATCGGTTCGGAATTGGGTGTGCCGCTCAAGCCTCGAAACCCCTATCCATGTTAAAGGGTCATTTTTCTCGAAGTAAAGACCATTTTTCGCATTTTCCGGGTGTTTGCCTGGCAAACACCCGGAAATTTTGAAAATTTAAAAAACCGGACCTATGTTTAAAGATATTTTTGTTAAGAATGGGACCTATGTTTAGGATTTTGGGTGAAAAAGTGACCCATCAGAGTGACACCACCCCCCCCCCCCCCGTATGTCTTAATATGTGAGTTCCTCCCCCTCCCCCTCCCCCTCCCCCTGGGGGCGGAGGTGACGGAATTGACTCCCCTTCACAGGTTTTTGAAGTTTTGTTGTATTAACAAAATTCATTTACTTCGCAAAAAGACATAATTATTTACTTGTACATTTTGAAGGATATTATGCAAGGGAACGTAGCGACCAAGCGAGAAGGTTTTTGCATTTCTATTTGTCTAAACGCAGCACTCTTGGCCCCTCCAGAACCTAATAGTGTGTCGCAGTCTTAAGTTAGTATTTGCTATACATTTTGTTTTGCACTTTTTCGAATTTCCGGGGGGGGGGCGATCCCCCTAACAAAATGAAGGCGGACGCGTCCCCCCCCCCCCCCACCGTTCCCCGGGATCGCCACCCCTGCTCGTTGCACACTTGGCGTCATTCTGATTGCGTTATTACCTGCGCCAATCGAGTCTGTGGCGGCGATAAGTGCAATGCTGGAAATTTAAAACAATTTTTGTTAAACTCGTTATGCATTCCCTTTTTATACGATTATCATTCATACAATGTGCGTCAAAGGCCGCGCTGGTCCCTGACACATCCCTACGTCAGACAAATGACGCAACGATCGAGTGCAAAGGGCTTTATTGTCGTTTTTTGTTGTTGTTACTTTTCTAGATGGCTTGAACGCGGACGGGACTCTCTCTGTGTTTAACGCAAATACTGTGGGCACACCCGACGGGGAGTTAAACACCATTACGGGAACGGCTACTGTTCCCGATGCATCCGAACGGGACGACTGACGGTGCAATTCCCGGGAGTCCCGGTACCAGGAGATTGTAAGCTTTGTTCATTTTAATAGCTGTTCCACTTTACCTTACATGTACATGATTTAAATCCCCACTGAACTACTTATAGCTACTTGCGCCCTATTGTAGCAAACAATGCCTATTTATTGGTTCCCCTTTTTCTTATGTTAATTGAGAGCTGATTTGATGAAATAACCACCTGTCAGTGACCTTGCAGGGAGGTCTAATCCCCCTGGCCAAGCTAATACAGACGTGCTATAAATTGTCGAACAGGAAGACAAGGCCTTTTTATAATAATTATCAGAGATGTGTAGAAGATGTCAAATTCTTCAACAATTTCTCAAATGTGTGCGTGTATGTGTGTGTGTGTGTGTGTTGGGGTTGGGCATTTTGCGAGATCACAGAGCTAGGGTGTGGAGAGGGTGTGGAAGGGGTAAAGGATTTTTTTTGGGGGGGGGGGTTGTTTAAAAATCAATATTAGAATGCATTGGAAGTAGAATATTTTCAAGAAATAATTCATTCTGATTGGCACAATGGCATAGTCATTCCTCTCATGCTTTTCAGTGGAAACTTGGTAAAGGTCATGACCGAATATATCACTTTTTATTTATGTACATTCGGCGGCAAGGTGCCCGCATGCAGTACTTTAAATAGTTTCTAGTGTGTGGATTACAAACTAATTTTTTACCAGTTTGAAAATGTGATCTCCTGTTTATTCTTAAAATGTGCCAATACGTGTGTGCATAGCACTTGACGAGAGCCAGAGTCACGCAAAAATTAATAATCTGTAAAGACTTTGGGATTTGGGAGAAAATTTTCATTTCTTAAGAGGGTACCGTGACTAACAAAAGGTTAAAATAACGCTGCTCCAGAGAAATGTATTTCTATGCATTTCGAAAAGCGCTGGACAGAAGTCAATTACCTAAAACTTACATCTTTCGTGGAAATTAGCAACCGGGCATGGTGGCTCAGCGGTTAGAGCGCCCGCCTCATGAACGGGAGGTCGTGGGTTCAAACCCCGGCCGAGTCATACCAAAGACTTATAACAATAAATATTGGACCTTCTGCCTTCTAGCTAGGCGCTCAGCATATTAGATTGGAGAAGGGTAATAATAACATATTATGTTATGCAGGGCCCGCTGGAAGAGCAGTTTCATAACTGAAGTGGCTACCCTGGGTAAATAAAACATTATTATTATTATTATTATTACTGGCGTTGCATAAACTATAATAAAAGGGAAATGTGTAGTAATGAGGAAGAAAACGTGCTATACTATTTGAAAGAATATGGGTTCATGCAGGGGATCTTATGGGCTCGTAGCCATTTCTCAATGTGTCAGATCGTCTTTTGCTATTGAATCCTGATTGTCCGGGGGGGGTAGTTGTCCTTGGGGGGGTAATTGTCATCGGTGGAATTGTCCTCGGGGAGGGGTAATTATAATCGGGGGGTAGTTGTCCTCGGGGGATAGTTGTCATCGGAGGGTAATTGTCCTAGGGGGTATTAATGTCCTCGGGGGGTAATTGTCCTAGGGGGTAATTGTCCTCGGGGGGTAATTGTCCTAGGGGGTAATTGTCCTCGGGGGTAGTTGTCCTTGGGGGATAATTTTCCTCGGGGGTAATTCTCCGGGGGGGTAATTTACCGGGGGTAATTGTCCTTGGGGGTAGTTGTCCTCGGGGATGATTCTCTGGGGGGTAATATTCCAGGGAGTAATTGTCCTTTGGCGGTAGTTTTCCGGGGGTAATTTTCCGGGGTTGATTGCCCAGGGGGTAATTGTCCTAGAACCAAATAAGGCCTACTGACTGTTTTAGTTTCCAGGCGACTTTGCAATATCAATATTGGAACATGGATATGCAAGTCGTCATTTTTTTTGGTAAAAGAGGGGCACATTTTTCCAACCATGTAATGATAAGCAAAATTAACAAATATTAGTTGCCTTTTTACTCTAAAATCACCCTATCACTAGGAACAATCGCATCTTATGACTTACTTTCATTTATAATAGTCATTTAGAAATGACCCTTAGACCCTATTTATTGACTTCTCTGGCCGAACATGACTCGTCTAATCAGGAAAATGATTAGCAATAAAAATGCAAACATGTGGTTTAAGTGGTTTAAGAATTCCATTTCCAACAGTGCGCGTAACAAACAATACAGAGGTAGAACGTATAAATAGAGCAATAATTGCAACTTAAAATCAGAAAATTTGAACTTCGGAAAAATCCTGTTTTTTTATCAAAAGGAATCGATATACCAAGATGGCGGGATGCCGAAAATGTTCGTGCTCAGTCTCAGTCTCAGTCTCCGATTTCGGTCTTTCAACGACCTCGTACGATGTTTTCACGACAACTCAGGTGAGGCCAAGAGCACCGATCATTCATGATCGGACAGGGGCAACGAGTAGGGAGCGGGAGGGGGGGGGGGGGGTGACAGGCGGGCAGGGCCGTATGTATGCTAGATAGAAAAAGGAAATTAGCAGTAATTGCAATTTACCTGCCTGAATTGATGGATGTATTTCAACGGTAATAAAGTCCCTTAGTAATATGCCTGTTGTTTTATTTATAAATCATACATGATTATAGCCTTCATCGTAAACTACAGACATAGAAAGTTATCAATTTGAAAACCATCAGAGGCAAGTATAACATTTTGTCAAGACGTATTCATGAAATAAAAACGTGACATGGTGAAATTTGGACTGATTCTGCAAAGTAAATTCAGTCATTTTCATTTGCGGAGTGCCAGGAGTGTTAAGTCTGACAAACAGAGCGATATGCAATTACCCACTTCAGTCAAACTCGTCTATAGCGACCGCCCAAAGGAAACACCAAAAGTGGTCTTTGTAGACAGGTGGTCACTAAAGCAGGTTTGACTGTATTAATAATATTATTATTATTATTATAATCATTATTTTCATTGTTATTATCATCATCATCATTATAATTGTTATTGAGTATTGAATGATAAATATGAAGAAAAAATTGTCGAATTCATGACGGGTGCATAACCATACGAAAAGAAGTGCAACTTGAAAAAGAATGTAAGTTGGAGTAATATTCTTCATTGGCAGAATATTGAATCTTTTGAATCTTTATGAATATTTTGTGAGTTTTCACTTTCCCAAAACTACCCATAAATCCTATGATCATAAATGTTTAGGTTGCTGTTGAGCATTATTTATTCCTCCTGTTTACAGTGCGCACTCCCTAGGGTGGTGCTCTTGATATACCGGTTACTGATGACCGGGTACTTCCTGGCTTACCAGCTTTACCTGTGGATTGATGTCATAATAATAATAATAATAATACATATGATTTATAAGGCGCCAAATCCACTTGACAGTCAAATGCTCAAGGCGCATTAGTATCCAGTATTACATCAAAATGACAATATTGTCCTACACCGTCTTCATTCTCTATACCCTGATTGCTCTGGTGAATCTTGTGGTTGATATGTGTCTCCAGAGGCAGTCCAGGTCGTCTCCTGCTTCTAACGGTTAGTTTTGGGTCTCATATGGAAACGTTGTATCATCCGCTCAATCTGACTTGCGTGCATAGAACAAATAAGCATTTTTCCACGAAAAAGTGAAGTTTTCTAAAATGTGCGTTTCTTTCCAGCATTGGGGCGCTCGGAATTCAATCGGGTAACATTTCATAAAGTATAATATAAAAAGACCATATGCAAATTTTCTGTACTTTTGTCGGAAAAAATACATTTATCCAGCACAATGTCGTCTCTTTTTGCGTTGGAGAAGAGCAAATAGCGAGTTTCAATCAAACTTTGGCCGCTTTCTCAAGCTCTCACTCGTTTCACTGTGGTCAAGCGACTTTGGGGCAAGCGGTTAATGAAAATACTAATCGTTAGCTTTCTTCTGGTATTAAACTTGTTTTGATTGATTGTATAATTTTGTCGGAATAAAGGAAACAAAAAGGCTCGACCAATAACTTATCAGTGTCTGAATTGACCTTTTGACCTTGAAATCCCTGATGCAAGCGCACTTATGACGTCATCTTCGCCAAATCGGCGTCTTTTATCGTAAAATGCGACACTTTCACAATGTTTATACATCTTTTTTTTAACTATTAGTAAGATTTAACATATTTGTTCTGATATCACTGAAGTTTGGGGTTTTATTTAATGAGTTATTTTAAAATAAGAGCCATTTTACTGTTTTAATTTACTGAATCGTACCATTCAAGTCGCAGGGTAGAAAGATGCATTTTTCAACCGCGCCAAATTTAATTTACGTTCCGACATTCTGTTAAATGGGTTCGTGTTGTTAAGAATCCACTGCTTTCTGCTCCAACAAACGTCCACATGCGGAGTCGTTTATCAACTAAATTATTCAAATTTATGGATGCTTCCTAGCTTCCCAGGTGTTTGTGTTGCTGTTGAAGCATTTCATTCACCTGCTATCATTCGTTGTACTCCAATTGCCAGAACGCAAATTTCATTTTGGTTTTATAGTTTCATCGGAGTCGTTTATCAACTATATGTATTCAAATTTATGAATGCTTCCTCCCCAGGTGTGGTGTTTATGCATTTCATTCACCTGTTATTATTCTTTGTACGCCAATTGTTAGAATACAAAATGCATTTTGGTTTTATAGTTTCATCGGAGTCGTTTATCAACTATATGTATTCAAATTTATGCATGCTTCCTCCCCAGGTGTTTGTGGTGTTTATGCATTTCATTCACCTGTTATTATTCTTTGTACGCAAATTGTTAGAATACAAAATGCATTTTGGTTTTATAGTTTCATGCAATAAGTAAGTCAATAAAAGGGTTCTGCACAATAAAACCATTGTATGTCCCTATTGTACAATGCAATGTGTCCCCTCATTTTGTAATAGTTAATTTACCCATTCACATAATGGAACTACCTGCCCGATGAAGCCAGTGGCCTGTGACCCCTGAGCACTCAACGCCGTGTGGGAGTCAGTTTGTGATCAACTTCTTTTATGAGACAAATACAAGCAAACGTTTCCATATGCTGCAGTACGTGGCAGATCCTTGTCTCAGTTAGCTGTTGCTTTCTGTCCTTTAATCCGACTGCTTTTTCTCATTATATGTGTCTTTATTCGTCAAATCTCATCCTTTCACTAATTGTCGATAACTTGGTATGAATGAAAACTCGAAGTCAAAACATCTAATGCGATTTTTATGAAGAAATACAGAAATGATATGGGAGTGGAAACGTAAACTGTGTTACGCCAAAGGCACCATCTTTAAACAAACAAATAAATCTTCCCCCTGGGTACCCATTTACATCACCTGGATGGAGAGTGGCAAAATGTAGATTAATGTCTTTCCAAAGGACATGAGTGATCCACAGACCGATGACGTATACAGTAGACCACGACACCTTGAATTAGCTTTATGGTAAATGATACCCGATATCCCCCGAGAAAATTACATCTCTTCCATAAACTAGCACATTTAGCAATAAAAAGAAAACCCCCAAAATCTAACTGATGGGAAAAATCGTAAAATGTTAGTTTTCCGTGGGGAAATTATCCTAATTATCCTACGTTCGTAGTTTATAGTTACACGTAAACATGCATTTCTCATCCCTCTTGATCTAGGGTCATCGATGGTATAATATCTTCGCAATATTCCGGGTTCCCATCTTTCAGGTGGAACTCTGGAGTACGAGTCTAGGTTAAATATTGGTTTCCCACAAATCAGTAACTGTTGTTTCCTCTGTCTACATCCAACCTCTTCTCCTTTTCCAATTCCTCTGTCGTAACCCGGTTTGAAGCCTGAATTTCACATGTCGTTATGTCTCTATATGTCTCTATGTTTTCTTCCAGTACTTAAAGGACGTTACATGGTCCAATGGCTATTTTACAACGTCACCGTCACATGGACCTGTATTGTCCTGGTTGTCTTCTGGGGAGCCCTCTACGACCCTGCCTATCCAGACTGGTTATTTGACATCACCTGCCACACCCTACCAGGGGTCTTCAGTATCCTAGAGCTCACCTTCACAGCGACACCTTGTCGAATCGTCCATGTCATCTACCCTTTCATCTTCGGGATCAGCTATCTCACATTCACCCTGATCTACTGGGCGACTGGACATGCTCCGATATACTCGATCCTCGACTACAGCGGCAGCCCGAAACTGTCGGCCGTGTCGGTCGTCAGTATTTTCGTGTTCATTTTCGTGTTTCATCCAGTGATGTGGGGGCTCACCAAGCTTAGAAAACGCGTGGCGGAAAGGCTCAACTGTTCTCAAGGTCTACGAGGCGATCAATATGAGCAGATCGAGCCATGATGTGCACCTAGCTCCCTCATCGTTTGACGAATCGGGCTGATACCGATGCATATAATGGGCCGATTAGCGCTACGCTTGCTTTTAGCGTACTCCCACTACTACAATTCTGCTACAACACATTTGTGTCTCTCTATTTTTTCTACTCAACCAAGGCGGCATACCCGGAAGGGGGAAGGGGCATAGTTCCCCTAATTGTTCAAGTATCTCAAAAGTGCCCCTTTCTATATAGGAAAAGTAAACACATTAGAAAGGTGCCCCTTTTTATTTCTAATAGGTGCCAGTTTCACTTTTTTGTGTAAGTGATCCTTACAGCCTCTGCCAAGTGTACATTTTCCTTTGTAATAAGTGTCCCTTTTTATTTCTGATGAGTGCCCCTTTTCACTTCTGATAAGTGCCCCCTCCCTGTTTTACACGTGCCCCTTTTCCTTTATAATAAGTGCCCCTTTTCCTTTTTGATAAGAACTCATTCCACTTATCATTAATGATGCACCTGTTCACACCTCCAATAATTGTCCCTATTACAATCTACATATAATAAGTGCCCCTTTTTCTTCGACAAGTGCCCATTGTCCTTCGTAATACGTACCCCTTTTCCATTATCATAAGTGCCCCTATTCTTCTCAAGAGAGTGCCCCTTTTCAATTACAAGATGTGCATCTTTCACCTCTTTCCCCCTGATTCGTGCCCCTTTTCCTTTTCAATAAAAGCACCTTTCCCCTTCTCATAAATGCCCCTTTTCACTTGTGATAACTGCCCTTATTATCTGATAGTTCCCACTTTCCTTCCGACATTTGCTCCTTTTCAATTGTCATAAGTGCCCTTTGTAAATTGACACGTGCTCCTTCTCTTCTCTAATAAGTGTATATTTCCCTCCTGATAAGTTTCCCTTTTCATTTCTCATGAACTTGTGCCCCCTTTACCTACAGCGACTAAGACAACCTTTTTATCGCATTTCCCCCCAGCCGTCCCATATCCCATATCCAGCCGTCTGTTTCTCTGTCTTTTTGTTTATATTTCTGTGTACATTCTTTCGTTCATAATGTTGTTTTAGTTTTTAGTTTTTGTTTTAAATGTAATGCCATGTGATACTTCTGACTTATGTTTACTGTATATTATGTATATGTTTATAAATTCTTTTTTTATTTTGTTACTTACTTTTTATTGTATATTCTTGTTTTATGACGTAAATAAAAACCACACAAACAAACCTTTATCAGAGTTTCACTTCATTATTAAATTAGCCCTACATACTGTTTTAGTTTCCAGGCAACATAGCCATATCAATATTGGAACATGAATATACAGGTAGTCATTTTTTGTAAAAGAGGGGCAACATTTTCAAGCATGTGGTGATAAGCAAAAGAAAAAAATATTAGGTGCCTTTTTACTTTAAATTCACCTGACAAGCATGTAAGGAAAAGAAGACAAAAAACTCCGCAAAATGGGGGGGGGGGGGACGGGGCACACATTCTTCGATTTGTGTACTAAAAGCCTTGAGTCACAATGTGGATGGGGGGCAATGGACCGGTTGTTCCCTTAGAGGTATAGACTAGTTTTGGAAACGCCCCCTCTCAAAAAAATGAAATGGAAGCTCTTATTACCAATCATGTGAAAGAATATGTTTTGACTAATACGTGATGATACAAATTTTTCCGGGAAACCGCCTACTAATCGATTCCACAACGTTTCTTTCACAATGCAATCACATGACAACTGGCCTTTACCTTTAAATCCACCGGTGATGTATGCTGAGTTATCTTCCGGAGTAAAGGGCGTAGAACCAGAGGACATAAAAGATTAAAGTCGTAAGACAAGGCCGAATTGTAAACACAGAAACCGAAAAATGCAGGCCAGGATTATACCATGTCACACCAGTGAGACACTGCCGACACCGAACCGACGACAGGTCATGGACCATGGACAGACCAAACCGAATATATCAATAATCATATAAATAATTTATAACATATATATGTATATATAGTGTTAGTATATCATTAATAAAAAGTAATTGGGTCATATTGGTCTTTTGTAAAGGGTAGCCACATCAGTATTGAGACCGGTATTCCTGTATGCCCTGCATTTATCATTGCCCCAGCAATTACATGTACCAAGTATAAATACACCTGGGTGGAGAGTGGCAAATGTGGATTAATGTCTTGCCAAAGGACATTAGCTCCAGGGTAGGATTCGAAACCTCAACCCAAGGATTAAGAGCGAAGTGAATGAACCACTATACCGCGACACATCCAACATTACATCACACAGCAAAAAACTCTGTGGTTATATCATCAGTTTTTTGCGGTGTGACTGATGTACTTTGACGTCGGTATGACGCAGTGGCGTAGACAGGTTTGTACACCTGGGGGGGATGACTCAGGGACGGATCTAGCTTTTTGCTAAGGGGGGGGGGTGACCAAAATAATGACGATGCAGAGCATCGTCCACGAGCCGCGAAGCGGCGAGCCGATTTTTTTTTGGGGTGTTTATTTGAACCCCGTAAGTGATGTTTTCCTGGCATCTATTAACACAATGGAGACCATAAAAAGCAGTGCATGATAACGTCTTTTTAAATCAAGTAACAGTTAAATACACAGTTATATCCAGAGTTATCATGAGTTGAATATCTTCTCACAATATTTGCACTTGAAAGGGTTTCTCTCCAGCGTGCGTTCTTTTTTCTTTCTTTTTTTTTCTTTTTTTTCTTCTTTTTTTTCCCTTTTTTGTTTTGTTTGTTTTTTGGGCCGCCCAAGGGGGGGTTTAACCCCCCCTAAACCTCCCCCGTAGATCCGCGCCTGTTTAATCTTGTGGTTATCTTGTGGTTTCCAAACCACAAGATAACCACAAAATACTTGTAAGATTTTCTTTTTCTTACCGTCTGAATTGGCTTTCACCTTGTGAATGCGGCTAATAACAATAAACACAATTACAATAATGATGAGGATTATTATTATCATCATCATAATTATTATTATTATTAATATTATAATTGTTATCATTATTATTATTACTATTATTATCATCATTATAACTTATTAAGTAAGCAAATATCATTCCCCAAAACCTGGGGGGGGGGGGATGATTGTACATGCCATCCCCCCCACCTTGTGAGGTAGGGGGGATGCATCCCCCTCATCCCCCCCCCCCCCCCCCCCGTTGTCTACGCCCCTGGTATGACGTAATTCCTGCGGTGTAAAACAAGCCAGTCGTTTTAGTTTTAATCACTATTTAAACTTGATATCAGGCTCGCCTCGGCTCTTAAAAAGAAGAAGAAGGAGAGAGAGAAAAATGGCGGCTGTACGTTTCCTCGTCTGTGTTGTTTTCTTGGGGCTGGTCAGCCATTCCGTGGGATTCCGTCTCGGGTCCTTCTTCAGAGGAGATTCGTGCTTCGGGGCGCCCGAAACCGTGAATGAACTCGACGTCCAAGCATACTTAGGACGATGGTACCAGGTAAAGAAAAAAATATTTAAAAAAAAATGATTTTGAAGATTACGACTGACGATTCGAAAATTTATATTCTTTTTTTTTTTTCTTCTTCCTCTCTCTGTATACATGCAGATATATATACGAATTTTATGATGTTTAAAGTGGCGTTGTACATGTATTTTGACACATTATAGAGCCGAATAAACATGATGATGAGTGCTTGTTGATAAACAGGTCCTACATTTAGTTGACATGTAGGTTTTCTACAAGCAAGAGAGATAACCCACAATGTACCGTAATAGACGGATTTGCTAGACCGGTTTACTGACCGTATTCAAATGTATGATGTTTTTTTCGTGGGGACCTAGTGATCAGTTATTCCATTAAACTGTTATTAATGAATGAACTACAATACTCGGAATCCAGTCTGCGTTTATCACCTGTTGTTATGTCGGGCAAGCATCGGACAAGCTTTTGGGAATGTTAAGAACAGCCTTTGTTTAAAAAGGTATGCATAACATTTAAATATATTAGTCAATCAGTTAGTTCTCTCTGTACCTGGATACGACAGTGTACCAAATTGATCCTAATATCAGAGAATCATGTAGGTTTTTGTCATGTATTGTCATTATTTTCCTTTCAAAAAATAATGAAAGAATAAAAGAATAATGAAATATGAATATATTTGTGTCTGTTTATTATGTTTCAGGTTTACACCGATCTTGTTGTGAACGTTACGTTTGAGCGGAACGCAAAATGTGTGACAGCAGATTGTGAGTATATATATATATATATATATATATAAGACTAATAAAGCTATAAGAAGCTTAGTATATTTTATTTCTCATTTTTTAATATTTATATGGCATGTTGGTAATTACAGTGTAGTACTTTATAACAGAATATGATATCATTATGGATGCCGTTTGATGTTCTCGTATATACGAACTTGATTGTTTTTTAATCAGTTACTGTAGACACAACAACGTCCCTCAAATCAATCGAAAACAAACAGCGAATACAAAAAAACTTATGTTGAAAGTAGTCCCTTTTAGGCCGTGTATAAGGATTACAAAACACCAACAACAACAAACCATTTAAACAAAACTAATTGGCTGTTGCTTTTCATGCCCATGACCATTAACATGATTAAAGGAAAGTAAATTTACGACTAAAAAAGACCAATATCGTTGTCATCATAATGGTCTTTTTATTGTTTAGTCAAAGGCAAAATGAGAACATCACTAATATTTCGACCACTATCATAGCCAATATTTTTTTTTTGATAACTAATTTCACGTGATAAACTCATACCCGTCGCACGCGAGGCGTCATTTTGATTACGTCAATACCTGCGCTAATGGGCCTTTTGAAGGTGATTAGTGCAATGCTAGAAATGCAATGTGGTTATTGCACTGTTGTGTGTGTGTATATGTGTGTGTGGAATTTTACATCCCCTTTCGTACGATCAACATTCAAATATTGTGCGTCAAAGGCCGCGATAATCCCTGACGCAGTCCTCCGTCAGTTAAATGACGCAACGATCGAGTGCACAGGGGTTTATTGTCGTTTTTTGTTGTCGCTTTTCTAGATGGCTTGAACGCGGACGGGACTATCTCTGTGTTTAACGCAAACACTGTGGGCACACCCGATGGGGACTTCAACACCATTACGGGAACAGCTACTGTTCCCGATGCATCTCAACCGGGAAAACTGACCGTGCAATTCCCGGGAGTCCCGGTACCAGGAGATTGTAAGCTTTGTTCATTTTAGTAGCTGTTACACTTAATCTTACATGTTTTAAATCCCTACTGTACTACTTATAGCTACTCGCGCCCTATATGTAGCAAAAAATGCCTATTTATTGGTTCCCCTTTTTTCTTATGTTAATTTAGAGCTGATTTGATGAGATAACCACCTGTCAGTGACCTTGCAGGGAGGTCTTACCCCTGGCCAAGCTAGTACAGACGGGCTATAAGTTGTCGAACAGGAAGACAAGGCCTTTTTATAATAATCATCAGAGATGTGTAGAATTTGTCAAATTATTCAACAATTTCTCAAATGTGTGTGTGTATGTGTGTGTGTGGGGGGGGGGGGGGGGGATTTTGCGAGGTCACAGAGCGACCACGCAAGAGAGGGTGTGGAGGGGGTAAAGGGCCTTTGGGGGTGTTTAAACATCGAGATTCTAATGCATTGGGAGTACAATATTTTTCAAGAAATAAATCATTCTGATTGGCTCAATGGCATAGTAATTTCTCTCATGCTTTTCAGTGGAAACTTGATAAAGTATTGAAGTATTATAATTTGTTTCCAAACACAGACTGGATATTGAAGCTTGGTCCCGTGGTGGGAGGTCAGTACCAGTACTCAGTGGTCAGTGATTCGAACAAGGCCACCCTCTTCGTTCTGGCCAGGGATGCCTCTGCGTTCATGGGATCAGATGAGAAGGAGACAGTCCTGGCGTTCCTCAGAGAGAGCGGCTTCAAGTGCTTCTGGAACCGTCCCCAGGAGACCTACCAGTCAGACCAGTGCAACTATGTCACAAATTAAAGAAAGTTGATTAGTCGTTATATAGAGCAAGATCGAAGAAAGAAAATTCGGGGGCAATTTCAATGCTTTTAGCATATCCCATGGAAACTATGTTCGGATAACATAATACGTCCTTGCAATGAATAGCAAATCAATAGATAAATAATTATTGATTGATTGATTGCCGATTGATAATTTCAAAAATACATTGATTGATTTTACGATTGACTGAATGATTTATTGGTTATCAATGATCTGATCTGATTGGTTAAATATTAGTATGTTAATTGCCGGATTAATTTAATTTAAGTTATTCGTTTTTGTTACCAACTGACAATATCTATTCATTATAATAATGATTGAGTCATCGAGTTTTTATTGACTGACTGTTTGATTGGTTGATACATGTATATTTTTGCTTACTGATTAGCTTATCGATCGATTGATTTACTGGTTTATGTATAGTTTGATTGATCGATTAGTTGGTTGAATGATTGATTGATTGATTGATTGATAGGTTGGTGGATTGGTTGATTGATTGATTGGTTGATTGGATGAATGAATGATTGATTAATTGATTAATTGATTGGTTGGTTGAATGAATAATTGCATGATCGATTGATTGATTGATTGGTTGGTTGAATTATTAATTGATTGATTGATTGATTGGTGGATAGGTTGGTTGGTTGATTGATTGATTGATTGGTGGATTGGTTGATTTATTGATTGATTGGTTGATTGATTGATTGATTGATGGATGGATTGATTGATTGGTTGATAGATGGATGGATGGATTTATTGATTGATTGGTTGGTTGATTGATTGATTGATTGATGGATGGATGGATTGATTGATTGATGGATGGATTGATTGATTGGTGGATAGGTTGATTGATTGATTGACTGATTGATTGATTTGTAGATTGGTTGTTTGATTGATTGATTGATTGATTGATTGGTTGGTTTATTGATTGATTGATTGACTGATTGATTGATTGGTGGATTGGTTGATTGATTGATTGATGGATGGATGGATTGGTGGATTGGTTTAATATGTGTCTGGTTGGATGTTGTTCTCCAAGAAATGTGGATACTTGAAAATAAGATTAAACTGTCGGTTCCAATGGCTAGCATCAATAACATCCATATTTTTACTGATTGGGATCTCTTGCGAATATAATCAATCAATGATCAATAGACCCTAACATGATTGGAAGACGGTCAATAGTTTGACTTACATTTTGGCCTATCATTTAGGGATCTTTGCCTTACAGTTTACTCGTAAAGAAAAAAACAGGCCTTGAGACTTTGCGCTTGTAGAGCGATAACTTTTTTAAGAACGTTTTATCCACTCCGAAAATAATTTGCTTTTAATAGATAAACAAGAGAAACAGAGCACACACAAAATTGATTGTGCCCAGGTTATATGATTTGTATCATATTGCGTGCATGACATTTCACAAAATCTTTTATGAATTTTGGAAGATTGGCTTGTCTGATTTTTCTGCTTCTATTGAAAGGATGTTATTTTTAGTGGACTTGAAGCGTTCTATGTATGTATAAATCAGTCCAAGAGACTTTTCTTTTTAATTATATGCGCCGATAATAAAATTTAATTAATAGAAATTCACCTATAATTATAATTCGTTCGTTACCTGTTGATGTGAAAACGATTGTGTATTATTTTTATGTTCTCAAGTATACAAAAGTTTCATTTCATAGACTATGATTCATGACCGTGACAATCTGATAGAGGGTCTAAAATGACTGCTATATAAATAGAAATGAACAATAGATTTCTGGATTCGTGATTTGCGGTACAGAACCTTATACCAGGAAGCAAGTTAGAGCTTCCTGCTTATGCAATAGAAATCATAACCCATGACTTTGCAACAATTGTAAAGGTCCTGCTTGTGTTGCAAGAATTATAGGATTGATGAGGTAAATATTCTGATTATACCCTTGATATTGATTCTTCACGTGTATAGAGATAGAGCTGGTAAAAATATACTTGTTCGTTCTGAAGCCAAAATGGTGCTTCATCAGTTATGATACGAGATAAGGATTTTATAAATATATACATTTTATTTGAGAATAATAAACAGACCAAGTGCATACAGGTAGATCCAGTGAGTCAGATTGGTATCATGTTTTAAACGGATTTACAACACGCTGTTGAGGAGGGGCAAACATTAAAATGAGGACATACAGTTTTTTTGTTAAAGGAGGAAGAGATATTGAGTTTATATCTGCTGTAATCGAGAAGGGTTGCTTTGTATTAATCTATCCCATTTAAAACGTAGTTTAAGATGATGGGTATGCTTCAGCATTGTCATCAGTTTGAACAACCACTGATGTGTACAGAGGCAATACCAGTGGGTTTTTATTTTGTGTAATCGAGGGTTCAGTGACACAAAGACGTAACTCCATATTTTACCAAAATGAGTATTTGAAATAAAAATGTTCAGAAAAATGTGGGCTTTCCAGGAACCACAGAGACTTAACTCCGCCCAACACCTCATTATACTAGTGAAGCAAAGACTAAACTCATTAAGGCCTAAGTGTTCAGTGACGCGTAAACCACTTTTTCTCAAAATGGCCAGATTGGAGTTACGTCTTTGTGTTACTAACCTCTCGTGTTGTCACGATGCAATTAGATCTAGGGTGATATAATTAAGCAAATACAAGGGTGGTGTGCTCTAGTTATTCCAGCTAGGTGGTAACATAAAATATGAGAATAACTCTGGTTTAAGCATAAGCCAAAGTTGCTGACTGGTTACTCAATATATCCGGAGAGATATCCGGAGATACCATTCACATCAAAGTAACGCATGTGCTTTCTTTGTTATATTGCATTGTCATTGCGGTATAGCATTATACTAACCAATTGCAATCAAAGCAAGCAAACTATGAGTGTTTAACCTTGCGTCCACAAACATATATAATTCTATTGGCATGCAATTACAATACCAATGACTATATGTGAATCATCTACAGAAGTGCAAACGATCTGGACATACCTGTACCTGTGTTTACTTTAGGAACGGACAACCAGGAAGACCTGCAGAGAATTATATTAAGGGAGATCTAGAGAGAACAAGTCAAGATGGCGACTAAATCTGTTGCTTTGTGCCTGCTGAGTGTAATGGTTTTTGTATTAAACCGTGTAGACAGTAGGGGATTGAAACAAGCCAACATAAACACCGTGCCTGAACTTAACATCAACTTCTATGCCGGGAGGTGGTATGAGGTAAGTTTTCTTTCAAAGGAATATTTGAGGCTGTGGATATTATACATTCCGCCATTTTCTCTTTCGATGCATGAGCCTTCGGTTGATATTATCATGAGTTCGCTTGTCTGCAACAGTTCTCTCAATCACCCCCCCCCCCCCAATTCTCCCCAATCTCTCTCTCTCTCTCTCTCTCTCTCTCTATATATATATATATATATATATATATATACCTCTCACTCATCTTCTTTCACTCTCCCTCTCTCTCATCTTCTTTCACTCTCCCCTCTCACCTCCTTCATCATCTACTTTAATCAGTTCACAGTAACACCCTTCATTTCACCTTCGTGGTCTATGAATACGACACTTATCAGTAAAAGGAATAATCATCATTATATCACATATGTTTTATCATTTCATAATATCGCGGCAGATACTCAGTTTGTATTGCAGTATTTATATATGAAAATATACGTAGGCCTATGCCAAGATGATATTCATGTCGGACACACCTGAAGATATATTATGTAAACATTTATGCCGAAGAGAAAGTCAAAACTGAATTATTGTCATCTACATACTCGAAAAATTAAGTTCAACATATTCACCTACTAATAGTGTCAGTAATCTACCAATGAATATTAAACTACTAAAAGGACGCTAAACAAAAAAGGGGGAACGGAGTATCTCACTGCCCCTTTCAATACATTGATTTTGCAGGATTCAATTCATTCCGAACATGAACATCATTTTAATGAAACAATAACCTTGGCCGAGCCAATCTGCAGTTTTTTCTTCACGAGATGTCTTTACACTTTATATCTGTCTTTCATTCTTCTCGTGTCCCTCTTCTAGTAAAGACCATCTCTGACAGTTCTACTGCTTCCCAGCAATAACCTGTGCTAAAGCACAGTTGTTCGCCAAGCGGACAAATTCAACATCTAAATTTGATTCAATTATAAGTTTTGAGTCGAATTACAAGATAAATCTATAAGCAGACTTAGCAGAGCAATCAAAATAATGTACTGACACAAATTTGGTCTCAAAAATGTGATTTTAAGGATATTGCGTTGACTGAACGTATGACTGAACGTACTTGACCTATATTTGTAATTCTTCTCATCATACAGATGTTCTCCGATCTGATAGTGAAGGAAACATTCGAAAGGAATTCTTATTGCACAACGGCTACTTGTGAGTAAAATTCGAAATTTAAAGAGTTCGGCTTTAGACAGTATCTTTGACAAGGTGATTTGTCCACGTTAGTCCCTCTCGACCCGTACATACTCAGTGCCTATCCTATAGGTAAATGTACTGTTGCCAAAAAAGTTGGAATGATTTTTTAATTTTTTTTTTTAAACCTCTTTTCATGAAGTAAATGTGAGAATATGTTTTCTCCTTGATAAAAATTATTTATATCTTCTCAGAACTTTATTGAGTAATTATAGATATTTATACAAATTGATCCGAGAATATAGGTTTATTTATCAAGAATAAACTACATGTATATTGTCACAATTATTTCATGAAAAGATGTGAGGAAAAAAAATTCCACTGTATGGGCAACAGTACAGTGTATATACTGTGAATATAACCCCAACCAGTCACCCCCCCCCCCCCCACACACACCAATATCTATTAGAGATCAACAATGAATGATTATCGAATCCCACTACATAACAGTCGTACACCAAATCTATTCAGTTCACGTTGACCTTTGTATAACCGGTAAACGTTATGAAACAAATAGCATTCAACAATGGAAACCCGTTCTTCTGCTTTCATAATTCAGCAGCATGATTCGATGCAATTGTATTGTATCTTCACGAGCCAAAGTTATGAAATGAAAAGTAAAAAAATCCTTGGGTGTCTCGTTCTGATGTAAGGCAGGGGCAAATGGCAGATAATATGATGACGTATTACTATCAAAACTGTTTACTAAAGATTATATCGTTTAACGAATATATATATTCTCTGATTGATTTATTTACTCCGTCCAATATTAACTTGAGAAGCAAGTACATATTTATTAATGAATTAACATAACAAAATGTAAAAAAGGTTGTGTAAAAGACAAAATAGAAATATTGGAGAACTGAACATGATAGCAGGACATTGTTGACCTCAATATAATAATGAAGTGGAGGGGCATGCAAAAGAAAGCAATGTTTGTATGGCGCAAGCCCCAAAACTAAGTTACATGATATTAATTTTCTATGACTGGGTAGCTAGGCTATTGCAGTCAAGTCAACATAGCAAATTTTAAAGAATATAATTTAGGTTACGACACATATTCCCATCTTTCTGTTGGGAACTTTACCCCCCCCCCCCCCCCCTCTCTCTCTCTCTCCTTCTCTCTCTCTCTCTCTCTCTCTCTCTCTCTTTCTCTTTCTCTCTCGGTTTCTCTCTCGGTTTCTCTCTCGGTTTCTCTCTCTCTCTCTCTCTCTCATTCATCCTCTCCCTACGACTCCCTCTCTCTCTCTCTCTCTCTTTCGTTTTCCTCTCTATCTCATCTCTCTCCCTCCCTCAGTGGCGGATCCAGACCCCCCCCCCCCCCCACTGAGCGACTTTTCAGCCGGCGCGATTTTCAAATTTTCGGGAGCAAAACAAACAAAAAAGTTGGGCCCCCTCCCCTAAGAAATCCTGGATCCGCGCCTGCCCTCCCTCATCTATGACTCGTATAGAATTTCGGAATTTCATACAATTAATCAGATATAATCTAATTAAAATTCGATTTCTCTGTCTCAATTAATCTTTTTTAACATATAGATGGGAAAATTAGCGAAACCAACGTGACTGTCTTCAACTCCGGTCGTAAGGGCTCCCCTACGGGCCCAGCCAGCGAGATCTCCGGCTACGCCTATGTCGCTGACCCAGCCCAACCGGGTCAACTCAAGCTTCAGTTAACTGGTACCCCTCTCGGGGACTGTAAGTTCATTGGTTAATTTTGCACTATATTTATGATTTTTGTTTATTTTATGAATACCTTGTAATCTTTCATACAAAAACTGGATGTGTTTGTTTGTTTTTTCGTTAGACTTTGCTAATTTTTGTTCACCTCTACTTCACATTCCTCCGCCCTAGACGTGTCTTTGATATCTTCTGTTATCGCTCCTAGCTACCTCCAGATACCTCTTATTACCACACACTTATGATGCTTTTCTTTTTTTAATATCCCAATTATCCTATTTACCCTGTACGTGAATTTCTTCAGTTAATCATCTAGATTTTAGAGGTTTTAGATAGTCCAGTTAACATAAATCTTATACGTATACGTGTATATAATGGGAGCCCCCAGTGGCGGATCCAGAGGGGTCCCTCCCCCCCCCCCCCCCCCCCCCCTGGGAAAAAAACGTGTTCAAATTTCACGTTAATTTTACCTTTTTTGGAGATGCCCCCCCCCCCCCTGGCGCTCAAAGGGGGGGGGGTGCGATTTTTCAAATTTTCGAGGGCCCAAAAAAAAATAGTGGTCACTAGTCTCGAGACTGCACTGTGCCACTCGACTTCGTCTCGGGCATAGTCAAGTTTCGAGATCCCCTTGGGCGATAGTTTTAATCGTGCCCCTTACAGCAGTCAATAATCATATCCCACATACCAATAATATTTTATACTCCTTTTTCGGATCTTTTCAGATTGGGTGATCGAGCTCGGGCCCGTCGAAGATAATGAATACCAGTATGCCGTGGTCACCGAGCCACTGATGTTACAGCTCTTCATCCTGGCCAGAGACCCTCAGGTGTTCCGCCAAAAGTACCGGGACCAGGTCCTAGAATTTGTCCAGAAAGCCGGATTTAATAAATTCTGGAACAAGCCCAAAGAGACGGTCCAGGTTCCGGGTTGTATCTATCCACCTCCTCCCTCTGGAAAAGTATTTTTTAGAATTTAATTCAATATGATTTCTCGGATTTTCTCGGACTTTCTCGGAAATTGTTGGATTTAATTCGCGATGATTATGTTAATTAATATTATGGAAAGCCATATTTTGCCATAGAATCAAAGGCAAAGGATTTTCCAGCAAATTTAGAGAAATGATATGCCCATATAGGCCAGCAATATATATGAGCTGTCAGAATGTAGAACATTGTGACAACATGTTTAAAGATCGATAGGCAGTATAGAATATACATGTAGTAATATATTTTTCATGACACTGAAATGTGGACATGGTAAGTTTAATGTAGATGGAACTACACATTTATTTTGTAATTCTTCTCTTTCTGTTATTATCATTTTTTTTTTTTTAAACTCATGTGCCTCCCAATAAATATGCATATATCTCAAATTACCTAGACCTGTCAAGTCTCATTTATCAGCCTCTCACCCCCTCTACGATCTTCTCGTTTCCTCCATTTTGTTTAAATATGTCAACTCTGCAAATAAGAGCTATGATCGCTCATTGCAGACATCTCTTTCTTAATAATGCTTGGCCAACCCGTGTCTGGAAGGACGAGGGGAAGGACGAGCTCCCCGACCCCCACCCCCCCCCCCCCCCCCCCCCCACAGATTTCCGACTAAGAAAGAAGCTCATCAAGTAAGGATATTTTCTCAAACATTCTCTGCTCGGTCTCACTAAATGATATAAAGCTAAACTTCATATGTGAAAGTAATCGCAACCTTGGCTCACAAATCTCTTTAAAAGTTTTTTTGTTTAAACGACAGAGAAGACGAGAGGGCTGTAATTACGTTAAGAATTGAAATAATCTGAAGTACCCACAAACATTACAATCAATAAATCATTTTACAAATATAATAATGCATGTCTACACTGTGTAAAAAGAAAAGAAGAAAAGACAAGACCCATTTTTGGCTCCCTTGCTTAACTTTCTGGAGATATGGAGTACCAGTTACCGATGTTACAAAATACATCTCAAAATCAAAAACATAAATTTAACACCCACCCCCCCCCCCTTTCTTTTTTCTCTCTCTCTCTCTCTCTCTCTCTCTCTCTCTCTCTCTCTCTCTCTTTCTCTCTAACTCCACTCTTGATGAATGAATAATACTCTTTCTCCTCTCCTCCTTCATTCCAACCTCCTTTCATCTCATCACTTGATCATCTACACTTTCACGTATGGTTGCCCTCAATGTAATTACAGATATACAATCACATCTAATGCACTCTACAAAAATATATAAACTCAAGAAACTATGTGCATTTCATAGTAGGTACATGTTTTATTTACAGCAATTTACAAGCCATGACAAAATGATCTCTTTAACACGATGATGTTAGAAATCGAGCCTCTTCAATGTTATACTAGCTGATTCAGGTTATTGAATACATTGAAAATGAAGAAATGGGGGAACTGTTTGTTATGTGGCAATAATTAGTGATCAATAATTTTCAATCAATCAATTGATTAATCATGCTTTCATCGTAAAAAGAAATGATTCACAATACTTTTGTTTACAGTCCACTGTTTACATTCAGTTTCAAAGTACACAGGCCTTGCAAATTTTTTGTTTTGATGTAAAAGAACAAATTTTGAATCACACATTTCTGGTCCTACATTGAAAGGTTCATTACAATTAATTGTATAACTGTTCACTGATTAAGTTAGTACCAATTACTACTAAAAACCGAGCTGTTAGTAATCATGATTATCAGCAATGATGCTTGAAACAAAATGGATTGCAATGAATTCTATATATTTATTTAATCAAATAATGATACTACAGGTGCCAACATGAAATACAAACATTACCATGCTTCGAAACGCCATGCTTTTGGCATGTATACATTATGTGTTACAGTTAATCATAATTAATGCCTGGGGCACTGAACAGACTCGTGTCATACATATTCTATATGGAATGTTAATCAGGATAAATCATCGTTCAATTTTATTTACTGGGAACAAACGGCAACTTGATTTCTACAATTATGAACAGCATAAATGACTGACCTCTGTTGTTGTACTCGTTAAAGGACATGTATAAATCTATTTTTAATAAGAAAATTGCATTTTATTTTGCTTTATTGTCAACAAAATGAAGCATGTACATCGCAAAAGAAATCGGTAGCTGATCCAGTCATTTTTCTTTAATTACATACAGGTGCAAAACTTTTCAAGAAAAGAAAGGGGGTTGCAAAAGCAGCATTTAATTATTGTGAAAATGATAAGTTATTAAATCTTTCCCAGCAATTGTTCCTTGTAGTTTACTGTCATCGTCAGAATTTTATTGAGTCTTGAATATTCCATTCTCACAGCCATTTGCAATGTATTCACGAAATCTCTCCTTTATACTCCATTCATATCAACGAAGGACAAAAGACTAAACAAAGCATTTCATTACCCCCGAATGGCCCAGATTTAGTCCTTCAGTGGTAGGCTTAAAGTCATTCTAGCTAGAGTGACCAATAGTCTGATACAATTTAGATAAATAACATAACATGCACATATATAATGTTCTGAGCTGTACACATATTACTTTATTCTCTATCTACTGTATTTACACTATTTCGAGGGTTCAGTCACACAAAGACGTAACTCCATATTTTGCCAAAATGAGTATGTGATATCAAAATGTTCAGAAAAATGTGGGCTTCCAGGAAACACAAAGACTAACTCCAACCCAACACCCCATTGAAGTCAATGGCTAGTGAAACATAGACTTAACTCCTTATTAATTCCCAAGTGCTCAGTGACACATAAACCACTTTTTCTCAAAATGGCCAAAATGGAGTAACGTCTTTGTGTCACTGGCCCCTCGATTTCTAAAATGTGAAAGGGGGCTCATTTAGCCTCCTGTATTGGCAAGAAATGTTGATAGTACCCCCTTGTGACGTCCACCATGAGCTCCTGTGTGCACTCCGGTAGTTCACCCGATACCGCACCTACAAAGCAAGGTGAAGGAAAAGGAAACAGGTGAACCTCATGCAAAGCTTTACTTTCCAGTCATTAAACAATAATCATAATATAATATATCCATTTATACTACACTGCACTATGACACCGCTACAATTAAATCCTTCTATGTCACAATTTTCAATAATAGGTCCATTTGTATTGCGCACCTACTACCGGGATATATATACCTATATACTCTACTGCACCTAATACAAGTATTGTTATTATTACCCTGGCTGTAGCTGAGCTGCAATAATAAGACGCTAAAGCAATGAAATAATTTCTTCCTACTGGGTTCCCATTTACTTCACCTGGGTGGAGAGTGGCAAGTGTAGATTTACGTTTTTCTAAAGGAAATTAGTGCCTTGACGGGACTTGTGATCCATGGTTCAGTGACACAACCACTAGACCACGACACCTCTACCAATTGTCAATTGTCATAATAAATTTAATTTCGAGTGTTACATTTCAACTTCAAAAATTCCTTTTTTTTTCTACTGTGAAATAGGGTGCACTATAAGTCACATAGAAATAAACTTCAAAAGATGTATAATGTACCCATTTTAGCATTTTTAAAAAGAAAAAATACCCATTCTTAGTACTATTTTTTTAAAATAATTATTTAAACAAAAATTTTCTAGGGACCTTATATCATAATGTGACTTGTGCGTGATATATAAGACCGAAATGGTATAAAAGATCAGAAGTCATTAACAAACCTGGGTTTCCGGACACCACTGTGAAGGGTGGGACAACGGTCTCTGGGGCCAGGTAGGTATTATCAGCTATTGCACAGCAGTCCTTTAAGACACATCTCCTTCCCTGCAATCAAAGTAAAACACAACCATCAACAACATGAGCAACTACATGTAGGCTATCTGGGGAGTGTTTCACAAAGACTAAGATCGACTTTAGGTTGGACTTAACTATGGCAGGCCATTCATGCCACTAGTTGCTCTCACCATTCGTCTCTCAAGGGACGTCACAAATCTACAGAATTTAAATTTTGTGATAGTACATTGTTGAAGAAAGAAGGCTACTTACATTGTAAACGTAAATTATATTCAAGACTTTTTTTCTTTAACAATGGGTAGAGCATACAGTGGCATGAACAGCCTGCCATAGTTAAGTCCAACTTAAAATCGATCTTAGTCTTTGTGAAACCTTTCCCTGGCTTGGTCAGGTGAGGTTTGTCTGTTAGGGGGCAAGTGACAGTTTAACCAACGCTACAAATAACTTGCCAGAAGAAAAATGAAAATCAATGACTGACAATCATTCAAGATAAATTAAAAGGCCTTGATAAAATACTGAGAAATGGTTTAGGGTTGGACCATTAGGGCGCCGCTCAGTGGCGACCACCACTGGATTTGTTCTCCCCATCTTTTGGATTATTTGTTACTATTTTGTCTTATTTTGTGAGTGCATTTTGACCTTCATCATGTTTTCCATAACTGTGAGATTAGCCATGGCTACCTTTTGGATATTTTTGATCCTCGCATCGGTGTTTTTGACTGGTTCTGCCCTGAAAGTCGAACACCAACTGAATAGCCTTGTATACACACGGACTGAGATACTCAACCTACGCGGCGCCACGGGGGATGCTCGACCCCTCGGATATGAGGACTTTCCACCCGAGATCAAACCACGTAAGAGAGGTAAGAGGGGCGGAATAAGGACAAGGCTGAGAAAGAGAGGAACAAAACCGGCCCTCCCTTCAATAATATTGGGGAATGTACGCTCGTTGCCTAATAAGATGGAAGAACTTGAAACACTTTCTAGATACATGAACGAATACCGAGATTCTTGTCTATTAGCATTTACAGAAACATGGTTGAAAGAAAGCATTCCCGACAATGTTATTGATATTCCACATTTTGATGTAGTAAGAGGAGACAGAACAGAACAGTCAGGGAAAAGCAAAGGAGGAGGCGTATGTCTATATATCAACCAAAAGTGGTGTAATAATTGGGATGTCAAGGATGTCGTTTGTCTGCCCAATATTGAACTCATTACAGTGGGACTCCGACCTTTCTATCTTCCCCGTGAATTTCCCCAGATATTCATTACTGTGGTCTACATTCACCCCCGTGCTGATGTTGAAATTGCCAGTGAATTACTAGCTGCTAAAGTAAATCATCATGCTTCGTTGTCCCCTGATGCCCCTACATTCATAATGGGTGACTTTAACCAATGTCACTTGAATGGTGTACTTCCCACGTTTGAACAATATATTGACATACCAACAAGAAATGGAGCTACCCTAGATAAGTGCTATGGTAACATTCCTAAAGCATACGTTGGAAAACCGTGTCATCGTCTAGGAAAGTCCGATCACCAAAATATCCGCTTACTACCGGCTTACAAGCAAAAGTTGAAAAGAAGCCGGCCCGTCACTAAGCAACGGTACGCGTGGACTGATGACTCAACGGAGGAACTCCGAGCAGCCTTTGACTGTACGGACTGGGATCTATTGTTCAACTCAGCGAGCTCACTAGACGAAGCCACTGATGCTATCACAAGTTATGTCAAGTTTTGTGTCGACTCGATTATACCCCTTAAAACGTTTAAAATGTTTCCCAACAATAAGCCATGGGTTACAAAGGAACTCCGGGACCTGCTGAAGGTAAAGAATGGTGCACTCATCAACGGTAACAAGACGCGTGTCAAAGAGGTACAAAGGGAAATTAAACGCTTAGTTGACTCTTGTAAAATGTCTTATAAAAACAAGCTCGAAAATAACTTTCGAAATAACAAACCTGCTGCTGCCTGGAAAACGATGGAGGTGATTACTGGGTATAAACCAAAGCCCAAGACTCTGGGATTTGACATAACACAGGACTTTGTCGATGAACTGAATGACTTCTATTGTAGATATGATAAAAAGTTTACAGTTGAAAATGACGTAATTGCACTCAGACTAAGGCAAATGTTAAGTGAATCTGAAAATGTAATTTGTATCTCTGAACATGATGTTAGGCGATGTTTTGGGGCACTTAAAACTAATAAAGCCCCAGGGCCTGACGGTATCTGTAACAAAGTACTCAAGCTTTGTAGGGATCAGTTAGCCGGGGTATTTAATGAACTTTTCAACCATTCACTGGAAAAGGGACATATCCCGACTCTTTGGAAAACATCCCTGATAAAACCAATTCCTAAAGGGAAGAAAGTGAAGGAACTTAATGACCTTCGACCCATTTCACTCACTTGTAGTGTTATGAAATGTTTCGAAAAGATCATGATGAAGTACCTTCTTGAATACACTTCCCCCTACATTGACCCCATGCAGTTTGCATACAGATGTAAGAGAGGAGTTGACGATGCAGTACTAACATACCTACATAAGGTATATGCCCATTTAGACAAGGCTAAGACCTATGTAAGATCCACTTTCGTGGATTTTTCTAGTGCCTTCAACACTATTATCCCCCACCTTCTGATAAACAAACTCATTGATATGGAAGTCCCTCCCCAGTTAAGTCTGTGGATACAGAGTTTTTTAAGTGACAGACCACAGAGAGTGGTCTTAGGTAACGCCTTATCCTGTCCAAGAATTGTAAATACAGGGGCGCCCCAGGGCTGTGTCATCTCCCCCGCGCTCTTCTCCCTCTACACAAGTGACTGTCTATGTAATGTAGGAGAGTGCAGTATCATCAAATATGCGGATGATACTGTAATCACAGGTTATCTTTCTGAAGACGTAGACCCATACGTTAAGGTTATAGATGAGTTTGTTAAATGGTGCAATGACCACTTCCTAATACTAAACGTAACTAAAACAAAAGAGATCATAATTGATTTTCGCCGAAACCCCTTCGATCATACCCCGATTTTGATAAATGATACTCCTGTAGAACAAGTTACAGAGTACAGGTATTTAGGTACTACTATCTCAAAGTCACTTGATTGGACTAAGAACATTGTAGACATCCAAAAGAAAGCCAACCAGAGACTATACTTTATTAGGGTAATGAAAAACTTAAGAGTAGATAGTAAGTTGATAGAACTGTTCTTTAAGTCCCTAATTCAGAGTGTCCTAACCTTCAACCTAATTTGCTATTATGCAAACGCTAAAATTGCTGCCAAGAAACTACTCGAACGTCCCAGAAAGGCAGCAAAACGTATCACAGGAGCCGATCTAACATCCATAGAAGATCTGTATCAGAAAAATGCCCTTTCTAAAGTAAAACAAATAATGCATGACCCCTCGCACCCACTGAATGAGCACTTCAATTATAACAGATCTGGCATACGCCTGTGCACACCACGAACCCAACGTGCACGTTTCCGAAGATCCTTTATCCCCGACTCCATTCATCTTTTCAATTCCAAAGCAAAACGTGTTTGATTACTATGAACCTACCATGTAATGTATCAATATAAATGTATATGCCATGAATACTGCATCCAACTATTTACTAACGTTTGAGCCAGTAACTACAACTTATGTGTCATCAATAAACTTAACAATAATAACGATGCTGGTATTAATTATACTATTGAAAATGGTAATCAATAATAATAATAATAATAATAATAATAATAATAATAATAATAATAATAATAATAATAATTCATGTATTTATTATCATTTTAAGATTTAATATGGAATAATCAATGAATATTAAATAATTTAGCTTCATATTTTGTAAAATGGAATCTGATATTATCTCTTCAACCACCATACTGCCATATATACAGTGGCTTACTCACATATTATCTCATTCTTTATGTATGCTTATCATAATGTTCATGTTTATCACTGTCTTGTAATATTTCATGTATATATTTGTATTGTAATACTCTGTAACCAGTGGAAAACAAATTTCCTGTAAAGGACAATAAATTCTTATACTTATACTTATGTCTTTAGAAATTCTAGTCTGTACATCTGGGCCACGTCTTACAAGGAGTTGATATCGCAACTATGTAAATAAGAGATAGCAGACTGCAAACTTGCGATTAATTTGTATTAATCGTAAAGTCTTTGTAAGACAGGGCCCTGAAGAATGAGGTGGTGGCTGGTGAGGGGGGGGGGGGGGACTTCTAATCTCATTTCCAAGTTAATCTTCAATTAAGTATTTCTTCGGTTTCTCCTACTTGTAAACCTGCAGTGGATGTTCATGCTCATGTCCATATATGGCGTGTTAAACAGCATCGATTTTAAATAGGCTTTTAATTACATAAGCATAATGTGCTTCAAATCACTATATCATGTATCATATAAAACACTGATTAGTATGCACAGGACCTTCATTGTGAACATATACCTTTTTTCATCGCCATTAGCCATTTTATTTACATGAAGGAAAAAAAAACAATTTCTCATGTCATGTGTGAAGGTTCTATACATGTACATGAATGATAGCACAGAGACAGTGGTACATTTAACATGCAAGTCCAGTAATCATTCAACATTTCTATTCCCTTGAATACCTAGCTCAACCTATTGATCTATACAAAAAACATGAGCAAGTACTTACAATGACACAATTCTTTCCTATGTGTACATATGAGCCAACTTGAGCAGCATTGACTATACAATCTTCATCAATGAACACATGATCTCCTATATGAAGAGGGAAGAACGCCACCCTGAAATAAAAAAACAAAATTTAAATTACCAGGTAAACAAAATGAGGCATTGGATTAACATATTTAGTGACCAAATCTTAGGTTTTGGTTCAATTGTTATTCCCGTAATCAAACATTACTAGATTTAAATGAAAAATTATTACATTTTGGGAAAAAACATGAGAGTTCATCTTCTGTGAAACTATGTCCACCACATGGTAAAGTCCGGTAGGTTATACTGAAATGAATAACCATCTATATTGGATGCTCAAAATTTTAATTTTTTTTTTTTTTTAAGAGTGTTGTATCACAATGGACATCACATAGAAATTATTATAAGATTGGTCAATAAACATTTTGGTAATAAAATATTATGAAACTGTTCTTTTGCATGACAGAATATGTTTCAAAAATAGACAAAGGGAAGAATAATCAAGTTGCAAGTGTGACTATTTGAAGGTGAGGATTGTTAAGAAGCATGGACATACAATTGATCCATTTAATACAAGTACAGTCAAACCTGCTATAGTGAACACCTGTCTACAAAGACCACATTTTTTGTTTCCCTTGAAAATGGCTTCTTATTGAAACATTTACTAAAGGAACCTGTCTACAAAGACCACTTGTTGTGTTTCCCTTGGGCGGTCGCTATAGACAGGTTTAACTATATATGACTTGATTAAGCTCTCTTTCATAAATCATCTTACCCTTTGCTGAATTTCTTGAACGGTGGTCTGACGACCGTCCTGGAGCTGATCACACAGTGTCTGCCGATACGAACATTAGCTAGGTCACCGCGGATAATACACTCCGAATGGATGATGGACTGCAAACAAATATGAATTGGTTACTTTAATATAGCATGGTATCACATGGGTATTAGATTTGCTTACCCTAAGGTATCACAAATGTATTAGATAAAAAATATAACACTTTCAATCAATAAGAGCTTTAAAAAAACTACAATTAACTATAATAATATAATGTATTTTGCACAATGTAAGACTGAAGAATATTTTAAAAATTCTGGAATCTGGAGTACTGTTAACTTTTCTTTAAAACAATATTTTCAAAATAACATACTAAAAATTGAATATATTGATTTTATTGTTTTTTTAATGAATCAAGATCTTTGATTTGTGAATTTCAGCCCTGGATTGAGCACACCCAATTATCTATCAAGTATTCCACCTGCTATTCCACATCGCTACTACTGATGCCACTAATACTAATAGTCCAAGATGCTGTCACTCGATCAAGCCAATTGCATGTGTAATATTGAATTTCAGCCAGCTCTGCAATCTTTATTTATATCCACATTTAGAAGTCAGAAAATGAAGGTTTGGCAAAGGCACGCTCTGCCCAGTTCACTACTATTGGGATAATATTTAAAAAAATGATTTAGTTTTGATTTCTTACCTTTCCATTCAATACAATGTTCTGACTTCCACATAGCACAGACTGCTTGCTCACTTTGTTGCCAGATGCCTAGAAAAAAGAAGAAAAAAGAAGAAAAAAGAAGAAAAAAAAGAAAGTATAATCTGGAATCTCTCACCCCCCCCCCTTTTGTTGTTGGGGGGGGATCTCAAGAGGTAGCTACATGTATGTAAAATTTGAGTATTAGACAATAATATTATTATAATGAATAATTTAACACTTGAATAACAATGTCAATGGGTTATTCCATGTCAAATCACCCAATGGTTTTAACCCGACCATTTTTGATTTTGATGAAACTTAGTGTACTTGTTGAGTGTGATCTCACAGCACCAAATACCAAATTTTAGGTCAAACGGGTGAGGGGTTTTGGAGATACGGCCCACCAAATTTGGGGATTTTTTCAAAAATGGGCCTACCTTTGAACCCTTGTATCTCGGGACCTAATGGGTCAATCTTCACAAAATTTGTATTGTTGGAAAGGGTATTCAATAAGGATTCCAAATCTGCCGCTATTCTGAAGATTTGTACATGTTAGGGTACTTTGACCTCTTGACCTCAGATTTGACCTTGAAATTGACCTTGTGGATCATGTAATTTTGACAACATTTTTCATGAAATGTAATCTCTGACATGTTCACTGAAACATATAAAAGTTTCAGAGATATAATATTTTTTGTTTAGGAGCAATAAGGATTGAAAGTATTCATGCTCACAGATATTTATTCACAATAAACCCTATTATAATGTATACAATACATGCAATATGCACAGTACAACATACATCTTCCACATGCTTTTTTGTTTTAGGCATATCCATCCTAAATGTCGGTAGTACTTGAATAGAAATAAAATGACAAGTTCATATAGGCCTAAAGGGTTAACAGGATGTATGGCTTTAGGCCTCTGAGTCGGTTCTAGGATAATTACCCCCTGGAAAATTAACCCTCAGGAAATGTCCCCCCCCCCCCTGAGGACAATTACCCCCCAAGGACTATCACACCCAGCAGAGGATTATTACCCCCCCCCCCAGAAAATTACCTCCTAGGACAATCTGTCCTCCCCCCGAGGACAATTATCCCCCGGACAATTTCCCCCTAGGACAATTACCCCCCCCCCCCCCCCCCCGGGGAAATTACCCCTCAAGAATAATATACCCCCCAAAAAAATTTTGCTTTGAATAAAACACCTTTTTATCAGGATGGACTTCCCCTTTAAAGAATAGAGGGGGGGGGGGGGGTAATTGTCCTTAGAGGGTAATTGTCCTTAGAGGGTAGTTTTCAGGGGGGGAATTTTCCAGGGGGTAATTATCCTAGAACCGACTCAGAGGTCTCAAGCCATACATCCTGTTAACCCTTTAGGCCTATATGTTCTTGTCATTTTATTTCTATTCAAGTACTGCTGACATTTAGGATGGATATGACTAAAACAAAAAAGCATATGGAAGATGTATGTTGTACTGTGCATATTGCATGTATTATAATAGGGTTTATAGTGAATATCTGTGAGCATGGATACTTTCAATCCTTATTGCTCCTAAACAAAACATATTATATCTCTGAAACTTTTATATGTTTTAGTGAACATGTCAGAGATTACATTTCATGAAAAATGTTGTCAAAGTTACATGATCCACAAGGTCAATTTCAAGGTCAAATCTGAGGTCAAGAGGTCAAAGTACACCAACATGTACGAATCTTCAAAATGGCGGCAGATTTGGAATCCTTATTGAATACCCTTTCTAACAATATAAATTTTGTGAAGATTGACCCATTAGGTCCCGAGATACAAGGGTTCAAAGGTAGGCCCGCCACCCCCATTTTTGAAAAAATCTCAATATTTGGTGGGCCGTATCTCCCAAACCCCTCACCCGATTTACCTAAAATTTGGGATTTGGTGCTGTGAGATCACACTCAACAAGTTCACTAAGTTTCATCAAAATCAAAAATGGTTGGGTTAAGATTTTCAGATTTTTTGGGTGATTTGACATGGAATGACCCCAATCAATCATTAGATTTTTAAACCAAAATGAGTTGTTGGTATTCAATAAACAAAAATAATAAATAATTCACTAGATTTATAATGCATAAATTAACAATGAATAAAAATTGATGATTACAATTAATGATAATTCATAATTCAATAATTCATTACAAACAAAGTATCATTCATTCAATTACACCATCTAAAGTCTACGGATACTTTTGTTTTCAACTTGTTGCCGTCAATATTGTTGTTGACGTCATTTCGCACAAAATTCTTGTAAGTTATGCTTTGTGGATGTAAGAAGAAATACAATCATAGCTTACTATTATTAGTTGGTATTTTTTTTATGAAGAAGAATGGTGATTTTTGTGAATGATTGATGTTTTTGACGTAGGGTAGCCGCGCCGGTAGCGACTCAGCACAATGCGCGCAGAAGACAGACTGATGGAAACCATACCAACATAAACTCCTACGCGTGGGACAGCGCAAAATATTTACAGAGCATACGCCCAGTAAAACTACGTTTTCATACATATATAACGGGCTGCGAGTGTATAAAGATAACAAATTGATACTTGTGACTTACAGTTTCTATATATTCTGCTTTAATGTAGAATGAGTCCTGCAATTCCATGACAAAATTGTGATTTTCCTCCTTCAAATTCACTCAATTTTCAGTTCTTCTACAGTTCGCTTTTCTCACTCGCCAGAGGGCGTCATACAATTACAAGTAATAGGGCGCTTTAGTAACGAGACGGAAGGCAAAGAGGACGGGAGAATTCACTCAACCGAGATCAAATAATGTATGCAGTTCGGATTCTGTCTATTGAAATACTATTATTCTTATCAGGTGAATGAAATAATTTGTATTGAGGCACTTCACAAAGACTTATGCATTAAATTTGGTTACATTACGAAAATGACGGAAGGCAAAGACGAGGGTAACCGAGCAAAAAAATCAATCTGCGCATGTGCGAACCAGAATTGTCTCCGTCTTGTTGATTTTCACGACCTGTCTCAGCCATAATAGCGTTCGTTCCCTAAACTCGACGGAAGAGTTGTATCGCCGTACAATAGACCATTTTCGTAATGTAACCAAATTAAATGCATACGTCTCTGTGAAGTGCCTCAATACAAATTATTTCATTCACCTGATACGAATAATAGTATTTCAATAGACAGAATCTTAACTGCATACATTATTTGATCTCGGTTGAGTGATTTCTCCCGTCCTCTTTGCCTTCCGTCTCGTTACTAAAGCACCCTAATGTCTATTTTTCTACGCTATCTATAGATCTATCAATCCATCCATTTATATATCTATACTAATCGGTATCTATCTATCTATCTATTTATCTATCTATCTGTCGAATTTAGTATCGATTATTTATCATTCTCATTCATTCTCATTGCTACAAACAAAATTTAATATAATTTATGATTTACTCCCTGATCGTTCATATTATAACTTATTTATATGACTCTAATCCTTACCAGTCAAGGTGGACTTCTGCTCTTAATTTCAATACCCTCTTCCTTCATTCCTCGCTACTTTCTTTCGCGTTCCCCATCTTTCCTCTTTACTTGTTTACCTATCAAAAGCATCTATCCATCTATGTCTACCTATATATAATTATCTTTCTATAAACATCAATCTGTTTGTACATCTGTCTGTCTATCTACAGTATCTATCTATATAGGTCTATCAATATATATAATTATCTTTCTACATATCAATCTTTTTGTCCATCTGTCTGTGTATCTATCTATCCATCCATCTATCTATGTCTATCTAGGCCTATATATAATTATCTGTCTACATATCAATCCGTTTGTACATCTGTCTGTCTGTCTATATTTATCTATCCATCTATCTATCTAGGTCTGTCTATATATATATATATATAATTATCTTTCTACATATCAATCTGTTTGTCCATCTGTCTGTGTATCTATCTATCCATCCATCTATCTATGTCTATCTATAGGCCTATATAATACATATCAATCTGTTTGTACATCTGTCTGTTTTATCTATCTAATGGTATGATTAGTATCTATAGCTATCTATCTATCCATCCATCTATCTATCTATATGTCTATCTATAAATGTATCCATTTGTCTGTTTGTCTATCTGTATACATGTACATGTATATCTTTATTCATCTGTGCTGTACTGACACTACATCTATTATCAGCTACTGCATTGATCATGCCATGATTACCGGCAATCGAAAAACCATTGGAATGAATAGAGTAACAATTGTATCATTGAGTTTTCTTTTAAATATGTTTAATGTTAACAAATATATAAAATAATTAAATAACATTCATTCTTGATATAAAACGCAATAATAATGTTTCATCTACTGTAATCATATTATAGTATTTGATTTTATATTCATTTTATTTCTGCGTTTTTTTCCATATATAATAGCTGAATAACAAAGAACATAATTATAAACGTAATATACAAACATTAACAACTTCATGTAAAATAAATTTGTTGAAACATATATACATATAATAACGAAACTGAATATTTCTATAAATATATCATTACAAATGTTAAGTATTATCCGAACTATCTGTGGAAAAAGTGCAAGCTACCGCCATTATTTTTATAAGCGATAAAATGAAAAGGTGTTTAAACAATCTTTGTGTATGAGTTTGTGAGTGTGTTATTCTACAGAGTTGCATCTATAATGAATTATCGAGGAAGACACAGTCATCGGAGCCTCGAGAGAGAAATAAATATTTCAGCCGAATATATTATTATGCAAGAATGGTAAAAGAAGAACAAATTTTACATTTAACACATCAAATATATCTAATATTATTTCAGTGGATGACATTTTCATAAAGATTTAAAAAAAATGTTTTTTCGTGTGATCATTTCTAATGATATACACACATAATGAATTATTGACTTCAAGATTGTACAATTTTATGAACATCAGGGTAAACTTGTAAATAGATTTCAAATACATGCTTTTATTCAGGGTGACATTTTTTAATATAAATCAATAGGGCGAAGTGAACATACTTCTCATTCCATACTTCAGCAAAATATGAAGAGTTTGATTTTATTCATTAAAACGGATTTAATTCATCTTGGAATCAAGGTATTTGTGTGGTTGTGAGTTTTAATTTTCTGATACGATTCCCACACTTAATACAAGAACATGAACTTGAAGTTCTACATAAATTATGTACATTAATCAAAATGAAAGATACAAGTTACATTATTATTATTATTATTATTATAGCTCACCAATGAAGTCAAATGATGGACTGACTGATCATTTTAATAGGTATCTTGGACTGTCTGTAATTGTCCATTGTGGACGAACAGAAACTATCCGGTATTGTACATCCCATCTCAATTTCCATTTATGATGAGCCCTAACAACTCGTTTTGTTTAGCTAGTCCTTATCCACTCTGAATCGTTATCATGTTGATGCTTCATGATAGTATCAAGAAAAAGGGGAAGAACCAATCATTCGTGTCATAGTCGTATTTTTGATGCTAAAGTTCAATTTTGTAATGTAATTATATATTTTAGGATCATGATAATATTCATCTTTCAGATAGTTATAATTTTGTGGATGGATCCAGATAATCGGCAATGAAGATACCCAGTGACGTATGCTACAAGGGCACGTGTCCTACAATCAAATTGGAAAAAATGGAGGAAAGGGAAAAGGAGAGAGAAAAAAATGGAAAGGGAGAAGTTAATGTGAAAAAGACACCAGCAACCTCTTATAAGAGGTTGCTGTCGTGTATACACGTTCATATTCAGTAGCCCAATAAATTTATATTTCATCTATATACCATTAAGACCGGAGCCCCTATGATGCCCCTCTAGCTATTCCTGGATACGCCAACGGATGTTACACCCTAATTCCGAGTTCATTCGTTTGTTATTATTTTTTGTTGGGGGGGGGGGCGTGGATGGTCCCTAAAGTCCTAAATTATCGTGTATCATGATTCTCGATATTATTCAACTCTATTGCGAGAATAACTTTGAGTTGATTTAATAAGTTATTAAATAAGAGAAGAAACAAGCAAAGTTACCCTGTATAATGATGTACAAAAATATGTTTATCTTATTTTATGTTTTATTAAAAAAACATTACCAGGGTACACTCAGAAAACTTTAGTCTTTATGATTTGTTGCTTTTGAACGCGACATCTGGATCACCCGTCGCGAGAGAATCCATACGATGACGAGGTTGCCAACGAGCACCGTGAGTAAAACACCGAACGTCGTCACGAACGTCGGTCTACGGAGGTCGTCGAGGTAATGGGCGCGCTCCGTCAACTCTGCGATCAAAGCAAGGTATTGACAGTAGCTGGCGATGCTGCTCCCGATGTGGAAGAACTGATGACTGTGACCGATGATGTCGAAGGTCCCGGGCGCGATGACCTCGGGAACACGTGTGGCGTAGAAGAAAGCGAAGCCGAGTACCCAGTAGAATTGCTGGATGTGGAAGAAGAGAGCCTCGCTGCCGCACCCCGTCGACTCGCAGTAGATGACGCGATAGACAAGGGGGACGCTGAAAGAAAATATGATAGAATGACTTATCGATTTGTTTTGTAGACAGCAATCTGATATCATGACTAGTACCCATCAAGTGCTTATTCATGTCACACCGTGAGAAATTCAATACTTGCTTTTGAACACCGGCTTTTAATTGTCAGATAGCAAAGTAAAGGAATCTGATTGAATAAAGAAATGTGTATGAATTATAAATAAAAACAGAACAATTGCATTTTGCTGTATAAATATGATATCTACTGATGTGGGCGGAGGGGGCGCCAATCATTTACTGCAGTATCATCTCGGCTACGGGCGGCCTTCAAAATGAGGAGCCTCGATGTATATACAATGTATATACATTGAAATGTATGAGATTAGGCAGAACAAAACAAAAAATTTGAAAAAGGAAGAAAGAAAAAGCAAAGTAAAAAAAAGATTGGGCACGCGTCCTTCGTCATGCTTGTACTCCCTCCCAACTTCACTACACGCTAGCAACTGAATAGCTACACCTATGAGTAGTACGGGATTTTGCAAATAGCACTTAGCATCCTTGTAGATGACGTTCATCAATTACCTTTTTTACTGGTTGCAAATAGCAATAATTATTTTGTTTATCCAGGGAAGCATCGGTGCTATTTTTCCCTAGGGCCCTGTAAATATATGTTATAATTAAACCACCAGCAATTACCAGGTACCTATATACCCCGGGTGGAGGGTAGCAAATGTGGATGTATGTCTTGTCAAAGGGTATTCCGGGCTGCGGATTCGAACCATCAATCCTTAGATTGAGAGTAAAGTGAATGAACCACTATCCCCATGAACCCGACCATATAGGATAGTATAGTATTTATTTTCCGTTTGATTAAAAAATAAAAATATAATACAAGTATATACAAAAGCAATAATAAACGGCTGGATAGCCCATATTCAGCTGTGCCAGGCACGACACTGCTGGTCTTCCATGGGGTTCAGAAAATAAGCATGACGTATAATTATAACATGTAGTTTTTAAGCTTCTACCAACCTTAAATTTGTATTGCAAGCTTTCATGGGAGGATGCCCTCATTATATACTTTGAAAGTAACTTCTGGGCAAGAAAGGTGAAAGAGTCCATATGGATTAAGATAATTAAGCCATCACTAAACAGGGACTCTGGGTACCTATTGTCGCCGATCTTTGGTCCAGAGATCACAGGACACTAGGCAGTACAGCGAAGCAAACGTGAGACTCAGACTGATCACTTAGCTTGAGAAAGTCCACAGGAGTGGATGAAAGCTTGCAAAACAAATTTAAGGTTGGTAGAAGCTTAAAAACTACATGTTATCATTATCCCCAACTGATGAAAGTTTTCTGTATCATGACGTATAATTATTTACTAAATTAAAGGATATAAAGAAGGTACAATACACATTTACAAATGCTTAAACTCTACAAAATGGTAGTTAATGGTGTTAATAGAATATTTTCTCTACAAAGATTGCATACTTGCACCAGATGTAGGGTATGGCAAACGCTGGCAGACGACCGGCGTCTCGGAGGGGCGGCCAGGAGGAGAAGCGGCTACAACATGCAAGGTAAGTGCTACAGAGAGCTGTTACCATGGCAACGGGAAGGTAGGCGTGGTAAAGAGGTGTATCCAGTAATTCTGGCGGAAAGGCGTAGGCATAATAAGCTGTAAAAAAACAACAATTTAACATCTTCATTGAACGGCTGTACGGGGCATACGCCCATGAGACAATCAACTAATCAAATCCACACTTTAACCCCGGACCAACTCGACCTAACCGTAACCCTCACCCTAATCCTAACATAAAACCTATCGCAACCCTAATCCTTTCCCGCATGGGTGTCGATCCCGGGGGGATGGGGGGATATATCCCCCAATATTTCAGGTGGGGGGGGGGATGGCCTGTACAATCATCCCCCCCCCCCCAATAATTCACCATCAAAAAAAAAAAAAAAATGAAGAGAAAAATTAAGAATGAGAGCCCGATGAGAGTAGTTAATGGTTATTACTTGCAAGATGACCATCAATATACACATTTTGCTATCTCATTTTCATAATACATACATATATATGAAGTAAATAAGACAACCGTATATGAGACAAGAATAAATTGAATTCTCGCTCATACGGCTTCATCAGGAATTGATGAATTTATTCAATTTGTTCAATCAATAGCATCATAGAAATGCAGTGCGCCAAATGCAAAGACGCAGCGTCAAAAAGCAACGAGCTAAATGTTAAGCGCGAAGCGCAAAAATAGCAATCTGCAATGCACATCGGACAATCCTGGACAGTGTAAACATAGATGAACTCTGTGACGATTTCGTGATGAGATCGGAGACAAGGAGAAAGATTTTCGGACATTAGTATGACTTATAAAATAGTTCTCTAGTTGTTATGTTGTTTCCGTTCACCCTTTTTAAAGGTACTATGTCCCTTTTGCAGCCAACCTCAAATTCTGTAAAACTTTGCAGGAATTATGAATATGTCATGTATGTCCTATCTGTGAAATTTAAACGTTAGCAGTGTCATCATATTCAAATTATGCAAGGAAACCCGTTTACTTGCTAGACTTCACTGTCAGACATTATTGAGTGACTGACTGGCTTTTTTTCTTCTTTGGTAATAACATACATAAAAAGAGTTGTATCGGGTACATGAGCATTTGTCTACATTAATAACCCACTTCTTGTGATGGCCAAGATTAAACTGATTGAATCTTTGCGCAGCATAAAACGTATGACCATTCGGTACAATTGTCTGCAAATCAAGACTATTACTTTTGGGCTCTATAGCCCTAAAGTCGATTTGACAACTAATAGTCATTTTTTTTCCCATTTGAAGACATTTTCAAGCCCCACCTTTTTTAGGGAAGTTCTAAATTAGTATTATCTTTCAAATGCAGTTGGAATTTAACCTTTTCATTTTTTTGGCCTGCAAATGGGACATAGTACCTTTAAAATTCACGTTATTGTATCTTAATTTTTGTTTTTTTCACTCATTTTATTTCCTGATATTTCCTAAAAGATTTTTCATTTTTGGAGAAAGATTATTATGTCACAACTTATTTTTAACACAAATTATATTCAGTGGGGAAACTGAATTCAGACAAGGATTAATACAGAGAACAGTACAACGAATCGTCTTCTTTCTCTAATAATTCAGTGAAAAGGGCAAAGCTGTTAGGGGGCAACTGTATTCAGACGTGGATTAAGCGTAATAATCGAATGAAACGTCAAAGTACACGATACAACGAAGCGTCTTCTTTTACGAATAATTTTATGAAACGTGAAAGCTTCCGCGCTAAGCGCGGAATGGGCGAAAATGAATACAGACAAGGATTAAGAGTAATAATTTATTGAAACGTTAAAGCTTCCGCGCTTCGCGCGGTAGGGGGGAAACCGAGTTCATGAAGGACACGATACAACAAATCGTCTTCTTTCACTAATGTGAAAGCTTCCGCGCTTCGCGCAGGAATGGGCGAAAATGAATTCAGACAAGGATTAAGAGTCGAGAATGGTACAGAGGATCGTCTTCTTTCTTTAATAATCTGATGAAACGTCAGAGCTTCCGCGCTACGCGAGGAGGAAGGGGAACTTGATTCAAACAAGGATTAAGAGTCGAGAACGGTCCAACGAATCGTCTTCTTTCTCTTATAATTTAGTGAAACGTCAAAGCTTCCGCGCTTCGCCGGGGGGGTGGGGGACTCCCCCTCCCTGCACGCAACCCCCTAGGGACCGCGCTTCGCGTGCTCACTACCGCCCCCTAAAATGAAATCCTGGCTACGCGCTTGGGAGGGGTGCAACTTGCAACACGCTTCTACCTCTTGATTGCTTGATCCATTGCCGAAAATATTTTGGCACCTATCATCCCCCCAACCACGGATACAAATTGACACCCTTGCTTGCCCGATACTTTTTGACAAAATAAAGCCGTTTCAGCATGTCGAGGAAATAAAATGTACGTTGGTCCCGGCCCACCCCCCCCCCTCCCACCCGTGAACGGAGGGATACCATGCGTGTTCCCAAAATGTCCTGTAAAGGGGTACTTTTCACGCACCAAAGTCGGGCTCGTAGTACACAAAAATCCGGCCCGTATTGACTTTACACACCGGACTTAGGGGGGTGTTTTCAAAAGGAGGGAACATTATATGCGTACCCTAAATAACACAAAGTTGGGGGGGGGGGGGGCAGGACGTTGGTTCACTCACTTCAATGTCGATACATGTATTTCATCAGAATCAGTAGGGAAATCACACTCCCATGTTCTAGTTGGAAAGGGGAGGGGGTGAAGGGCTGGATTTCTTTTTTTCAAAATTGGGCTGGGTATCATTAAATATGCACGTTCGGATAATGAAAGGGGCGCCGTCATTGGATGTGTAATGTGCTTGAAGAAACAACAACATCATATTTGGATATGTTTCACATACCTTTTGCTTATTGTCACTGAGGAAGTATTTTAATTTGTTATTCTATTTGTTTTCCTCTCCTTTAACGGTTATATCCATTCATGATCCACTCAATGAATATTTCTGTTATGTGTCCGTGAGTGTACATAACATATTCTTTGTGGGTTTTTTATATTTATTATTCAAGTAAAAGACCGCTAGGTTTGATTCAGGTCCCGTGTGCTGTTTTATACGTCCTTGCCCCTTTTACAGGTTTATATTAATTCTTTTCAATATGGCTTTCACTGCAAAGTAGTACAAGGTCGCATCACAATCAGACAGAATTACAACGTCAATGATAGTTACTATAGTATGGATCTAAGAGCATTTATATGTTATTGATTTTAGACAAGTTTTAATGACCTAACTGAATGTATGGTTGCCACGGGGGTGGGGGTCGAAGTCGAAAACCGTCAGAGAGCAAATAAAAGAGGCAATGAAACCGAAAGTAAATTGGGATATTTTAGTTTCAAAATTTTTGACTGCAAAGGCGTTGACGCTCAACCAGTTTCATTGACGACAGACACTGGTAGATATTTGTTAAGGTCAATATTTCTTTCACGTTCATCGGAGCATGAAGATGTATTGAAGAAAAAAAATAGTATCACACGATCATATATTTCAATACATTATTATGTATGAGGTTTTTAGCACGTTGTATGTGATCCCTGCAGTGAGCTACAGAGTTACGTATATATTGTATCATAGATTGGAAGATTATAGGAGTGTAGAAATGTTATTAGGCCTATTTGCATTTCATAATTGGGTCATTCTTATTTCAGAATATGTTATGCTTAAATCCTTTAAGGATTACAGTATGTTTTTAGGCCTACATCATTCTATAGGCCATAGCTTTATAGTAAAACCAAATTTCAATTTTGTTTTCCTTCTATATAAACACAGTATCATAACTATAAGGACAGAATATATCATATTTCACCGTCAGACAGATAATGGAACTATTTTATTTTGACATTTTGGGAGACATATTTTTGATGATGATTGGTTATTCATATTAAAGTCAGCTTAACTTCAACCAATCTTGGGAATTCAAGACAAATCAAGTACTCTATAATCTAAACCACACATGAATACGGGCTTGAATACATTACAAATATATTATTAGTACAATTATTGATTAACAGTAAATTTAATTAATTATTCCTCCAAATCTTCATCGCTTACCTATACAGGTACCCAGACTGTATAAGCTGACACCGCAGTAGTCTATGAAGAAAAATATATATCTAGCGCACTGCGACATGCTATTGAACATGTGGGCCACGGAGCTGGCCGTCATGTAGAAACAGGCTCCGAGTAGGAAGACGATGACGGGCCATGTGAAGGGATCTAGGGCGAGCCCGTGGTCGGTGACGGCGACGAACCACGTGAGGCGGGCGAAGATAAGGGCGGGGATGAAATGAGTCCAGAAGTTGACGGTCTCGTTGGTGCGCTGGAGGGCGCTGGCCAAGCAGGACGACGCGCTGCTGCGGTATGAACGGTACCCCGAGATGATGAAAGGCTCCCGAAAATCAGACGGGACCTGCATGTAAAGAGGGGATGGAGGGGGATAGAGGGAGGGAGAGAGAGAGAGAGAGAGGGGGGAGCGAGAAAAAGGGGAGGGAGGGGGAGGAGGGAAGAGGGATGGGGAGGGGGAAAAGGGGGAGGGAGATAGATAAAGGAGGAGGGGAAATAGAGGATGAGGGGGATATATAAAATATGGAGGAGGGAGATAGATAGATATAGAGAGAGAGGCAGAGAGACAGAGAGACAGAGAAAGAAATAAAGATATGAAGTCACTCTGTCATAATACTGCTTTAAATCAAAACAAAATGATATGAACTGAAAAATTTACAGGTATAGTCAAATCACAATTAATGTTCCAGTCAGAAGGTAAAATAGTTTATAACTTTCTAGTCAGGTAACGAAATCTCTCTTTGCATGAGTTGGCAACTGGATATTCACGATTATTTTTTTAATTAAATCATTCATTGATAACAAATATGCAAATTATAGATATCAAAGGCGTGCTTTAAAATTATAACAATAAAGCAAAGATAAATTATCCCTACTATTCGTTGTTAAGAAGATCTACTCGAACAATATTGGTACTTTACTGTTAATGTGTAACTCTTAATAAGATATCCCAATCGCTGATTCAAATTATTGTATAGACATAATATTTTTATATTCACTTACTAGTATATGTTTTATATCAGCACTTTCCAAGCCTCTAACATTGCATGACTTGTATAACAGCACATTATTTTCTTTGTTTCATCGAAACATTAACGCTATTTTGTAAGCAGAAAATTAGCTCATTTCAATCATTGTAATGGACATTTTTCAAATGCACGAGCTCGAAAATTGCTATATACAGAGTGAGTCAAAAAAAGTTTACACCTAGAAAATTGCTAATTATTTTATAAACCATCTATGAACAGTAAATTATTATACATCTTATGAAAGAGTGTTTTATCCCGAATCATTCAGTATCATTTTTGTGTGGTATGTGTTCACGCTTGGTTGAACAGGAGGCATTATTGTGAGTGTGCAAAAATCGACTTGCGCCAAAGTTGCTTGTGTGATGTTTTAATAAAACAATTGGGATTTGGGTATTAATTCGGTCTTTGCAGATCCAAATAACACCCCTAACAAAATTAATCATGCCACACATATCAAATATCGAATATCAAATATCAAGGAACATTTTGTGCGCGTGTGTGTGACTTTGCCCTTTGCAAAAAACATATGCAATGCATTTCATTTGATACATTCAATCCATTCTCTCACTCCACTAATCCCAACATAATACATACTGTAGGCATCACTCTGGCGCAAGTCGATTTTTGCACTCTCGCAAACAATGCCACCTGTTCATCCAAACGTGAACACATACCACACAAAAATGGTACCAAATAATTTGGGATAAAACACTCTTTCACCAGATGTATAATAAATTACTGTTCATAGATGATTTTAAAAATAATTAGCAATTTTCTAGGTGTAAACTTTTTTTGACTCACACGGTATACATTCCACTACACATTCCGATGCACTACAATAACAGTACCCACGCAAACTTGGAATAGTATGGAACGACCACGCCCCCGTGCCACGCCCCCGCCCCTATAGTTGTTGCGCATTGGTGATGTTCCCATCACGAATAATCTGATCAATTATTATTCATTGATGATAACACAATCGCAAAGATTTTCCAAAAGCAAACTCAACGGCAATTCCAATACCGAATAAAAAGTCGTTTTCGGATTGTAATGTTCGCATAATTATTATGTCAAAACGTGACGCGCCTGGCTATTGAAATTGCCTGAATATGTACCGGTGTAATTATAGTTTCCACAGTCTTTGCGATTGTGTTAATTGTTACAGAATTGAACTGTGTTAACATCTTTACAAATGATTGATTCGGTGAAAGATAACTCCGTTATAATTCAATATTAGTAGATACCTGATCGAAACGTAGAAACTTTAGAGTCCACATATTGGTTTCTGTTTGATGATTTTAGGATGCAGATGTGTTATACCAAACTTGTCTCCCTGCTGCTAGACACGCATACTAGCTGTCCTGTGTCCTGTCCCTGATGATAACAAATAACGGATATAGGGGTGCAAATCACACAAATGAACATTAGATGAATTCTAGATTTAGTATTATCAACCGGGGCCATGGAAAATACGAAAATACTTGTTTTTACATATAATTATGGTTGTACCTTTCTTTCTCGTCTCTATAATATACTCCCCCTCTCCCATTCTCTCTTTATGTATCACTTTCTCCCCCCCCCCCCCTCTTAATCTCTCTCTCTCTCTCTCTCTCTATCTCTCTCTCTCACACACACACAAACACACTCACTGTATCTCTCGAATTCATCTTGTATTTTGACTTCAATTTACTACAATAACATACGTAATATTGAACGGCTTGAAACTTTGCAGGGACTTATATACTTCTCGGTTTATTTAAAATCCATAATGTACTGCGTCTGTTTAAAGCAAGAAGTGCGTCAGCTCATACTTTACAACAGATGAAGTTAACGCTCACCGCAAAAAGGAGGGCATTTTCTCAATATCGCTACAGAAATGATTTGTAGTAGGTCCATGATAAGACACACAATCATATTCTTTCCTGTAAACCGTAACGCTGTTCACTACAGGTAACCGAATAACCAATATACTGTAATTGCATGCACAATAATTTATAGGGGAAAAGGGGGAAAAGAAAACATTCCCTTCAGACTTACCTTAATTACTCGAATAATTCCATGTGAAGGTGATTCCAGATTTCCTTGTGTACTCTCCAATGTTATGCTGTCATATCTTCGTGTGTGAACTATCGGGGCCCTATCTTTGCATGCCCGCATGCATTCGCACTCCAAAGTTACGTAGTTGTTATGGTGTTTTATAGACTAATAACAAAAAAGGGTTCGCCAACTGAAACCGCACTTATACAAATATGAATAAAAGTTCCAACTATTCATTTCCACGGCCCAGTGATGATTTGTCATTGAATGACTCTGTGAGGGTACTCGACCATAGACGATGGTTTTACCTTGATTCAAGATTAACCTTGCATGGGTCATAGAGGCTGTTCACACCGCAATGAGATAGCGCGGTCTATCGTAGCACCCCCTTTTTTCTAGCGCGCGCTAGACCGCGCTATCTCTCGTGGACCACCCCCAAGAGGTGCTCCAGTGGCACGCCGTTTTGGCTCGCCGTGGCTCGCTGTTGGGTGGACCAAAACGACGATGTACCTTCCAAACCGCAGAGATAGCGCGGTCTAGCGCGCGCTATCTCTGCCGGTGTGAACAGCCTCCTAGAAGCACCGCGGGGGTTCGCTGAAACTTGGGATACATTATTGCATGGACCTACTACGAATTGTAACTCGATAACTTATGGAATGAAATAGGCCTACATTCATTTAGAATGTAGATTATGCAAAAGTTTGTTTGTAAACAAAGTTTTGCTTGGTTATTGGTCTCTCTCTCTCTCTCTCTCTCTCTCGGCTTCTTTCTATTCCCCCTCTATTCACTTCTTCCTCTCTAAAATTTGAAACGCTCATCGTAATCATAGTTCCACAGTGTACTGTTTATGCTCACTTCTCTGGCTCCTCCATACTGCTCTGCACCTGGATTCGCAAACCTGCACTGCGCATGCTACGTTGACCCCATTTAAACGCGTTTACAAAATGATTATGCGTTTATGCTTCCCCAGAATCGCCAATTCAAAAAGCACCTTTTTGTGAGTTTACGATCGGCGATTACGATCGCCGTTTTTCGGTGATTCTACAAAAATGAGAAAGGACGCAACCGTGTTTTGAACTAAACGCGTAACAAATAACTCATTCTGGCCAGAAAAAGTTGAACATAAACGTAGCCTGATATGTATATTATCCTTGTCCTTTCTCCTTTTCTCTTCAGCACACACACACAATACACGCACACACACGAACTCACGCACCCTTCCCCCTTCTCTCTCTCTCTCTCTCTCTCTCTCTCTTTTCATCTTTTTGTTGTTATATATATATCTCTCTCTCCTCGTTCTCTTCATCTCTTATTCTTCTGTCCCTCATTCTTATCTGTTTATTCCTTTCTCTCTCTCTCTCTCTCTCTCTTTCTCTGTTTTTTTCTCTCCACTCCCCCTCTCTTTCTCTCCCCTCTCTCTTTTCCTTTTATTTCCTTTATTTCCTATATCCCAAACAATCGTGAAAATTACCGCAACGTGAATCAGCATACATTTATTTGATATTGAACAACTTCTTAGTATGTTATTTTTCCTCGCCCTTTTCTTACTAATTCTTTGTCAGTTTCAGACTATTCCAAATGATTTCATATGGATATGAATTTTAAAAAATATATCTGTATTTATACCCAATGATAATATTTCCTTCTTTATAGTACTCATAAACAATTCAAATTTTACAGTAATAAACATAATTAACCAATAATTGTCTGTCTTAAATGGAATCTCACAAACACTAAATAGAACGATTTAGTTATTCTTTCAGTAAAACAGTCAGTTAGGTTTAGTATATATTTTTATTCAAATAGTCAAGTCACTGTGTAGGTATTTTTTTTACAAGCGTGCTCCGCAGCGTTTTCAATTATTGTAAATAACATACAAAACGTATCTTAAAAACATAATTTCAAATAATACACCATTTAAATACAAAATTTAAAGGTAATACAAAGTTTTGGGAAATTTTGGAAATTGGCTGGATAGTGATTCTTTACAATGTTGGTATATTTGGATGCCATGTGGATGTATTTATAAGCACTAGAAAATTTAGCCCCTAAAACACTTCTGCTTTCGAGAAAATTCGAATATCAAGATTTACCGGTGCTCCCGGTAAATTTTGATGAATTTCAAATGGCGCCTACGGCCATACAATGGTGGCTGCGACCAGGAAAATCTCAGAATATGTAGTTGTGATATATAATTTCCAAACGGGAAAAGCCAATCGGTCGATTATAGTCAAAAACATTGTTTTAGAGCATATGGAAACGTTGTATCATCCACTCAATCTGACTCGCGTGCATAGAACAAATAAGCATTTTTCCATGAAAAGGTGAATTTTTCTAAAATGTGCGTTTCTTTCCAGCATTGGGGCGCCCGGAAGTCACTCGGGTAACATTTCATAAAGTATAATATAACAAGACCATATGCAAATTTTCTGTACTTTTGTCGGAAAAAATACATTTATCCAGCACAATGTCGTCTCTTTTTGCGTTGGAGAAGAGCAAATAGCGAGTTTCAATCACACTTTGGCCGCTCTCGCAAGCTCTCACTCGTTTCACTGTGGTCAAGAGACTTTGGGGCAAGCGGTTAATGAAAATAATAATCTTTAGCTTTCTTCTGGTATCAAACTTGTTTTGATTGATTGTATAATTTTGTCGGAATAAAGGAAACAAAAAGGCTCGACCAAGAACTTATCAGCGTCTGAATTGACCTTTTGACCTTGAATTCCCTGATGCAAGTGCACTAATGCCGTCATCTTCGCTAAATCAGTGTCTTTTATCGTAAAATGCGACACTTTCACAATGTTTATACATCTTTTTTTAATTATTAGTAAGATATAACATGTTTTTTCTGATATCACTAAAGTTTTAAGTTTTATTTAATGAGTAATTTTAAAATAAGACCCATTTTACTGTTTTAATTTACTGGATCGTACCATTAAAGTTGCAGGGTAGAAAGATGCATTTTCCAACCGCGCCAAATTTAATTTACGTTCCGACATTCTGTTAAATGGGTTCGTGTTGTTAAGAATCCACTGCTTTCTGCTCCAACAAACGTCCACATGCGGAGTCGTTTATCAACTAAATTATTCAAATGTATGGATGCTTCCTAGCTTCCCAGGTGTTTGACATGTGTTGCTGTTGAAGCATTTCATTCACCTGCTATCATTCTTTGTACTCCAATTGCCAGAACGCAAATTTAATTTTGGTTTTATAGTTTCATCGGAGTCGTTTATCAACTATTATGTATTCAAATTTATGAATGCTTCCTCCCAGGTGTTTGTGGTGTTTACGCATTTCATTCACCTGTTATTATTCTTTGTACTCCAATTGTTAGAATACAAAATGCATTTTGGTTTTATAGTTTCATGCAATAAGTAATGCTATGGTCACATTACCCAAAAGTAGACTGCTCGGCGGCCGAGCGGCGAGTTTTTAACCAATTCTGCCCGGCGGCTGCCCGGCCACCGAGCGGCGGCCGCCCAGGCACCGCTCGTTTTTAGGGCATCGCTCGGTCGCCGCTGAAGTTTTAGCGCGGAGTTAAAATTTGGGCGGCGCCTGCTCACTTTTCACTCGCCGCCCAAAATACGCTCGGTGCCTGGGCGGTCGCCGCCCGGGCACCGACCTAATCGCTGGGCGATGCCTAATTCCAGCAGCGACCGAGCAGGCTACTGATCGGTCAGTCGCTGCTCAGATTTGTGACCATAGCATAAGTCAATAAAAGAGTATGTTCTGCACAATAAAAACAATTTGTGTCCCTATTGTACAATGTAATGTGTCCCCTCATTTTGTAATAGTTAATTTACCCATTCACATAATGGAACTACCTGCCCGATGAAGCCAGTGGACTGTGACCCCTGAGCACTCAACACCGTGTGGGAGTCAGTTCGTGGTCAAATTCTTTTATGAGACAAAATACAAGCAAACGTTTCCATATGTGAATTAATATTTTGACCTTGAGAGGGAGCTATACAACATAAAGGGTTCATTATTAACAATTTCATCACTTTAGACTCGATTTCAACCACGACAACGATCACTGAATATTGTAGGAACGCATATGCTTCCAATATGTTCATTTAAACCAAATTCATGGCTCCGGACCAAAACTTTGTATTACCTTTAATAAAATGTCCTAAAATCTCAGATAGACTATGGCAAACTATTTGGCATTCGTATACAGGATAGAATATCTATATGTATACCACTCGAGTCCATGATCTCGCTATCGTATTGCATCGTCGAAGTTTTAAAGGCCGTCTGTACTAGTATGGCTAGGAGGGATTAGACCACCCATGGCAGGGTCGTCATTGACAGGTGGCTATCTCATCAACTCAGCTCTCAATTAACATAAGAAAAAGAGGATCATGGGGAACCAATGGTCACCGATTAGGCATTGTGTTCTATATAGAGGGAGCAAGTAGCTACAAATAGTACAGTGGGGCTTTAAACTTATTCGAAGATTGCCGTAAACACCCAATAACAGCGACTAGGGTTCACACTGGTCAATGCACTGAAGCAACGACTGCTCAAGGTTGTGAAGTACAATTCATACAACTGTGACTGAGATGAAGAGCTACTATTACTACTGCTACTACTACTACACTACTCAGCCGCGTACGCAGGGAGATGTTTTGGGTGTTAAACCCCCTCAATTTTTTTGGCTCAAGGGGGGGGGGGGGATGGTGGCTGAGTTAAAAAAAAAAAATAATAATAATGCTCGTTAACCCCCACCACTGAGCGAAATACCCCTCGGCGCGATTTTCAAATTTCGGGGGCAGGTGAAAACAAATTATTGCTCACTACCCCCCCCCCCCCCCCCCCCCCAATTCTTGAGAAAATATTTAGCGCCGAATCAACTGTTTTTATTTTTAAAAAGGTTAAATTTACATGTTTTTTGGGGCCAGGGGGAGGCAGGCCGGGCTCCCCCTCCCCCCCCCCCCCCCCCCCCCCCCTAGATCCGCCACTGGTTGCTAGAAACTTTACGGGAGAGGGGTGGAGGGAGTGTGAACATAACCGAAATTAATTGGCAACATAATATTATAGTTTGCCGGAAATTTTCAAACAAGCCAAATCTCAATGCAAGCTTACCGCATCTACAGGTAGGGTGTGAAGTGGGGGGGGGGGGGGTCTACCCTTATTAAAAATGCTCCTGGTATCGGGAGTATGAGCAAAGATCATGGCATCCAAGTTCAAGAACCTTTGCTAAATAAATAAACATTTATTGTTGACTATGCGCAGGAAAATTGTTAATAAAACTGTTAACATTTTGAGATAACCATAAAACAATCATACATTGCCGGTAGAATTTCTTAAATACCACAAATTTTTCATTTGTAATAAATGTCGTTTATGTGCAGTGTCCACTATAGCCCCAGTCCTGACTACAAAAATCCCTTCTTTATGGGAATTGTACCACGCATGGTCCTCAAATACATGTTGCTCAGAGGGGAAGTGATCATCTCCCAAATAGCATAAACGGACGTTGTATCGAAGCACTGCGATTCCTAATTTCAGCGCCTTAAAATGTGTCAGAACTGTATCAGTTGAACTTTTCATTTGCTCTTGCAATGCTGTGACGTATGCGATGACGTTAGGAGAGGCTTTCATGTACGCTAAACTGAGGCTTTGAGTGTTGATCGCACCGAACGTGATCCAGAGATCACATTTGTCATATCTTTGCCAAAGGTGGGGCAGGGGGTCTTTTAACCACACCGTATCGGCGGCAATATGTACGACGTCAGTTCCCGACTCGAGGATGCCGAGTATTACGTCACAATCAGCTGAAGATAAACCGGCAATGTGCGCCCCCTTTGATCGTCTGCCGGCAATCAATCGCGTCCTGTCGAATTTCTTTGAATTCTTTTTCTTCCTCAAGAGAATTTCGTACGCGCTTTCGTCTTCTACAATAAACGTGACATCAATATTGAGATTCAATCTCTTCATGCTTTCCAACCAGTTTAACGTGAAGCTGAGCGATTCGGAGTTCGTCGTGCATACTATCCGTACATTTCGCTTCGTGTTTGATTTTCGCGCGCTTTTGTTATTCATAGCGACGTTCCACTCTGCATGCTCTAGCTGAGTACCGTTGCCGAGATGAACCGCGATGTTGCTGCGGTTTCCATGGAGATCATGATGATGTTGTTCGGTGACGTTGGTATGATGAAATGCATTTCTAATTGATTGGTTACGAGGATCGAACGCGCTGGAATCGACGGTAGTTATAATATAGACGCGATGGTCTGCAAAATAATAAAATCGAAAAAGAAACCTGTAATTTTAAGGTTGTGAGAGAACAGGGAAGCGATTCAACATAATATGAAAATCAATAACAAAAAACAAACAGATGTTCGAAGGGAGACACGATATCAATGTTAATACAATGTACAGGGGGATTTCCGTAAATTATGATATCAAAGTTGTGTATACAGTATTTCGTCCCGAACTGCCAAACCCGATAAATGGTACTGCAACTGTTTTTGGTGAAATTTACTACATAAAAAAGGAGTAAAAAAAAAATTAATGTTCAATATGGGAAGCAAACTGCAAGGATTTCTTTGACATTAGTCATCTAATTTATATGCACAATAGACTGCTCTTAAAGACACTACGTCCCTTTTTACAGCCAACGTCAAATTCTGTAGAACTTTGCAGGAATTATGAATATGTCATGTATGTCCTATCTATGAAATTTAAACGTTAGCAGTGTCCCAGTATTCAAATTATGCAAGAAAACCTGTCTACTTGCTAGACTTCACTGTCAGACACTATTGAGTGACTGACTGGCTTTTTTCATCTTTGGTAATAACAATCATAAAATGAGCTGTAAAGGGTACATGAGCATTTGGTTACATCAATAACCTACTTCTTGCAATGGCCAAAATTAAACTGATTGAATCTTTGCGCAGCATAAAACGTACGACCATTTAGTACAATGGCCTAAACAATCAGAATATTAATTACTGGCTCTATGGCTCCTAAGTCGATCCAACAATATGTGTTATTCTCCCACTTAAAGACATTTTCAAGCCTCCTTTTGTTTAGGGAAGTTCTAAATTAGTATTGTCTTTCCAATGCCGTTAGAATTTAAACTTTTCATTTTTTGGCCTGCAAATGGGACACAGTACCTTTAAATAAGGTGATAGACAATTTACAAGCTTAGCTTGTAACTAAATTCCCTCATATTTCAATAAAAAATATTCTTGTCTAATTTCAGTTTTAAATACAATGCAATTGCGTTCATATCTCCATATGTTATTTCGGCTGGCTTAAATATGTCTCGCATGTCATTTGACACCCATCGAGAAAAAAAAATCTTCTTCCTTACTGTTTATTGTTTATGATTTTCATAATGAATGTGAATGTAAAAATATGAAATAGACTTAACTGAAACTGAAACGAAATTACGATGAAGATTTAAGAGCCTCTAACTGCTGTGTGAGTAGAAATATATCTTTAAAATAAACATCTTTTGTTTCTCCAAGTGACGTAGGTCTAGCGTGTGTCTAGTCGTTAAACGGGGACTTGAATTATGGGGGAGGGGGCATCGGTGTCAGTCGGAAAATGATATGCTAATTGACAAGTCATCTAATGAGGAGACGGGTGTGGGAGGCAGTACTGCTGTCTTTTTTCTTGTCCTTTTTCCTGTTTTCCTATTTCTCCATTATTTTGCTGATATATCTTCCCGTTTTCGTGTTGTCAATCGATTGGAAGCACCTGCCCCCTAAGCCCCCGTAGCTACGCCATTGAGTTCTTCCCCCCCCCCCCCCCCCCATATGGCGATATTAAGTAGTTATTATATGCTCATAAATGTTTCATGAATGTTTCTATCGTACGTTTGAAGAGAGATCATTAAACAAAACAAAACTCTCGACTATGGCAGATATTGAACAGCGACATCAAAATTCATAAAGTCTTTTTAGAAAACAGATTCGACTCACATCGTATAAAACAAGCCTTAATCGTCCACAATAGGAAAAGTAGTAGCACTGCGACTTGGCCTGCGGTCAGTGCACACATTAAGAAATGAGAATGCGGGCATTTCCCCGACGACTTGGCCGACGATTGACGAGGCGAGTGTTGCTTGGTACCAGTCGGATAACGATCATCGTCAGTAGCATTCCCTTTGGTAGACGACATCGCTCCACGTTCCGCCATGGCGCAAAGACAGTCACAAGAAGCTATACGACGGCACCATAAAAGATAGATCACCGCAGTATACTTTCGTTGTACGCCCTGGTTAGGATATTTTGTAGAGGAAAAGGATGAGAGAAAAAACTGAATAAATAATCAATAATTGGAATCAATAATCATCATTGGAATGAACGTGAATGCAAATGGAAGGATCATAAAACTTGCTTTGAATGAAACATGATTTTCTTGCTGTGACGATGCCTTGGAAAAGGTGTAAGATAGTGACAAAGCAATGCTAGAACTCAAGAATAATTAGCAATCCCTGGTAAAAGCAAATTAGTTCTGTCCCTCAATCTTATCTGTATATTACTTTCTCTCTCTCTCTCGCTCTCTCTCTCTCTCTCTCTCTCTCTCTCTCTCCATATCTCTTCCTTCTCCTCTTCCCCCTTCCCCTCCCTCTCTCTCTCCCTCACACTCTCTCTCTCTATCTCTCTCTCTCTCACACACTCTCACACACCCTTTCCCTTTTTTCTCTCCCAAAATCTCTTTCCCGTTTCCCATCACTCTCTTCGTGTGTATATCCCTTATGCTATATTGTATTGTATTGTATCGCATAAAACATCATTGAAATAAATCAATATTCTGTTCATAAACACATATAATATTGCTTTACACACACATACACACACATGTACAGTATAGGCGTGAAGAACATGGTCTAGGAACGTGATTGAGACGTAGCTGTACTTTACAATTTTATTACGAAGGCCTCACATGCCGAAAGCTCGTAATAAGTACAAGTCTCACGTTCCTAGACCATTTTCTTCCGGAACACCCGTTGTCATGTCAGAGTTGAGAATTCTCGCACTTATATATATATATAATATATCCATATACCTAAAAACGTATATAACAGTTTTTCATAAAGATGATAAACGGTTATTTCATAAGTGCAATCTCTCTCTCTCTCTCTCTCTATCTCTCTCTTTCTTTTCATGCTTGGGGTTCGAGTGGTACAGCTCAATAATTCATCACTGAAATGGTGTGCCTGTAGGCATTTATTCTTGCGTACGTAATAGCTATAAATATAGTTCTTTTATTAACAAGAAGTGAAGTCGAAAGAATATACAGTGTTTGTACAAGGAAATGACAGTGTGCATTGGCCAAGATACACACATCATTGCAATTGACAAACGAACGTCTTTATGGATGCCAGCATGCATGTAGAGAATAATAGTTTTATGATCACTAATGGTTTTCTCACGACATTATGCATTAGGCGAAATAATGGAAAGTGATTAATAGCACCATGATCACCGTTCTCCATTCATCCCCAGCAGTACAGTGAAGTTTGGACACGGCGGCTTATTTAGAACCACAAAACACGACCCATTTCGTTATAGGTTGTTAACAATATGCCTATATATTCCATTGCTATATGAGTACACCCCATTATTATGGAGGTATCTAAATGGACAGAGAACCTATGCTGTTATTATTCCTGAAGTTGCAACGAGTAAGTGCGTAGTAATATTAATGCCAAGCAAATGGTAGGAATGGTTCAGGAAGGGAAAACGTTGTGCCAACACCCATATATATTTTCGTCAATTTCTCCAGAATGCAAGACAGATACAAAATATTAGTATATAGTAGTAAATAGCGACAAGCCTTCCAGGTTGAATGGTACAGTCAAACCTGGCTTGGTGGCCACCTCTCTCTATAAAGGCCACCATGCATTTTGTCTCTCTCGAGACGAGTTTTATAGAACCTGTTTTCAGTGGCCTCGATCTGCGTTTCCCTTGACTGGCCTCAATAGACATTTTTAATTAATATTATTGATATATTTATACATTTATTGACTGTGTTGATACATTCTGAAACTTAACATATTAAATCGTCATTTAAAAGGATCAATGAGATATTGGGTTTCCAAAATGGCCACTTTTAACATCCTGGATAGTGTTGGATCCAGTGATATCATTATTAGTGAGAACCAGTAACGAGAAAAATGCAACCCGCTCGTAAGTCGGCCAGCGTGAAATTTAACTCTATAGAAGGATCTTCCTGTTTGTTTTAAATACATTTTTCATTAAAATCTCTTGATTCCCAACATTCTCATAATGCATTCCTTCATTACATAATGATAACATATTATGTTTATTTGTACTCACCACTGACTAAGATAGTTTATGACAGCGCGGACCATGCACCTGATCCGTATATACTCGCCCTTGAAACAATCTATACCGGCATGATCATGACTGGTTTCGTCTCCCGATTAGTTAATCCATCGAGCATTTAACCTGTGGTAAAGAAGGGATTAAAACATACACTCAGATTTTTGTTCAAACTCTAGACCTGGGTTATAATACTATTAATTTCACTGCCCTGCTAATATACTGGTTGTACATACACAATACGATGCACATACTGACGACTCACCGTACGTAGCTTACATTCACACCACGGTGTCGGTGTGTGGTGTACGTGCTTGTTTCCTGTTCAACCATCCATGCGTGAACCGATAGCCGCATTTTCCCAGGCTGGCGGATAAACATTTGCTTTCAAATGCGAACCTTGGACTGATTTTCACCCTGGATTTCACGAACTGAAAACATCGATGACGAAAATAATTATATATTGATATGTAGGTATTGGGCAATGGCAGCCTAGCTAGCTTGACATAAGTGTATTTGCAATTTGCATGTGTTTTCCCAGATCCACATAGACAAAATAGTAATTTAATTTGATAAATATGATGGTTGAATTCTGATTTATTATTTTTTGAAGTGATTTTTTTTTTATTGAAAACTACAGCGGCGCCCTCGATACAAAAACTCAATTATCCCTTTAATGTAACATCGCTCATTATATACACTCTCACCTCACATCCAATCATTATACAGAACTACACTATCAATAGATATAAATGAAAGTATGCACCGAATAAACACTGAATTCATTTCTCTTCAACATACAATGGCGGATCCAGGGGGCACAGGGGGCACGTGCCCCCCCCCCGGCCAAAAAGTATGTTAAAATCAGCCCTAAATTCGCCCAAAATATACTGAAAAACAGGGGCGTGCCCCCCCCCCCCGGCCCAATAAATTTGTTTTATTTTTATTTTATTAAAAGTGTCCTCTTACCCCCCCCCCCCCCCCCCCCCCCTGCTTATTCAGCGGCTGGCTGAGTCGTTGCGATTTTTTTGGGGACTAATGTATATATATATATATATATATATATATATATATATATATATATATATGTTCTCTTTCCCATACGGTGCCCCCCCCCCCCCCCGGCAAGAAACTCCTGGATCCGCGCCTGACATAATCCATTTGACATGCATTGTTTTGGTTATACAGTGGGTAAGCCACTGTCAATCTTCGTACAAACAAAATTATTTCAGAGTATTTCAAATCGAACATACTCAGGACCTCAGGACCTCTATAAAAGGTAAAGAACCGTTTTTGTTCTTGGCTCTGAATGGAGCCAATGGAGCAATCCAGTCGTATCCTTTTAAAATAATTATTGTTATGTTGATTTTACATGAATGTATGTTTTATACGGAAAATAGAAACCAAACCAAACCAAACTTGTGGGACTTTAAGCTATTTTATTGTCACGGTGCTTTTAATGTTTATTAACGACATCCTCTGCATGCAAGACAGTGTAATATACCAGTTTTAATGATGTCCTGTTAAAGAGAAGGTTCATTGATTTAAAAAAACTAAATTTAATGTTATTATTACAAAGGTGACACTTTGATTGGCCAAGGTTATCAAAAGCCAATGCTTGGAAAAATTTGAGGTAGTGATTATTAACAATTACAAAACGCTTAGATACAGTCCCGACATAGCACCTGAAAAGCTCTCCGGTCGCTGCTGAGATATGACGTCACATGTTGAACATGATGTGCACAAGCAGACGATGTCCCATGACATCTCACACAATTTCAGTGCCTGTTTTGTCATCTTTTCTTCAGTAATTTCTCTTACTTCAATGCCCTCAGGCGAAATGTTTAATCTTTTGCCTCACTCTAAACCCCGTGCATGGTATTATTTTGATGAAAAATGCAAGGATTAACCAAAAAAAAGGAATCCGTTGCTTGTAAACAAAATAAGACGCCATTGTATTTTCAGCTGCATACACCGCGGCATGTTCGGCGTTTCAAGAGGGAACAAAATGACGTCCATGCTATCATTCCGGAGGTTTTTTTAATTTGAAAGTGTGGTTTCTTTGATTGTTCATTAACCCCTATCCTGTGTATTTAAAAACAAAAGAATTTAGATATCAGAATGGGGGTCATATCCCTTTTTGAATGGTGTAAAATTCCATCACATTTATATACACTAAACTCATTATATTTTGAGAAATAAAAGCATTGCAATGATGTTCATTCTTTATGGGATGTCGTCTGCTTGGGCAGGGTTGGTTCATATTGTGACGGAATTAAAACATCGTTATTTTCCGGCGAATCTCTCGCATATCCCAGATGCTATGGAGGTTGTTTTATTTGTATTTTTATAAATCACCCGATATGTTGTTGACCTAAAACTTGCATGATGGCCATCTGTTAGCATACCAGTTTCTAGTAATACGATATTTGCCATATTTGTGATTTTCTAAGAACCCGCACTTTAAGGTTATGGATGTCCTGTTAATCTGTACCAGGTATTATCTACGTAGTTAGATACGATAGACTGCAAGAGAGAGAGAGAGAGAGAGAGAGAGAGAGAGAGAGAGAGAAGGGGGAGAGATGCTTTTGCATACTGCTTGTGGGCAAATTTTCAGTTTATGTCTAAATACCACTCTGAACATAACATTACCTTGAGCCGCCCCTCTTGGGTGAAGTTGAAACGAAAGTACCGGTATACTTCTGAAGCCTTTGGAACGGCTATGGACCTTGACTTAAGCGCTCCTTGTAGCTTCAAGTTTGAAATTGATACCAACAGCAATGATATTTAGTATAGCCTGTATTTAATAGTATATTTATTCAACTCAGTCTCGCAGCTTTGGCTGATTTGTAGAAATATTCTTTTAAAAAAAAATGTTTTAAAAATTTCATATAACAATAGTCATAACAGCACTTTAGCAACATAATTTAAGGAATGCAAGAATGATACGCGATTTGGCATGATGTATGTGCATCATAATTAACATGATTGATATTATTCAACTTACTAATTTTCCGTCCGAAGGAAAAGAAAGAAGAAATTAAAGGCAAATGTAGAAGTCATTGCGAACAGGGAAAAAAAAAAGGAATATGGGTCAGAAAAGAAGACGGTCAATTTGACAAAGTAAAAAATAATGGGCGCGCCCGGGCGGGGGAAAAGGGTAATAGGAGAATTTTGATGAAAAAATGTAGCATAAAAGGGATGCACACTGCCAAAATTCTTGGGGTTGGATCCATTTCCCGATGATACCTTACACTATAGGTAGTTCTCTAACCAATTCGTGACAAGGGGGTGAGAACCATCTATTTCAAAATCCTAGATTTTCCCGGGCACGTAAATGTTCACTTTTTTTTTTTAATATACGTTTTCATTCTTTCCTCTCATAAACAGACTAGAAAAATACTGATTTACGTCTCATACAACTATATAAATAATTTCCCACATTTCGTACATTGTTATAATGCATGATTCAGAATATAATATCCTAAAAATAAAGAGCTTTTAATACATAAATGAAGTATATTGTTCATATTTAAGCAAACTTTTTGTAAGGGAAATTCCCCTCCTTCATACATTTATCAGTTATGATTGTGATTAAGTTATGATAACACATCGATAATTCTCGGTTTCGGTTTTTTCAAGGACGCACTGTATTACTAGCACTTAACCATTTCAATTAAGGAACTACTGATTTCTCCCAGGTACTCATTTTACCTCACACCCGGGTGAGTGGATGTGGCAAATGAAGATTAATTTATTGCCAAAGGACATTCATAGTGCTGCGACATATAGTTTGGAATCTATACTTTGTGGTTCACAGTCTGGAGACTTATCCTCAGTGGACCACACACCATGCACCTCTCCATAAACATGATTATCAAAGATGCTACAGCAATAATTATGTACGTAGACGGACGAGTATAAATACTGTAATGTTATTTCAGTACTTACTTTCGAAATATCCTGATCGTCTAGTTATTCCCAGCCTTTGCCGATACAAAATATCTCTCTAAATGTTTATTATCACATCACATTACGCTCAGCACTGGCGTGTCACCTGTATTGCTGTAAAAACTCGTCGGGATATTGTGTCGGCGGCCGGCGGGTAACATAAAAAGAGACCCTTTTCGATCGCGAATATGAGAATTATTTGCTATCCAACAGATTTGTTCCTTGTTCCGCTAGTGACTCACGAAATTACAGATGGGAATGTAACTATAGCTCTGACGACAATGGGAAAGAATGAATGCTGACACTGGACATGCATGCGTGCTCAGTATTATGGTTTCGCTCTGGAACAGTAAAAAACAAAAAAGTAACGTCGGACGGCGAAGGGGGTGGGGTCGTGGGGGTGGGGGCTCGAGGGGGATGTGCTAGGGATTACAAATGTATAGTGCTTGATTAAATGTCTTCATTTACTACTTTAAGATTGAAAAGCATGGACCTCGTGTGTCCTGGTATATGTGGCAGTTTAAGCTATTTCATAATCGGAGGACCTTGATTTCTTTATGTATTCATTCATTTATTATTATTATAAATATTTTATTTCTTTTTTTTACCAATTTGCTTTTCTTGGGGAAATCCCCCGTTTGTCCGATAACGGACACAGACTCTAATTTGACACTTCACCATCAATCCTTAACAGGGGCGTACGCAGGATTTTTTCAAGGGGGGGGGGGGGGGTTTTAAATATTTTGCTCCCGAAAATTTGAAAATCGCGCCGGCCGAAAAGTCGCTCAGTGGGGAGGGGGGGGGGGGGGGGGGGGGGGGGGGGGGGGGGGGGGGGGTAAGCGGACACATTTTTTTTTTGGGGGGTCTCGAAATTTCATAATTTAACATTTTTTGTCGTTGGGGGGGGGGGGTAAGGTCACCTTATTTAGGTTAGCCGTGGGTATAATTTATTTTTTATTTTTATTTTTTTTAAATAATAATAAAAAATAAAATAAAAAAAACCAAAGGGGGGGGGGGGGTTTAGGTTTTTTAGGGGGGGTTTACATACATAAAAATACCAAAGGGGGGGGTTTGAACCCCAAACCCCCCCCCCCCCCTGCGTACGCCCTGATCCTTAAACCTTGAGCAGTGAGCTTAGTTTGTGTCAGACTCTGGCTAATCTAGTATGAACGTACAGGCGCTAATTGCTACGAAAAACAAAGGCCAATTAGGGCTTGTGCCTGCAAACTAATTCCCCGCCCCCGTCGACTTTTTTTCTCGACCAACGTGCGCCCCGGTTTGAGGTACAAAGATCTAGAGCATAATTAATGATTAATGGTCGTTGATCACTTGATCGTGAGGCTCGTAAAAATATCATCTAGTCAAACAATATTATGCCTAGCCATTGTGGCAATCCTCATTCACAATACAATAATATGTGCCGGACAGGAAACCTTTAATTCACACATCTACGGAGTTGGCATAGGATATGTTTGATCAATCATCAGGGGAATTCACGCTCAAAGTTTGGCAACTATAGGTATATTGTCAACTCATTTGATATATAATGTAGCTGAAATGTTCCTTTAATCGAGGTTCCAATATTGTAATATCAATCACTGATTTCCGCAAATGTCACTTTTTAGTCTTCTGAAGAAATTATGACCAGCCTATCAGATTTCGATCATTTCTTTTCAAGGCTCTGCCATCTTAACTTTCGTGTCCATATAAACCTTAACATTAAAAAAGAATGACATCATTGGATAAAAAATAATCACTGAATCTAGCATTTTTGCATCGAGTGTGAACTCCAGCTTATTCATTTTTTCTTCTCCTTTGTATCATTATCTGTCCTAATCATCCCGGGTTCTCTCTCTCTCTCTCTCTCTCTCTCTCTCTCTCTCTCTCTCTCTCTCTAGCTCTCTCTGTGTGTCTCTTTCAGTCAGTCTCTCTATATCTCTCTCTCTCTCGCTCTCTTTCTTTCTTCTTACTCTCTCCTAGCTCCTTTTATATGAACCTCCAATATGCCATTGAATAAACATGAATCTCCGGTTACTATTTATAAGTGAACGTCAAAACGAAGCTGACATTTTGATTTATGGGGTGTATTAAAAAAAAATGTATTCGCGTGATTTGATGACTTCTTGATTTACAGAGGTTTTTTTTATTTTTGTTATAGTCAGGCGCAATTCTAGAACGGATTTTGTTGTTGTTGTTGTGGGGGTGGTGGGCATGTAGCTTCTTGATGCAGTTTCGACAAGTTCGACAAATGGGAGGGGGTGGGAGGGACTTGCGGATTCTTTTTTTGGGGGGGGGGCGGGCTCTACAGTCCCCAAGTCCCTGCTAATGATTGTAAAGGTCGGGCGACATCCAAACATAAATTGATTTATGTTGATTTGCAGGGTTGCATACAACTCATATTTTAAGTTCAAACATCTCAATATAATTCATAGATTTTTAAATGATTCTCTCGATTGCAATGGAAATGTTCATCCCTGTGTTAAACAAAATAGAATGCTCTACTGTGCTAATGTAGAAAGTTACATGTTCGTGCTGCTTTGCTCAAGGTGGCAGAGGTTTTGTTTTGATTGCTAGTTTTGTTTCTAGTTAACACACAAGCTCTGGTCACAGTGAATGGCAGCGAATCGATGAAATCAAAAAGATATTACAATTAAAAAAGATTAAAGGAGAAAGAAAAAAAATAAGAAGATGATGAAGGAGAAATAGAAGAAGAGGAAGAAGGAGAAGAAGTAGGAGAAGAAGAAGATAAAGAGGATGAAGGAGAAGAAGAAGGAGAAGAAGAAGGAGAAGAAGAACGATGAGAAGTAGGAGTAGAAGGAGAATAAGGAAAAGAAGAAGGAGAAGAAGAAGAAGAAGAAGAAGAAGAAGGAGAAGAAGAAAGAGGAGTAGAAAAAGGAGAATAAGGAAAAAACAACAAGAACAAGAAGAAGAAGAAGAAGAAGGAGATATTGGAAAGACAGTATGCCAACACTGTAGAATTTTTTTCTTCCAAATAAATCAGGTTAGGTGATTAAAGCTCCTGGTGTATGTTTTGAAACTATACTTGCAAAATACAAAAAACAAAAAGAATTGCTTGGAATATTCCAATCTGTATATCACTAGTAAGTAACTAGGGAAAAGTTTATGCACAATTCAAACACCTTCATTTTCACTTGTAACGTTTAATGGTACCATTTTACACATACATGCATACTCAGAAAATATTGATTTAATTTTCATTAAATGTTTTGTAATCACTAATACTATTTAATTGTTTTAATGACAGTACTGAGATTTAGCAACGTACATGTAAATCTTCAGTACTCTTTGTACAACAATATAAAATGATGTACACAATATACTTTACATTCATCATTCAGTAGTATTTAAAAATCATAAACAATACAAAATGATTGTCACAATAGTGACACTACCAACTATATGTGGTACCCATGCAAACAATTGTAAAGAGACTCCGGGATCGGGTAATTCATCCCCCAAGTTCTAAAATGAGCCTCTGTAAAGTGAGAATAAAAGAGCTTTGTAAAAAGTCAAATATAGAAAAGAGTTGACATTAAAATATATATATATATATATATTGTCAGTGAGTTGTAATGCATAACATTTCTGATAACATAGCCAAAGTCTAAATCCCCTCTGAAAAAAAAAAAGGATTTTTTTTAAATTTCTTTTTGTTTAAATCCTGCATCGCCTCTGGTCATGTTTGTGGTTGAGGGATAAAGCCATTCCATCTGGTCTTCTTTAACCATGTTGGTTCTAAATATTAGCACAAAGTTACATTTTGACATTACCATTTATATATGATTCTAATTGGGAACAACAGTAACTTTCCTTGTACCCTAGCCAACTGTCATCGCCATGTTAAAGAAGAAGATTAATTTTAATTCAGGTACCACTGTAAATGCAATCAGGAGAGACAGCAATTTTTGACAAAAAAGTACATAAACAACATAAAATGTTTCCAAAGTCTTTCACTCAAGATATACATAATACATACCTGTGGTACATGTATATTTATATTACATTCAATATAATATGTTGTACAACATTAACAAACATTATATTTCTTATCTAAAATAATATTTACTTAAAAATGACTGTCTATAACAAATATACACAATATTCAATAAATACGACTTAAAAACTGTTATTACTATTGCACATAGTTCTACTGCTTACAACACACAAATAGAAGTATGGATCCATATTTTCACAAATTCACAGAAGGATCGAGGAAGCGTTTGTAATTTTCAAGACAAGATCACATCACAGAAAAGATTTAAGCTGTACCACATAGATGTAAGGAAAGATGAAGTTAAAAAATAATTGGAGTTTTGAAATGAAAATGGAAGTCAAATAATTTTTCTTAACGCCAAAGTTTCTTGCTTATAACTCAATGGATGCTGTACTGACACATGATCATCAAGTCTGTTTTGGACCAATGCAGTTTGCTTCTAAATTCTCTTGACTCTCTTACAAGTAAATAGTTATAATATTACTATGTTCCTGAATCTATAAATGCTGTGGCCTGTCTGTATTGGCTGAAGCCTGCACACCTCCCCCCCCCCCCCCCCCAATTCCTCTGTCATTGTGATATTAATACACTTTGTAGTAAGCAGCAATTCAATAAGTAACTCCTTTCCATTTCAAGTTTCAGTAGCATTCTGTCAAATTTGTCGATTCAAGTTCTCCCTTTTGCCAAGGAAAAGTAAGTTGTCGATATAAATTCTTTAATTAAGAAAAATAGAATACATAATGAGTAAACACAGTAACACATTATTCAAGCCAAGATGGCGTATCAAAACTAAAGATTAATGATGCAGAATATCAGTCAATAGGCAGTGCGGATTGACCGAGGCTTGCAGTGAAGATTTATTTACCGTCATTCGCAAACTCAAATGATTTGCGTGCACTGAACCGAGAATGATTTTGAGGGGCAATTTGCAGCATTGTACTTTTGTGACGATACAAAGCATCACCTTCAGTTTTTAGAATGCAGAGAAAACCAAGATGTACAATTCTTCAGAATTTGGTCTTCATTTCTACAAATCAGAATATCTTTAAGTCAATTATTTTGTAGTGGTTGTTAATTTACCTGACTGCTAAGGAAGCATAAATGCTCGTTAGTAAGAAACCAGAGGACTGACGGCTTTCGGTTCTCTCCGAAAGACCTGGTAATGAGGATGAATGCCTTACCAAGGGGCACTAGCGCATGGCCTTGGTTTCGAACCCGGGTCGCCGGATTACGAGGCCACTGCTCTATCAACTGAGCTATCGCGCCTCCTCAATCAAAAGCAATTGTCTGACTAGTACTCAACATTATCTTTAAAAGCAAGAGGTTAAACTAGAGTTCTCCTTCAAAAAGGGAAATTTTGACACTAAAGCAACCAACATGAATGCAGCAATCAGTAAATAATAAATGTCATTTCAATATATATTTAGATAATACATGCCATAAAGATACAGATTACTTTTTGCTGTTGATTTGTGATGATATGAACATAATGAGATGAATCATGTCAACAACAGGATGGTGCAGGGGTCTCTCTCTTCTAGAACAGCCCTTTTCACGACTTACCAGAAGTTCGTACAGTACAGCCAACTTTGTGTACAGAATGAAAGATATATATCATAGAAGTACGACATGTAACTATCGACCAGAACATGTTACTACTAGTATCTCATCCCTTGACATTGGAGTTGAGCCACCTCACAACCTCATCTAACCTTGACCTGTGAGTGCACTGACCTCTAGCACATCTATCCTCTGATTGGCCGAGACTGCCAGGTCTTCCAGGTGAAGCAGGGACCTGATCTGTTGGATGCTCATTGGAGGAGGGAGGTCACTGTGAGGGAAAGAACATATCAGGATGAACTCTTAACTTTGTCCTCACAAATATTGCGCAGTAAATGTATGCCCTAAATTGCAACTACTTGCAGAATGCACATTAGAATGATTTTGAAAAAACAGGCTTTTTCTTCAATACAGTTTCAAATTATTTCAGGCAAATAGCAAGTTCAGGCAATGAAACTGTATTTCCAGGTGACACTGTCTGAAAATAACTTTAAATTGTTTATCATGGGGCAATATTTTTTGTTTTACCAGTAGGAAAAAAAAAGATCACTCCAATGCACAAACATGTACAGTGAAATTCAAAATCAATATCTTCAATGGGACTATGCATTCTGATAGACTAAAATATTAAATCTCCTCATCTTTCAATGCACGTTGGTCTACTCAGCTTCTAACATATCTTTCTACATGCACCAAGTAGGTTTGACAGATATAGTGTATTTGAACTTTTGAATGTTTAATAAAGCAAATCTTATTTTCCTCCTTGAGAGTGAGACAAATGGTCCCTGTTCTGTATCTGAATTTATTCAACATGTGCATCATAATGACGGCTGTTTCCATCCAGTGAGACGAATCAAGTCATTGGCAGGATGATTTCTCATGATTAAATAATCCAATCCTTAAATGATAGACTATCACGCTTTTTATTTGCGAGGAAAACTTTGGATTTGGGGAAGGGGAGGGGGGGGGGGGGAGCTGGGGAGGGGAAATTATATGACTGACCTTTTGTTGAGAATGATCAAGATGGAAGCAGTCTGTAGTCTGGGATCAGAGAGTACATGGAGAAGCTGGATACATGCACTGGATACCTGGGACAAGTTGGATACATCAACTACATACTGCAAGGAAAAAATAAAAGAGAACAGGAGAATGTATAAGTAGATATAAATCAATTATTTCCCTAGTCAAAGTATCATAGCCTAAAACAGTACAGAATATATATGTTTAAAAAACTTTTTAAAAATTCAACTGAGAATATATTTTTCATCTACCTTTCGTTCCAAATAAACAAAATGTCTTTTTTGTCTATTTTACTTCCCCCCCCCCCCCCCACAAGAAATACCATACTATTATAGAGAAAATAGCTAAACAATAAATATTTCACATGTGAAAAACGACAAGGGTTATTATTATGTATTGCTTTAATAAAAAGATAACACCTGCAGGTTATCAGAATTTCAGGCTCTAGAAAAAGGTAAATAGCTGATGCATAGACACATTGCATGGTTTCCCCAGTTTGAAATTTTAATAAATAACACAAAAAACAATCTACACATACATGTACTATGTAATTATCTAAACAAACTTTAGCAGCGTAAACCACAAGAATCTTTTTTTAATTCCTGTGCTGAATATGATTGAATCTGTATGTGTCATGGTGATATATATCAGTAGCAGAGAATAATTTTACATCCTCAAACTTGATAAGCAATTTAAGCCGATAGATCAATGTTTCAAATAAAATTGTGTACACTTCTATGTAATAAAATTGCTACACACACATGATATTTTGTATAGCAGTCATATAAAAAATGCATAGGAAATTGCTATGCGATACCAGGAAAATTAGTCCCTGCAGTAGTATATATCCTGTACAGATGAAGCAGGTTTAAGGGCACGTATCCAACTCCTGATCAAAAAACAAAGCCATTAGAAACAACCATTTGAGAAGAAAACAATCATTAAGGATGAAGAAGAAAAAGAAGAAAGTTTAGTGGATGTTCCAAATACTTGCAATTTACTGCACTAACTGCATATTTTTTCTAAAAATCTCAGAATCAGGAAGGGATTTGAACATCAAACCCTAACTGCTGTCTAGTCAGACTACACATAGTTATGTACATTTACTTACCAGAACTATTGAACAATCAGCAAAGTAGTTTGGCCAGATGGGGGCCATCATGCCTCCCAGCTCTCTCACTCTGACCTCGTTTTTCTTGTTGAGTTGGACATTGGTTAGGTTTGTCCCAACCTGGTAAAGTATAAAGAGAGAAGAGATGGAAAATTCATGCTATAAGATAATTGCTTCATTCCATATATCCACAGATTTGATTCATAAAAATACAAAGCAAGAATTTATAGTTGACTATATATGGCATGATTTATATGATTCAATATTGAGAAAGTTTATATCTTCGCAGAACTCTACTGACCAACAGCGATTGATCAATGAAGACTGACCAGTACAGTTCTGAGAAGATATAAAATTTATCTATCGATAATAAATCATGCTATCACAGTTATTTCATGAACAGATTTCAGAAAATTATTCCAACTTTATGGGCAACAAGGTATGAAATGGTAACCATACTCACCGTTGCTATCGTTGACGGAGCATCATTCAGATTGTCAAATGAACCTTTCGTAGAATATAGTGATCCTTTCGTCAAGGAACATGACAAGTATAAATTGTTTCTCATGTGATACTTTTGCACAAGTAACTTCTACCATTGTGTTAACATCATACCTCTTTGTTATAATTCTAAATCCTTTAAAAGTTCCTTTCTCTCTAGTTCAAAGATTGCAATGCTAAAAAATGTAGATAGGTTGACATAAAGGGGTCAAATCAGAAGGCAAATACTTAAGAACTTCAACTCAAAATATCTTTGTATTCTGTGAAATGAATTGTAAAGAATTATTTTTAAAAAGGAGCATTTAAAAATCCTGCAGCCGGCAGCCTGTACATGCACAGAGTTATCAAGTCTGACTTTGGTTCAATGCAAACCATTTTATAAATGCAATGGCATAAGAAAGTACTAAAAATGGTGCGTGCATGGAATGGATCCGTTCTAGAGTTGATCGACGTATGTCATTGACATTGTCAACTCATGACTGAGGCACATACATCCTGACATGTAGGTTCTCTGTGAGGGATACTTATTGACTAGTCTGTTATCCTCTATTTTTACTTCAAACCTCATGTATTTGTTACCCCATAAAATGCCAGGTAAAGTAGATCTAGCCTAGAGCCTAGAGGTCTATGTAGGAATGGATTTTGTACAAAGTTAAAACTTAAATCAATCTTTTTTTTTTCTTCAATTCTCAAATATTATTCATTCATAACTTTGTTTCGTCTTCCTTTTAATTTAATAAAGGACTCTAACTTCTATATTAATTAACTTACAAAAATGCATGAGGCATAACCTTAAACTTTATTGAGTTGGCAGCGAACAACTAAAACCTGACAAGCGAATTATTTAAAAACATAACTGCGGTGCGGTGTTTATTTTGAATAGCTAACATAAAATACTACTAATGGGGCTACAACACTCATTCATTCGGCCTTCGGTACTACTCTACACATATATATGCAATCTTTTTCACACTGAATTTCACTACTCTAGACGGCGGAAAAGGATATCTTGTAGCCGCTTCAAAATCATTGTTTTTCCGACTCCTAAAGGTCCGAGAAGTAAGCACATTTTGCTCTGCCGTTTGAATCACCTCGGGAACAGAAATAGCAAACGATAACATTAATGTATGAGGTGCCGTTTGTGGATTCTATTATTTTTTAATTCAGATTTTACAGAGTGATTCACATTGCAATTGTATGTTTAAAATAGCATTCTTTATTTACAAAACCCTCTAAAATATTTCAAAACGAAAAGCCAAACCTTACTTTTCTCACAAATGTCTGGTTATCATTGAAGTATTGAAATATATGCTGGTAGGGCAATTTTGCTAAACTTCAAATACTTTCTGAATTCACTCAATACCGGGTATATATTTCATTTTTATCTTGATCCTTCACTATAACCCTCTGTAATGTGTATCGTGTTTTTTTTTCTGTGTTTTTAAAAATTGTATTTACTGTACCAGTATATATTCTTTCTTTCTTTTATTTATTATTTTTTTTACTCTCCTAAATTTTGTTTACTGGTGGTCTCTCTCTCCCATATATCTATTTCTCACCTTCGATCCCCTCTCTCTCTCTCCTTCTCTCTTCCCTCCCCCCCCCCCCCCCTCTCTCTCTCTCTCTCTCTCTCTCTCTCTCTCCTTCTCATCATTATAGTAACTCAATATCTGGCCAGGGCAGCACTTAGGAACAGACATACCAATAATCAAACCTCAATAAATATTCACATACACGAGAAGCACAGATTGGACAAAGGTATTGCATATATATGAATATAGTGAACTTCAGTTTATACACATCTTCCATTTCCATAGAAATTAGCCTCCACCGATCAATTCTTAACCCAAGAGTGCAGAGGTTTCATCACATACACAAAATACTGCAGTATAGAACTTCACAACCAAATCACTGAGCAATTATTGTAACAAATGTTCATCCATCTGCCAATTAGAATAGGCCAGCCTCATATAGGCCTGTCTACTAATTTTATGCATACTTTTTTAACAAATATGTTTTTCTTGACAACTGAAAAGCTTGCCAGACATAGCAACAACTAATGTATGTGAATCAAATAGTCGGTAACTAAGGGATCTGGAGAGAAACATGCATAAATTTAAATACATTAGTAAACGGGTCTATTGAAAATAATTATGATACATATTTGGGAGAAGTACGGGTAGATTAGCTGTGCTACAATAACAACATACCACCATTGCAGTAATAGGTCAGTATAATGTATATGACCAAAGTGCATGATACATTATGGGAAGTTCATGAAATTGCATATTGTAAGATTGGTTTATTTACTAGAAAAACACTTAGAAACAGATTATGAATAACTGTAATATCTGTGGAATGTAATGAAAGGGGATGAACTCTTGGAAATTATATTAAAAAAGCATATTTCTGCTGAAAATGTTAAGAGTTTGTGCATGAGTGCATTTATAAAATATTAGGGTATTATGATGGTACAATGCATATTTAAATAAAAGAGTTGTTTAAAACTTACAGCAACAATATTACATTGATTCTTTTGTGATAATAGCACATTAATAAGCAGGGCTATTTTATTAGCAATCACAGTACCAAATTAAAACTTAAATAGGGTACCCATGATGTTAAAATACACATAAATGTATGCCTGCACCTACATTTTAATATAAGGTGATTCCCGGTACCGGCAATGGCAAATATCCTTAGTATTGTTGCAGGAGTTTTAGCATGGATACCATGCATTACCCGAATATGCTATGGAATCTTATTCTAAAGCCTTTGTATTAAAATGTAAAATCTACTATAATACGAAACATCGGCCAAGCAAGTCTTTGGTATATGATAACATACATCAGGCCCCATAAGTTCATATATTCCAAATTCTAAATTCCAAGATGTCTAAATCATGCATACAAGTCCCTTGTATTAAAAGCATTAACATGGAATTCCAAATTACACATTTCATTTACATTTATTTAAACATAATCTTCATCATAACATTATTACATAATATTAAATAACCAATCAAAAAAAAAAAGAAGAATATAGTTACAAGTAAATAAAAGAATTATATAGGCAGGTACACTATTAATACTATGTATATAACAAGCGGTGTTCAAAATGTGAAACATTGCTTCAATTCAGTCTGCAAAAAAAAAGTTTTAAATATGAGAAGGAAACAAAAATCTTACTCTGCAAAGATAATGAATGTATGTAATCATGAAAAGCAATTCATATTGTGCATCAAATTTGCACATAAGATTTCCCCAAAGATATTGAAAAAAATAATATCCTTCTTCTCAATTTTTGTCCCTCCCTGAGACTAAATAACTCTGCTATTGTTGCACTAACAGAGCACAATTGATTTCCCAGATTATCATTATAATACAAAGTAGAAGGAATATCCCTGAAATAAAGTGGAAATGATTGATTGACGTCTGCCAATAAATGAGCACTAAGACTGGAATAAATGAGCACTAAGACTGGAATAAATGGAACGCAAATAGATTGGATACGAGAATGTAAGATAACAACCGTAGGTTTACTTTGTAATAAAAAGAATGATTATTTTGTTTATCCAGAGAAGCCTCATCAGCTTCAATGCTGTTCTCCCTGAGAGCCCTGCAATTATTATTACCTCAGCAATTGCTAGATACCAATTTACACCTGGGTGAAGAGTGACAAGTGACAATGTCTTGCCAAAGGATATGGTGCCGGGCTGGAATTTGAACCCTCGATCCTTGGATTGAGGGTCAAGCAAAAGAACCACTACACCACAACAACTCCATGTTTGTGAAGAAATTACATGTATATTGAATTTTCTATTTGTTCTTTTCATTATTACACTCGCGAATTTGTGAAACAAACACAAAGACATTACCTTCATACAAAACCTATTGCATATATGAAAATCCTTTCACTTTAGACTTCGTCCAAGAGACACACAAAGGAAATGTATCTTTCGTGGACCTCCTACCCCCCCCCCCCCCCCCCCCCCACGAGGTAACATTCCCACGTTTTCAGCTCAGAGAGCTGGATCCTATAATCTCTTGTAATGAGAACGGGGTCTTACGCCTATAAACACTAAGGCAAGGCGATTATCTCCCCATGTCTGCATAGACCCACATACCAATAGTAGCAGCTTTCACACATAACTTCTCTGGGTCATTCATTTCAAAATCTACATTTCAAAATACTATGACTAAATTGATACAAAGTTAAGCTTGAAACAGAAGCTTAGCTCGTGTATGGTCTTATTCCAGATTCTATTTATAGGGCGAGTACTTTCATTGTTGTAGTTTGGATTGAATTCAAAATGATTGAGAATAATTTCATCATAATCTGTTCTTATGTCATATATCTCAAAATTAAAATAAATATTCTTTTCAAGAACAGAATGGTTGGCAAGCTTGGATAACATTCTCTACAATTAAATTGCATATAATTTAACTGATAAATTAAAAAAATCTTCACAAACATTATTAAATGTTCACTAAAGGCAATATTTGAATTTTTAAAACAAATATTTAAAAAACAAGTGTGATGCTGGGTACTATACATGAATCATGATCAAATAAAACAACTACATTACAAATATTGCTAACAAAATTAGTACAATAACGAGTACAATTTCTTACAAAATGATAAACTATATTGTGATTCAGGTAAAACTTGGACTCTCTCTCTCTCTCTCTCTCTCTCTCTCTCTCTTGCTCTCATTCTACCTCTTTACAGTAATACATGCATGCCTGTACATTTTTCTTGTTCTCATGGCAATTACAAACAAAGTACTCTTCACGTCAATTTGCTGAAAATTGATAAAATTTACACAAACATAAGAGACGGAGAATATAAAAATACCCTTCAACTATTATGGAATAAAAGCAATTCTAATTGGTGGAGAAATTCAGTACATTTGAAGAATCGTCTGCGCAATAAAAAGTAATAAAGATAAACATGAAGTATTCTATCGTCCAGAAGTAATTATCTGCCTCAAAACACTTCACCTAAAATTGATTTGAAATTCCAACTATCAAATTAAGTACACAAACATGATTTATTATGCTAACTATATACTTTGCACTACGACCTGTCATATTATAGTTCCCCCCTGACAAAATGAAAATAGACGTGAGATGCTTAAAGATGAAAGAAGACAAATTCAACAAAATTGTCTCCTTGAGTTTGACATTCCCTTGAGCACTTTGGACTATTAACCAAGACTGTTTGATAAAGTTACTTAAACTAAATCAGATTCCTAAACTAAACCTACAAATATAAAACCTGCAACTATTATGTAATGTATAATGAGCTGACCACAATGAATGCAAAAAATGCATGCATTAAAAAATGAGGCTAATGCCACTGTAACACTCAATTACAATCTTTTCCCCGAAACATTCCCCCCTCCCTCTTTTTTCCAACTCTTGAAGTAATTTAATATTTAAAGATATTAACAAACTTCAATTTCTCCCCCAAATGGAGTGAATTAATAATTAACTATTTACAAAAAAAAAGAATTTTCTTTCTGTGACACAGCCTACCGGATCTGTTGTGGTCAACCCTTTGCAGGTCCTATACTAAACTAGAACCTACAACTAGACTAGGACCTGCAAGAAGGAAGGGTTCGATGCACTATAGCTACAATGTACATGTACTGTATATAATATAATATGTCTGGGGTCATTGCACTACAACGGAGGGTGCCTACGATCTTCCCGCCATATCCCAGCTCTCGTGTTTTGATCCTGGCTCGAGCTGGGTCAGAACGACTTCGACGGCTTGCTTCTGATCCATCTTGGGAGGGATGGGACACTCCCTGTACTCGACCCGGTCACCGGCGACGGGAACGTATTCACCTTCGATGCTGTGAGGATACGATCGAGATAGAGAAAAGATAAAAGAGGAACAAATAAGAACATTTGAGTATGTTGTGTGACCCAACAAGATTTAGTTTTATAAATGTAATGCTTCCTGGGAGAAATTTCAATTATTTAAAGTACATATTTTTGGCTTACACCCAGTAAATAAGATCAATTGTAAGCCGAAAATATGTTAAAATAAAAATTTAGTTTGACATGATGTAGAGCCTTTGCAGGCCCATTATAGGACTCATAGGAGGGAAGGGGCAAACCTTGTACATGTTATCGGCCATATTCAAGTCAATACTTTAATTAATAGAATTCAGCTTTAATAGCTCAGTAAATTATGGCTCAAGTCGTACTCAGAGCACATTTTTTAAAGTATTTTACCTTTAGTACATGTAAGCCACTTTTGAGGCAATGTATTCTTATACGGTAATACATCTAAACAGTAAATATGCTGATCACACCTTCTTAATAACATACCTTTGAACTAAAATATTTTGAATTCAAAGACAAATTTCATTGAAGAAAAAAAAAATCCTATTTTGCACAAATACATGGTGTACATCAACTAAAAGCAGTCTCTGACCCTTTTAAATTCTGTTTCTTAAACCAGGATTTCCCATTCTCTCCACACTTCAGATCTGATATTGTTAAAGACTTATAAACTGTACTATACAAAGTACTTAGGATCATGACTAATTTATGGAAGTAGAAAATTTGCCTGAGTAAATACAGATCCGTTGCTTGCTCTAAAGCCATTGGCATCACCATGCCAAGGAGAACAAACTTTGAACTGTAATGTCTACAACTCGCTTAAAAAAAAATATGATATCATAATGCAAATATGATCTACTGGGGATGACTGGTATTAAATTAATATTAATATACCCTGGATATTTTTTTTCTCTCTCTCTATCTTTCAGGCACGTGTGCGTACAATACAGGTGCTGTGATATAGTGTGACAGAGCTTTTTTTCCCATCATCGTATTTTCTATACTGCATCAGAGTCGCAGCTTGCTCCAGGATCTCTACATTGTACATCAAAGCAGGTACTATTCAACATTTTCTTTCCTGATTAACTGAACATTGTGACTATTCGTCATTGTACTTCTACTATCACTCCATACTTGAGTATGTTTGTATTATGCATTTCATTTTTTTTCTTCTTTTTTACGTTTAGGTAGATTATTTTATTGTAGACCATATGTTATCATACCCAACATGTCATTGACCATGTTATTATGTATATGCACAGAAAGTGCTTGTGCATACATGCATGTAATTGATAAACACTTTTGGAAAATAAAGTGCAAAATCAGATAGATGAAACATACATGTACTCTTAAAATTCACCTTAATTCAAAGATATTAACAGATAGTTTGGAGGCATTCATGTTTTTGTACTTGGCATTCGACCCTATATCTGTGAAACCAATACTTTGAATATTAATGAGTTAGAAAGTCACTCTTAAAGGTAATACAAAGTTTTGGTAATATTTTAACAGGATTGGATACTAAAATTTAAAATTTGCATTACCATTGTGAAACCTATTGTTAGAATAAGCAACTTTGAAAAAATTGGGCTCTAAAACGCTAAGAATTTCAAGAAATTAAAATATCAAATGTATTGGTGCTCCCGATAAATTTCAAATAGCGCCTACTGCCATTCAATGTGTGTAGAATGAGCAAACAATGATTCTATTTTATTTTAGAACACAATGGCTCAAACCGAACGAATTCGTCAACGCAGACCTCTTAGAGGACAATCTCAGGATCAACCTACTTCAAGGAAAAGCCATCCCCAGGAGAAAAGTTTCCTGTGAGAAATTAATCTCTTTGTTTTAATATCCATAAATTTCTCACATTAACAACAAATGAAGTACTTTGAATTTAAATGAACATCATTTGGCTTCCCATTGTGATATGACTTCATAGCATTCACTTCTACTGTACATGTTGACTGTAATGCATTTTTGTCATGTTGACCTTTATTTCACAAATATTTGTAAATTGTAATCTTTATGATTTTAATAACAATATTTCAACACTAAATCTCTTGAAATTTAAATCTAGTCTGCAAATTGTGAGTAGCAATCATAAAATTCATAAATCATGTTTTACGCACATTTGTCATGAAGTTACATAATTCACACAAAAAGCAATACCACCTTGCCTATGGGTAATTCCATAGATTAGGGACCCACTTTATGACATTTTTGGTGTCCCACTTTACATAAGAAACCCACACATATTTGTGGCTCTGAGTAAAGATTGAGATTATTAAGTTATTATAGGTATGAGGATGCAATATTATGCTTGGAAATCACTTTACAATCTCACTCAACTATTTAAGTCTTTACTCAGAGCCACAAAGGTTCCTTATGTATAAAGTGGAACACTAAAAATGTCTCAAAGTGGGTCCCTAATTTATGGAATTAACCTATATGTATACCTATATTTTTAAACAATGGACAATAAAAGATATACTGGTATTCAAACATCCAATCACATAATATATCTGATTTTTTTTGTGCAGATCCAACTGCTGCAAACAGATATTATACATCGATGGTGTATTGTTCCTGATGTTGGTTATCTACCTCATGCTCAAGTCAACGCCAGTAGATCCTGAAGCATATCGGTAGACCTACATGTAGCTTTTATTTATTTTAGACCATATCAAAATAAAGGCATCGTTTAATAATGTTAAATCTAAGATGCACGGCTCTACGTGTTATCAGTGTCTGTGATATGGTGTAAAATGGAAGCCCTAAAAAAATTGCGCCTCAAAATCATAAGGAAGTTCCTCAAAAAAGTAAAAATCTTTGAGTGACCGGTTTTACCATACCCGTTTTCCCCAATAGACTGTAGTGTTATGAAAACGTTAGGAAAACGCAAAATTTGATTTCGATTTCCAATCATAAATATCTTGATAATCAGACAGGCAATCGGCTTGTAAAAGTCATAGGCTTCCTGACAGACCTAAATAATTATCATTGCAGCATGAGCTTAATCCAGGATTTTCTTTCAGAATCTGAGACAAAGTTACCCAATCATTTTAATTCCTTGTTATTTTTCAAAAATAAGCTGGGGAGTTGCATGTTGCTTGACATTTGAAATTTTTCTTATACATAAAAATGCTATTGCGTCAATTTTAACCCCAGAACAAAAATTGCAAATAATTTTGTCCTAGCAATATCACTGCACAAAAAAGGGGGGATTTTTTATGTTTATGGATAGTTGCCTGGCAACTTCCTTAAAAACTCTGAAATATTTTTTTTAAAAAACGGTTTTTGCTTGCATTGTAAATGCAGCTTATGTTGAGTACGTATGAGACAAACTTGGGCTATAATTATTTGAAGAGTATTAAAGATAACACATTGGTGTATTATCAACAGCTGGTCAGGTTTTTCACATTCTGCAGAGGTTATCAATTTTAATTTGTAATATCTTTTTCTTTTAAACCAGCTTGCCCCCTCCAAGACCTTGGACTGGTCCCTTGGCGGAGAATAACAAGCTTCAACAAGGCAAAAGATTGGTGGAGAATAAAGTCTTTGGACCAGAGTCACTTGCTCTCAAGAATGGTACAAGATTCATCTTTTTTTCTCTTTTTTTTTTTTTTTTTTTTGGGGGGGGGGGGGTCAACTTAAACTACATTTCTTAAGAGTCTCAATAAGCCAAACACTCTGACAACTATGGTATCTGCTGTCTAGGCCATGAGAAAATAGGAATTTGTATGTTGTTTGTCTCATTTATATTAAAAAGAAACAAACACACAAGGAAAGTGGTCTTTATAGACAGGTGGTCTTTATTTACAGGTACATTAAGTACTGAACATGTTTCAGTGATGAACACTATTCAAGGGGACAGAAATTATGGTCTTTATAGACAGGTTGTTGCTATTAAAAAGCAGCCTTCAGTGTATTATTTACATTTAGAGGTGTCATGGTCTAATGAATAAGTCATCGGACCGTGGATCACATGATGCATGGCTCAAAACCCACCGTGGCACTAACTACCTTCGGCAAGACATTAATCTACATTTGCCACTCTCCACCCAGGTGTTCATAAACGGGTACCCCGTAGGACACCAACGTTAATATGTTGGGATGGGGATGTGTGCACCCCGCCCCCCCCCCCCCCCACTCAGGTTTCGAAATGACCACATGCGTGTTGCCAAAATGTCCGGTAAAGGGGTACTTTTCGTGCGACAAAGTCCGGCCCGAGAATTGTAAAAAAAGGGGTGTATTTGACTTTTCACCCGGAGATTTCTTTAAAAAGGGGGTGTTTTTTTCTTTTTTTCTCTCATCTCTTTGGACTGCTGAGAAATTATTCCGAATTTAGGGGGGTACATTGAGCATTTTTCCTGATTTAGGGGGGTCTCCAAGGCAGGAAAAGCCCGCGAAAAGCCCGTGAAAGGGGGGTTCGGAAATGTTGGCAGTCCTCAGATAGGGGGTGCTTTCAAAAAGAGGGAACGAGCATATGCGTACCCTAAATAACACTGAGTGGGGGGGCCGGGGTGTGCACTTGTAAAATGGCGCCTGGCCGGAATATTCCCCAGGTAGTGGAGCCTATGTGCACTATCATGGGTGGATCAGCGCATTGATTTCATTAGCCGGGGTAATAATAATTACAGCATGTATTATGGTGATTAACTTGTAGGGAGACTCTACACTGGCACTGTAGATGGTAAAGTAGTTGAGATCAGCAATGAGAAAGATGTCAAGGTAGTAGCTCGACTAGGAGGCTCTACGTGTGGTGGTAAGTTTACTCTTTCATAGTCGCCAACCACTTTTTATCCTTACCAAGCTTGAAAAAAGTCCATGAAAGTAGATACCAAGAGAAATTTATATTTTACGTCCCGTATATTCATGTGTAACTCAATGTAAGTCTTACTTTTAAGCCCATCCATCAGTGAAATCATGAATGTTGAATTTGTTGAGTTCATGCGTTCATGCGTTCATTCCAGGAGCATGGCTGGACTAGTTTGAATGGGGGTTGGGTCGGTGGGTTGGCTGACTGTATCGGTTTACAAGTGAGCAGAAAATTTCTACTAGCATTTCACAACTAATCTTTATTAATTACTAATACAGGATATTAGTATCTTCCAATCCTGCAACCAATCCAGCGGAAGAAGAGTAAATTCCCAAACTGATCACAGTATATAAGTACCATCTCCTAATCCTGTTATGCTGGCATTAGAGATACGCATACATGCCAACATTTGAAAATCAGAAATCTGTACAAATTATGCTATTTTCAAAAAAAAGAGGAACAATCCTAACTCTCCTATTCAATACTACAGACAAATTTGTACAGGAAGAGGAACACCAGCATTAAAATGATAATTATCTTCTCCCAAAAAGAGGAATGTTCCTCTTTAATCTGAACAGTTGGCATGTATGGATACGTATCTCACGGACGATTGCTATTTTTTTGTAACATTTGCACTAGATACAATGGGTGAAGAAGAGAGATGTGGAAGGCCTCTAGCAGTGCGCTTCATAGATGAGAAGCTGTATGTCATGGATGCTTTCTTTGGATTGTACCAGCTGGATATCACAGGAGGTATGTATCAAAGGTTAAAGCAATACTGCACAAGAAGCACCAATGCAGAATTCCCTCTATCACCATCTCAGGTCAGCCTTAACAGTATGGTCCAACACGTAAAACTCCCTGCTGTACACAAAAAAGTTTTGTTCTTTTCAATTTCTGGAGTAGGACATATAAATGTACATGATTGATAGTTAAATGTAGAAGTAATGGTCTACCTATTACCTACCCATCTCCCATACTGTAAAATCCTTTAGCCACTATTAAAGGCATGACAAACTTAAAGGTAAAGACCAGTATTGGAAACGCCCCAATTTCAAAAAATGAAATGGAAGCTCTTATTACCAATCATGTGAAAGAATATGTTTTGACTAATACATGATGATAAAAATTTGGCCGGGAAACTGCCTACTAATTGATATATTTGGTAAATTAGTTTATCTACATGGTCTGTGAGAGATAAACGCACGAGTTGTGCACGTGTGCGTAAAGTCCCATGTACACCTTTCTGTGTAAAGTGCTTGTAACTTTACAAAGACTGGGCTATATTTCTTATCATTTTGATGATTCCAGAACCTTCCAGTACACACCAATACTTAGATGCTAGATGATCAACCTTTTCTGATCGATTCCACAACGTTTCTTTCACAATGCAATCGCATCCCATAACTGGTCTTTACCTTTAAGCTTCCTAGTATACAAGAAATCCACACATGGTATGAAAAGGGTGGCTAATTTGTTCTCCTTTCTTTTTCCAGGAAATTTGCCTAAACAACTGGTTTCCACAAAAACTAGCCATGGAGGTCACACGATGAAGTTCGCTAATGACTTTGAGCAGCTAGACAATGGAACGTTCCTCTTCTCCGATACAAGCCACAAGTGGCACATGACACAGAATGGGCTACTGGTCCTGGAGAATAAGGCCTGTGGCAGGTAGGACCATTGCCATTTGTAAAAAACAAAAAAATTTATACCCTTTTAGATTTAAAGCCCCACTGTACTACTGGTATACATGTACTTGCTCCCTCTATATAGAAAACAAAGCCTTTTAAGTGGTGCCTGTTGGTCCCCCATGATCCTCTTTTTCTTACTTTAGTTGAGAGCTGAGTTGATGAGATAGCCACCTGTCAGTGACCACGCGGGGTGGTCTAATCCCTCCTGGCCAAATTAGTACAGACGAGCTTTAAATAATAATAGTAAAGGGCCGAGGCACACTTATACGCAATAATGGCTTCAGTCATCTGTTCTGCTGGCACAGAATCTTATTTGAAACTTAAACACAATTTCATTATTAAACTTTTAAGCGGAGTCTAGCTCAGTGAGTCTTGTCACGAGCAACTTAAATATTCAGGTACAGAGCCAATGGGGCACACTAGACGCTTAATGTAGGTAAAGAAATAGCTTGAGTATCAATTTCTTGAAAGATGGAAGTGTTTTCAAGTTTCCTTCATATTCGCCCTTTCTCATGCAGATTGCTCTGGTATGACCCCGAGACCAAGACCAGTGGGGTAGTGAAGGACGGACTCTACTCTCCCAACGGCATTCAGCTCTCACCCAAGAAAGACTTCCTCCTCATAGCAGAATCAACCAGATATCGTATCTCAAAGTAAGCACTAAAGAGAAGAGGTGTCGTGGACGAGTGGATATGTCACCAGACTGTGGATCACGAGGTCCGCGGTTCAAGTCCCACCACGGCACTAATGTCCTTTGGCAAGACGTTAATCCACATTTGCCACTTTCCACCCAGGTTTTAAATGGGTACCTGGTAGGATGCGAAAGTTAATGTGGTTGGATGAGCAAGTGGCGCTTGTAAAAGAGGGACTGGCTGGAAAGCTCCCCAGGGAGTGGAGATTGTGCATACATTGTGTGCGGGTAAGCCTGAATCCGATGAGCGGGGTAATAATATGTACTTTTGCACGTAAAACACTGCCTAGATTATAGATACCACCAAGAAAAAGAGGAATTCATCGCTTGACTCAGATGTGTCAACCTATAAATATAATTATATAACCTTTGACAGAATTAAGTTATAAACGGAATACTCTGTAGGCCTATATATTAGTTAAAACAAACAGAATTGTGGATTGGAATGAATTCTAAATGCATGTTTAAAAATCAAGGTAGGTTGGGCAGAAATTGAAATGCAAAGTATTTGAGTGTGCGATTGGGCTTTTCTGTATTTGGAATTAATATAAATAATAGCTTTTTTCATCCAGTATTCTTTCCGTCCTATACTATGCCTCTTTCTTAGATATTATGTGAAAGGTCCAAAGGCGGGCAAAACCGAGATATTTTCTGACAACCTGCCGGGCATGCCAGACAACATCAGCCCGAGTCGCAACGGGGGCTACTGGGTGGGCTTCGCACTGGCCAACTCCAGGATGGGACCCATGAAGATGGACGTGGTCGCCCCTTTGCCCTGGCTTAGGAAAATTGTGGCCAAGGTAATGATATTGTTTCAAAACTTACCTTAAAATTGTCAATTATTTCCTTAAATAGTTCTGATATCATCTGTTTGGAACCAGAAGGACATTAACTCATATGCCAGTACTTTAAAACACAGAGGTTAATGCCCTTCTGGCTTAGAATAGACAATATATTTCTTGACCCCACCCAGAAAAAGAAATTACAAAAAAGATGAAAGGCAACTCCTATAATATTTGAAGGGACCTCAATAAAGAGGAGCCATATATAAAATCTTTACTTCCATTTTTAGAATCTCACTAAAGTTGAATGCCTGAGGGCAGTAGGCCTAACCAATGCAATAAATTGAGACTATACAGTATATCATTTTGTGAATCATTGTATAAATTTGTTCATGCCAACAAGAATTCAAAATCATATATTGTTTTACATTATCTAGCACATAACATGAATACTTCATGGAAAGTTATTATCATTATTACCACTGGTCACTGGAGTTCAAGCCTGCACAAAAGTGTGCACCATCTCCACCTGTTATGTTTTATGAACATGCCAAATGCATCAATGACATTGACAAGAATGTTAATATCTCTTGCAGCTTGTTGATCCTACTTCGCTGGTGTCCTACATGCCCCAGTACGGTCTCATCATAGAGCTGAATCAGAAGGGAGAGATCGTCCAAAGTCTCCACGATCCCTCAGGAAAGGTTGTGCCTTCCGTCAGCGAGGTCCTCGACACTGGAGATGCTCTCTACCTTGGATCTTATCATTCTCCATTCATTGTCAAAGTAGATTTATAATATATCAAAGACCCATTCAGTCCTAAGTATTAGGTTTTTGCTGAGCATCACCATTTCTAGTCAAAAGTAGACTTACATGTACATGTAGAATAGACAAAGATCTCTTTAGTTATGAGGTTCTTGATTACCTCAGATTCTATCATTCTCCCGTCCTTGAATAAAAGGATACCCTTTGCCTCAACTAATATCATTCCCCACTGCTTGTTAGACTTAGAATTACCACATTTTTCCTGTTCCATTCAGTCTACTACACCATGGATACTCTAGCCTACAGGTAATGTATACCGGTAACCTGGGATCTTAGTCTTACCAGTAACTATTTCCTGTTGAGGATTTCAATTACCAAAGACTCTTTCCTGTAACCTACACTGGGAATGCTCGAGCCTTTACCTATGATCTTATCATTCCATATTTCCTGTCCAAGTACTTTAGATACCATATAACCAAAGATTCATTAAGTGGGTGAGTTCTCACATTGGGAATGCTCAGGCCAATACTTGTCATCTTCTTTTGAATACAGTCTTTCACAATTGGCCTTATTCGTAATGTAACCAAATGTAATGCATGCGTCTTTGTTAAGTGCCTACATGTAAATACAAATTATTTCATTCACCTGTTTAGAATAATTGTATTTTAATAGTCAGAATGCAAACTGCACCATGTGTTGTTTGGTAAGGCAAGCCACATTGTTTGTCCTAACTACATGTAGCGTCTAATACTGTATGCAATTCACATTCCTATTGTCTTATTGAGATACAATTATTGTCAAACAGTATAATGTGTGTCTCAATACAGGCATCGATGTCCTTGTCGTATGAAACTATACAGTACCTGCCTTTCATCATGTTTTAATTTTGTACATGCCAGAGACATGCATATGGGCAACTAATGCTATGGTCACATTACCCAAAAGTAGCCTGCTCCGCGGCCGAGCGGCGAGTTTTTAACCAATTCTGCCCGGCGGCTGCCCGGCTACCGAGCGGCGGCCGCCCAGGCACCGCTAGTTTTTAGGGCATCGCTCGGTCGCCGCTGAAGTTTTAGCGCAAAGTTGAAATTTGGGCGGCGCCTGCTCACTTTTCACTCGCCGCCCAAAATACGCTCGGTGCCTGGGCGAACGCCGCCCGGGCACCGACCCAATTGCTGGGCGATGCCTAAACTCCAGCAGCGACCGAGCAGGCTACTGATCGCTCGGTCGCTGCTCTGATTTGTGACCATAGCTTTAGCTGTGCGTTTTAATTTTTTAGATGGGAACTTTTTTTGCACGGTAGGTGTGGTAAGAATTGTTTACAATCTTGGTCCTGTTTTATGAAAAACATTATTACTGGTTTCCTGTAAAAGTAAATTATTATTCATGGACACAACATATAATGAAGTAGTCATGGAACCTTTATCATACATGTATGTGTGTAAATGGTATAGTGGGAAGGCATAAATGATAACAAGACAGAAATCGTTATCCGTTAACTGAAAATGTATGCAAGGAAAGGAATCTCCCTAATGTTATTAAAAATATCTTAGGATTTGTCACAAATTGAAATACATTGTATCCCATATTATCTTGACCTTTGGCTGTGGTTTTGATTTCCACCATTTTCTGTAGGGTATGAACTAGCTAGGAGGTGGCAAGGAGAGGTTCCATGGTTGAAAAAGTATACGTGTGGTACATAGCAAAGTCATTGTGAAGTAAAAGCACTTTTATCTGTAATCCTTGTAGTGTATAACTTGCTCAGAATGCATGTTGTTTAAATTCGTAATTTGTAGAATAAAGCGTATTCTTAAAAACAGAATGTGACTGTCTATATCCTTGTAATGTTTCTGGCTTTATAGTACTTTTTACTTGTTTGCACAAAAAAAGACTATTCCATTACTGTTTTTTTTCCTTCAATTACAACACAAGCAACGTTAACCTGTACACGACTGAATTCTCACATTCCCCTAGACTTTGTGCAGGTTACACCAAGATCCCTTTAAAGCCCCACCGCACTACTTATAGCTACTTGCACCATCCATTTACAGTGCCTAATCGGTGCCTGTTGGTCCCCCATGATCCTCTTTTTCCTATGTTGATTGACAGCTGATTTGATGAGATAACCACCTGTCAGTGACCTTGCAGGGAGGTCTAATCCCCCTGACCAAACTAGTGCAGATGGGCTTTAATAACACAAGTTTGGGCACTCATTTCACGATTTGCAAAAACAGTCTTTACTTACTCTGAGATGTGAAGAAATATTCTTGATCCATCATCGTCTGAGGAGATGAACCCGTGTCCTTTGCTCCGCTCAAATTCAGCAATCGTACCTTTCTTGAGGGGGCCTTCAGATGCTACCCTGGACCTGAGTAAGCATAATGATCAGAGAAAAGAATTACTTGTGGTACAATAAGAATGTTAAAATTCAATAAAAACGAAAGGCCAAAAAAGAAAAAAATCAATGAATTCACCTTAAGCCTAAAAAAGAAAGATGTTGTATTGCCCTTTGCGACCGACCTAAAAATCTTGAAATCTACAATCAGCTTTTTGTCTAACCGTTTTTTGAGGAAAAAAATATTAAAGCATTAAAAACTGAGAAATATAAGCCTAAAGAGGGAGGGGGAAAAAAAATAAAGTTAAAAAAAAGAAAATGATTTCTGACTGACCGATCCATGTTTTGGCACCTCAAGGGCAATAAAACATCTTTTTTTTAGGCCTTATGTTGTGGAAACTTTAAGGAAAATCTATTTGTAATGGTCAACAACTTGAAAGGAAGAAGAAAAATCAGAGAAGAAGACTGGTGAAAGTTTTAATGAAATTGGACATGACATAAGAAAATTTGATTTTTTTAATCAAGAGTATAGGAAAGAAAGATTACGTCCAAAGGAATTGCTAAAAAAAGATATGATATCAAATTTACAACAACAAATAAAGGGCCAGATGAGGTACAGAGAAGAGGTGTAACAGTAATAAAGCGGAATTTACTGGCACGGAAATGTGCGTCGGGAACGCAAAACTGAAATGTTAATTGTTGAAAATATGAGATTTATTACTCAGAGGTAGAACCTGGTGGTTAGGCTATGGAGCTGGTAAGTATACATACCATCTTAATGAGGCTTCATATTTCATTCACATTTTTGTCAAAAAGGGAACTTTTTGTTTTAATAAACAAAAATCACTAATTACATGTATTACTTCCGGACACGTATTTCCTTGCCATTACTTTTCGCAAAGCTACGCAACCTGGAAGTTTTTTTGCAGAGCTCATTAGAGTTGATGAATAGATCGTCAGTGAGACACGCCCATCTAAATACTGACATAAAACTACACAAGGAGAGGGGAGGGGGGGGGGGATACTTGACACTTAAAAGGAATGACAAAAAAGCCAAGAATTACCCCCCCCCCCTCCCCATCCTCTAATCTTGTACGTCTTTTTAACGCTGAACTCTGCAACAATCACCTCTAAACACCCACCCATCGTAAGACATAGTCTGTAAAACTCACCAAGATTATTCTGAATGCTAAATATATTACTCATTGCGGATATAGTATCAAAAATAATATCACTAGTGATAGTGGTTTGTCTCGCAATGTATGGTCAACAAGGGATCTAAAAGATCATGAAGCTTCTTGCCCCGCTGCAACACTTCGTCAGGTGATAAAATCTAATGTTGTCATGATCTTTTAGATCCCTTGTTGGCCATACATTGCGAGACAAACAAATATCACTAGTGATATTATTTTTGATATTATTCTGAATATTTGGAAACAAAGACTTGGAAAAGTATACTTACACCGAGGTTGTCCTGGTCCGTCTGGTAACAACGGGACTTGGAATCAAGAAGTGATGTTTGGCATGGTGCTTGGGCAGTGAGCTCTTCTCTGGAGAACCCTGAGGTGATGAAGATGCTTGTGCTTCTGACATGATGATAACTGATGATTTTCAAATGCTGTTCTTCCTCTTGGGTAATTTTGATGAACAAAAAATTAACTAAAGGAGAATAAATGAAAGTAAATACAAATTGTAAATGAATAAATAAAAAGATAAACTGCAAAACAAAAATGAATATAATTTTACCAAATAAATTGCATTCACTTAAACACTTTTTGACTTATCATATTACTCTAGATTTTAAAAACTCTTCAATTTGTCAAACAAATGTTAAGTTACCCAGCATCATCATGATTAAAAAAAGGAAGTTAAAACAAATGCTGCCCTGGTCTATGGGAGGTTGAATAATATTGGAAAGGAGACACCTATATTTCTTTAAATGGGTCTCCATTTATTTTTAAAAATGTCATAAAATTAGAAAATGGCGAAACACAATCTGTAAAAAATAGGCTCAAATGTACGGAAAACCAAGGAAATTTACACCAACGAAACTTGTATGTTTCTTTCGTTTAATACTTAGATCTCAGGGCGCGACAAACCCGCTTGCCCGACGTCCCGGGGCAACCAAATTGAGCCGTCGGGCAAGTAAATCAAATTATCACTTGCCCGATTTGGGCAAGTGATACTTTTACAGTAATTTCCTAGTGTCCAAGAACTCTACCATTCACCCGTCAACTTCTTACCCGTCGTCAAAATCCAGAAGCAAAAAAGCGATCGTTCCGATTTCGAAAAAACTTCACAGACAGCTAGCCAGCTCAGCTAGCTCAGCGCGCATGCAACAGTGACACTCAAGTTCAAGCCATGAATGCCGCTCCGCCTCCACGCACGGCCGGCCGTGAGCTAGCTAGAGACAGCTAGCGCGATCGTACCAGCTGCGAGCTTATTCGCGCTCTCTCTCTCTAGCTCTGCAGGCCGCACCGACAGGCCTTTGCTATTCTCTGATTGCCGATTGGTTGAATCACGCCAAATATGACGTCATTATTCTAGGGAAATGAACACGTGCGAATCGGAATGGAATAAACAACAGGGATTTTCTAGTAAGTACAAAAAGTCAAATGTTTGATATTTATTCATAATGACTGTTAATGATTGTGAACATATTATTTAAAACTCGCTGCTCATATAAATCAGATGAATGTTTTTGTCTCGTTTTCAATTTATTACTGCGGTCTCAAGATCAGAGTCCTTTTTCGCTTTAAAGTTTGGGCAAGTGGAAATATTGTTTGGGCAAGTAAATTGAAAACCCACTTGCCCGACAGGGCAAGTGGTGAAAAAAATTCTTGTAGCACCCTGGATCTAGTCTATTTGTCATCAGACATCAGCATTGCCATATAGATCTATTGATTCATTAAAATGTTTATCATATCATTTGAAAATGACCTCAGCAGGTTTTAAAAAATATTGCTTGAATGTATAACAGTAGATACAGTGTTGCTGCCCCTCTTTAAGTTTAATACATGCAGCCAGGTTGGAAATGCTACTACTACGTGTACAATCTCTCTGGCCTGCTGGATTTGTACAGGGTCCTAGGCCTAGCCTGGCCCTAACCCTAGCTACAGACTACATATGTAGCTGTCTCAACTCTCATTGATCATTCTCATTCTTAATCATAATTCATAACCATATTCATTGATTGGCCAAAAAACGTTTGCGATTTATTGATTGATATTCATCGCAGCTAACAAGCGACCATAACTTAGGGACTGCAAATTTGCAATTGATTAGAGAGGACTTGTGCTTTATTTTATCAACCGCAACTTTTTAATTTTATATGGCGGGACGGGCCGCCCCGCGCCGCCGGGGCTCTGGCTCTGGCTGGCCTGGTTAACGTTAGTCAGCATGGCCATGGTTAGGCACACACAGTACAATACACACACACCCCCAATCAATGACCAATCCCCAGCCGCCAGGCCAGGCATGTTTCTGACGAAAATAAGGAAGCGCAATGCCTATGACTACGTAGCTACATGGTCTAGTATGAGCGGATCCGGAATAAACCAATTGTTAGGCTTAATATGAATAACGAAAGCATGGCCAGTGTCAATGTTTTTCACAAAATATTCCCACTCAACTCACCTCTTCTCAAAGCATTGATGTAAACAACATACATGAATATGCATACATATGCAATATATTTAGCTGCTCCTCTAGCTCAGCTCAACTAGCTATAGCTAGCGTATGTTTCAAACCTTGAGTACATGGACAGCAAAATTACGATATATATGCGCAGATATTACAAAAAGGTGCTGAAGAGGAATTCTCTGCGTATTATTCACACAAAAACGGCGATCACTGCAGCTAGTTACATATTCGTGCGCTATTCGACCTCGTATGAATAGTATTTCAGACGTGATTTGGGATACGGATATGCGCCGATATAAACTGAAGCGGCCGCACGCAGAGGAAATCAATATGGAGAAAAGGACACAGGATTCAACTTTATAAGGTAGTTTTAGGTGTAGCTTGGTTGTTTCTGGCTTTAACAAAATGCAATTGATCTCTGTGTGAGTTAGTATGCTTATTGTATGGATATTGTTTGATTGAACGCATTCCGAGATCTCGTTTGTTCTCTGTCTTGACTATCGTAAAGATAAACCTAAATTTAAAAGTCAACAGATCAACTGCATGTAGGCCTACATAGATGCGTGCATCCGCCTGGTCCCTAGGAACGCAGTGCATCCGTTTTGGATTCACCATTCTAAAGATTTGGTTTTTGAGTTTGACAAGAGTCTAGAGTTAGGGAGACATGCAAATATGATTTGTAAACTAAAGCATTTTGGAGCTCCTTGTTAAATGACCAAAAAAAAGAATCAACATTGAAACTGAAATACATTTTTGCAACACCTAGAGGCTAGAATCTACTCAGTCACTGCCTAAATTAAAGATCTACTTTCAGCACCCTGGCATGTCATGAATGATAATGGAATTTCTGCAGCATGACCATAGATACAGCATGCAAAAGATGAAAAGTGCGAAAGTCAGCACATGGTGAGCCCCAGAAGAAGAGCAAAATAACCACGCGACTCACAGAGCCTTGCAGTTTCTGTCCAGTTTCTCGATTAGTTTCATATCAATAGATGATGAATTTGTGCAATTTTAATTATAACACTGAATTTGCAGTGCTGGGATAATGTCTGGATATGTGTAGTCTTGATGGTTTCTTCAAAGTTACCCTTTCAGAATACAAAGTACCTAGCATGATAATAGCATTAATCAGTCTTAATCGATTTTCATACAAACATTTGGAATTTTATCTTGAATAAAGTATACTAGACCTAGATCTAATACTAGACAGAAATAACCATCTGATTTGGGTCATTTCTTTAATAAAACTGACATTTGTTGACATTCCCCAATACAGATGGTAACCCAGAGATCTCGTACCGTGGGGGTAGCTAGAGCCAACAATGTACATCTTTTCGTTCAAAACATTTTCTCCCCGATTTTCTTTATTTAGATCTAATTTTCTGATTTCTAAATCAGATGTAAATTAGGTCGGTATGTCATTTGTCCTAATTGCAGTTATCAAAATTTGATAACTTAATATTAAATGTATAATTTACGGACTTACTTGTATGAATTATCCAATTTGCATCTCAGAACTGTGAAACAGTACGTTCATGTACTCGAACATAGGGCTATAAGACTTTCTCGGATTAATCATTAATTTAGGATCTAAATAAGCAAGCTATCGTAAGTCAAATAAGCTATATATATGTTATTTTTAATTTTATTATAATTGCAGCAGTTATGAGGATGTAAAGAGTGAAAATCTCGTTGCATATCTCATTCATCGCGGTCCGGTCGAACCGAACCATTTGTTCCGTACAGTCCCGTACAGTCCCGATAGGCCATACTTCAGTCTCTATAATCCGAGGTCTAGTGGAGCCAGACGTAGTCTCAGTGGAACAACCGACGACTAGAGAGACTGAAGTTTTCGGTCTAACTAATACTGCCTTTGGTATTCTTATATTTTTCCAAATTCAATTGTATTATAATATTTGTTGTAGTACAAATTATGCAGATATATTAGACTGTGCTGCATAATAGCTCTTGATTCGCTTAAAATACTACAACTAACAAATCTCATTGAAATGAAAATATGTGCTTTTACTTAGATTTGATTTTAAAATACTTAGGAATATTTTTATTCTCTCATTTTCAATGTCCAGCTGGCATGGAGACTACACTGCAGTGCTTAATAATGCATCAACATCATCAGCTGGTGTAACCATGATTAAGTGAACTTGTGAGGTCCTTGATATGACAAACAGATGAACAGGGAATGAGTCTACATCTACACCTGATTACCCAAAGGGAAGCTTCATAGAGTCGTCAGCTGTGAAAACCGATGGAGCAGTTTGGCCAGTTAAGCAATAGGCTGAATATTTCAGGACTGCAATACAAGTGTTGATGACAATCTGTTGACATTTGAGAATGAGTCTACATCTACACCTGATTATCTGAAGGGAAGCTTCATAGAGAACTTTGTCAGCTTTGATGAAAACCCATGGAGCAGTTTGGCCAAGCAATTGGTTGAAGAATTCAGGACTGCAATACAAGTGTTGATGACAATCTATTGACATTGAGAATGAGTCTACATCTACACCTGATTATTAAAAGGGAAACTTCATAGAGTCGCTAGCTGTAAAAACCCATGGAGTAGTTTGGCCAAGCAATAGGCTGAATAATTCAGGACGGCAATACAAGTGTTGATGACAATCTGTTGACATTTGATTGAGAATGAGTCTACATCTACACCTGAAGTGAACCTTGTGTCAATTTTAGCCAACCAAACCCTACCAGCAATTCACAATGGCAAAGCAAAAGCAAATCAACCTCCAGGTGCTTCTGCTCCTGACTGGGGTATTCTTCACAGCTCTATCAGCTGCAAAGGCCTGCTTTGTTCCATATGTCTCTATCTACCTGAGACAGTTAGGTCTGTCAGCCATGCAAGTAGGAGTCATATTGGGTTGTCAAGGTTTGCTCGTAGCCTGTACAGCATCCTGCATCGGGAGGTTCCTGATAAGATTCCGGTATGCCAGGTTGTTCTTGCTTCTTGCTATCGTCCTCTACCTAGGAGGAGTGTTGGGTTTCACCCTCATCCCAACTTCTAGCACGGCTCTGTTTCAAGTATACTGCGTTGGTTTTAGCAACAACACAAACAACACGGCATCATCTGGTGTCTCGAATGCCGTAGTTTTGCTTCAACAAAATGACAGTCATCGAGAAGTTGTATCGACTGTAGCAACCAAAGTACCCTCTCCCATGTCTCCAGAGAACCCAGTGACAACTGCAAAGGTGAAGAATTTGCCTGAAGTACAGGATATTAGCTTGAAAACCACCACGCATCTTGCTCCAGTAATTGAGAATCTCCCTGGCACAGTTGCAACGGTCGAGAAGATTCAAGACACTTTGACAGAATCAAAGGACAGTCTGGTACAGACAGTAAATACAATGGATGAGGTACATGTAGACCCTGAAAGTGTTGCTGAACCTCAATATGAAAATATGCAGAGCCATAAAGCAGAGGAATTTGATACCCAGGACTTTGATAGCCAGGCATCATCCCCTACTGCTGGTAGCTTTCCGAGAAGTCGTCACCGACCAGGTAACAACAACAGACAATACCCCAAAATGGAAGGTGATCCTTACGTACCACGAAAACGGTATCGGGGTCAGCAGTTGCATAATGACCAGAACCCTGGAAGGTACATGGGTGAGTCGCTGGATCCTCTTCCAGATTGGAATTGGCAAACTGAATCTCAGACGGACTTTGATACGGAGAGGTACCCTGCATGGGACCGGGATCAGGATCACCAAGGGTTGCAAGACAACAAAGATGATCATGATGGATATAATGAGGATGTCCTGGACTGGCTTCTAAGAAACGGAGCGGGTCGAACTTCATCTCATGGTCAACAATATTTGAGGAATCGAGTTAAGAGGAGTGATATTATTGCCAATGAGACAACAAGCATTACTCCCTCCAAAGAGGAAGATGCTACAGGACCGTCTACAGCAGTAACCACCAAGGAAATTGATGATGCCACTTCAAATGGAATTTCAAGCACATTCTGGTTGGCTCTGCTTGTAGTTGTCATAACAGGTACTTTTGCCGGACCCATTGAGCACATGTGTGATACAGCCCTGTACCACCAACTAGATAACATTGATGAACTGGACAAATACAAGAGGCCATCTCTACTCACCATGCCTGTGTTTGCTGCCATGGCGCTCGTGTCAGCTCTCGTGGTGGATAGCACTGCATGTTTCCTTTATGGCAACGCGAGTCACATGGCTATCCACTTCTACTTGAGTGCTGCTTTCATTGGTGTCGTATTTCTGGTTGGGATAATCGTTCCCCTCAGCCACAAGATCAAGAATCAACAAGAAGGCAAGTACATCAAAAGCATCAAGTTCCTGTACAGTGACGGTCACACAGCAGTGATGTGCGTCACCCTGGTCGTGACAGCCATGATATCCTCTTGCAGCGACGGCTTCTTGTTCTGGCTGATCCAGGATCTGCATGGATTAGAAACTACCATGGGTGTCAGCTTGGCAGTGGCCTTCATGACTGAGCTACCTATGTCAATGATCTTCACGCCTTGGCTCGTCCAGAAGTTGGGGAATGTCTGGCTGCTGGCCTTGGGTACCGCCTGCCTGGGACTCCAGAATCTTTACTACTCTGTCCTTTGGACACCATGGGCAGTTGTTCCCATCCAGCTTCTTCATGCTCTTGGCAGGTCGGCCATCAGAGGGTGCATCTTGGCCTTCCTCAATGAAGCATCTCCACCAGGGATGGGAAAGGCCATCCAGGTGACAGTTCTTGCTCTGGAGCAGGGGGTGGGAATGGCCCTGGGTAGCATCTTGTGGGGTGTCCTCTACGGAATCCTCACCGTGAAACTGATCTTTGTAGCGGCGGCCATCATGGCCCTGGTATGGACTGTAGTCCTCATCATCTGTGCTTGCAGGCTGCCAACGAAGAAGCGATTCATGTACGCCAAGCTGTTGCAGTCGGACATGGAGATGGATATGAAGGGAGGAGCTTTTGGTAGTGACTCAGAGGACAATGAGGAGAAGCAATGGTTGCATGATGCCATCAGGGATGAAGATGATGGAGAGTAAGTAAGAATTCCACACATCAATGATTCCTATATCTATAGACATCCATTCCAAATGTTTAAATCCTTGTGCATTGTTGACTGAAATTGTGGCTGATAGAGATAAGTAACCATTTCTAAAACAGATCTAATTTTGCGTTGTGCCCAAATCTTGATGTACTGTAAGTAGATTGAAGTTGGAAAATGTTCATTAATCAAAAGATCTCTTAGTTGTCGGTAGTCAAAATTGCAGACAATTAGCATTTTCCTTCATCAAAAATAGAATTTAAAAAAGAGAGGCATACTGTATTGAATTTCAAGCATACTTGTACATCAATGCTCTGAAACAGACATCCATTCAGAAAGATATATATTATGTACTTTATATAGTCTTGTGCAGCTGTGTTTTGACTAGAAACACAAGAGTACTAATGCAGTGAATTTTGACTACAGTGTGTACTTATAATTCAAATTATCAAGTAGCAGTAAAGTTATTGTAACATGAGTGATATATTGACTGTCTATTCCAAATTTATTTTAAAAGCAAGGTTGTTCTTATTTTATGCCATTTTCAAGGAAGAATTGAGTGTTGTTGACCAAGAAAGGCAAGTAAACAAGTTAATATGGGTTGGATGATTTTTTTATTTTTATTTACTAAAGTACTTAATCACCATGATGCATTACTACTTCACACAAAAGAAATTGACGTTATTATTAAACTAACAGTGCTAGATTTGAAAGTCAATTGAACCTTGAATTTTAAAAAAAAATGCTGGGCCTCATATACATGTAATATCTTTCCTTGCCTCTTAAATGATATTTATACTGAAGAAATTGTGAAAGTTTATATGGAAATAATATTGATGGCAAATACAAACAGATAATTTAAAGAAATCTTGTTGGAAGCAATTCAGCTATGATTCAAATGTGTTCAATGATTTAATCTTAATTATACCTTGATTTGAAGTTTTGAACTTTATAAGTTTTCAACAGTTATTAGCATCAGAAAAGAAAACCAGCTTGAAAATTAAGAGCTTTCTTTTGCTGAGATATATACAGTATGTGTGACTGATGAAAATGAGGAAGGTTCTCATATTTTCGTGAAATTTTCCTAAATGTATAAATTGTACACCATTCAGTGCTGGAGATGACAATTTTGGGATGTATGCTTATTGCATAGTTTTATCACAATACTTGGGCAAGTACTGAAAATCTCTTTCATTGTAGGTCCATGCAGATATAACTAAAACTGTTCAGGCATATTTATGAACAGGATGAGTCTTCATGAAACTATTTCATTGACTACAGAGTATAAAGAAAAAGAATATAACTTGTGCAATATGATCTGATTACAAAATGAATTATACATGTAGTTATATGTGTAAATATCTTATTTCAGAGTGTGGTAATACAGTAAACAACCAAGTTATATACATGTACGGTACCCTTACCAAGTTTTGTAATTTTCCAAGTAGTTTTCTATAACATGTTTCTTGAGAACTGGCTACCTACATGTAAGTGTGACATACCTGTATTAAGGTTCACATCTAAATGTATTCAACAAAGGCCCTAATTCAACCAGTTCACCTTTCATTCTTGAGTTATGAAAAACACAAAATCATCAATTTTACAAGGAGTATTAATAATGAAGCTGTTAACTGTATTCTAATTCTGTAGGTGCATATACTTTAATCTCACCTTGCTTGTCATGAACACCATACATGTAGTACTATAAATTTTATTGGCAGGTTATAGAAAATGAAAATGATTCTTGTATTCTGATGTACATTGTAGGCCTGGCTACTGTACGTAACTACGTATACTATATAAAGACTTTGTACCTATAGAGCGACAGAGATGTAGGCCAAATGTATAATCAACTATTACAACAGTGCAATCTATCTGAAACTTGATAAAAAACAACTCAAGAAACATTGCCATGAGTTACTTTATATTTTTGGTAGCTGATGAAATGCAATTTCAAAGTACAAATGTACATATACATTTAATATTCTAATGTACAATGGCATTGACTGTATTAGTTGGATGAATTGTCTGTTTGGGGCAAGAAGAACATGCAGTATTGATTGTTAATATCTGTTACTCTGTTCTTACATGTATATATATCATTTAAATATTCAGGAATAGTGAAAAGAGTGTACGAGAGGGGAAAAAATCAGGTAATGGTTAAGTGTGCTTGATAATTCATAGCGAGTTCTGTTTGGTCACAAACACAATAAAGGACCACAGAAAACAGAAGAAGTTTTGAGAGATCTTCTTATTCTTAGGATTGCTTGATAATCAGTTGTACTGAAAGTAAATATGTGTGCAGTAAATTGTACACAGTCTAATGTACACTCTTCATTGCTTCAATTATCAGTGTACATATTTGTACATTTGTACATTATCAAAAATGAGTAGCTTTCCTTGTTAGAATCTGAAAGATACTTAATAATTTTGACAAAAGTGAAAATGATGATTGTAACCCTTGCTTGAATCCCCAAACTCAGTGTTTTATTCAGCACATTTATGCATTCCAAATGATAATAGTACTTAATAGTAGTCTTTACGTTAACTGAAATAACACATATATTGTAGATTATTGCTGTACGATGTTGCTATAAATGTTGGTATTTGATTTTTGTGCTCTTTAGTCAATAGTCATTATCAATTACATGTTTTGTTCGTTTGGTTATTTATTTGTTTCTGGGACGAGTCATACGATAAACAATTCTGATGGGCTTGAGACAGTCTCTAACCTATGTACAGTGTATTGCTGGCCATGGTTCAAATTTTTGTTTAAAGTTAATTCAGTCTAAAAATCCAGAAATGTAGATACTTCATATGTAGTACCTATACTGTACATAACTTTATATCAGAAATCAGGACATTGTTTTGGTCATTTATATTATTTCTTGGCACTTTCATGCGTTATATATCCCAAGTTAAAATGAGTTTAAAGATTTTTCACAGTACTTATGAAAATTATTAATGAAACTAGACCTTGGTATGAACTTTTGGTTGATGGAAATATGATAGTTTTAATGTTTCATTGAATGTACATGTACTGTACATGTAGGTTGTTGAAGGTTTATGTATTACATGTACTTTGTATTTTGTTTAAACATGTTGTGCAGTACTTTATTACAATGCTTTCATTTGACTTTTAGAATTGGTAACTCCTTTCCCTACACAATAGTGAAAGTGAAACAAAACAATAACTAGCATGTGTGTACTGTACAGTACATGTACTTAAATTGCAGTACATAGAATTTAATCATAAGAGTCATCAAATCAGTCATATAATATAATATAAAGAATGGAATAGATACGGGGAATTTTAAAAAGACAAGGTTCATAATACCTTAAAATGACCTACGGTACCCAATTATGCAAAATGTTTTTTGGAGTGCTCTATGCTTAAGAGGAAAATATGAATAACATGTCTGTTTTTTTGTATCTCACAACATGTACGAATGAGGTTATGCAATTTTTGTTATTGTCATTTTCATTTGATGTCATTTGTGCTATTTTGTATTTTTTGTCCATTTTGTTATATTTTCCCACTGGTTATTATGATTTATAGCAAGATATAGTCTTTCATTTTATAGAATTTGTAATAAACAGTAAGATTATCCCTTTTTTCATAATTTTGTTTGCCGAAAAGATGAATGATTTTTCAGTTATACACATATTTGGGGGTTGTGTGTCTGTCAAGTAACACTTGAACTAGCGATTTCTTTATTCATCACAGTGCACTAGAGTAATAGCTGCACTATATAAATTGATCTGATTATTATTATTAATGTTGTTATTATTAATGCTTTCATGATAGAAATTTACAGCAATAGTAGGTGTATAGGGCATTGAGTGCATTTTGAAAGTTTTCATAAAACATCATCGAAAACACTTGCAAGACATCTTTAATCATTTTCAAGAAAATTCAATTAAAACCAAGCACTGTGTTCCTTTTCTTTGATGAATAAACCCTTGAGCCTGTGTTGCTGGAGAAAATTGGGGGATCACAAAATGAAAAAGATTGCTAGTAGTCTGATGTAATACCTACTTGTGCTCTTGCTTTTGGAAAAAAATAAATGTTAGTCATGATAGAGAATTGGAAATATCTGATCTCAGAATGATTATTGAGAGGAAATGTTTTAATATTTTATATTGTATTAATTGTACGACCTCCGGTGATGTAATCAACATAATCTCTTCAATCCATAATCGTTAATGTGTTTATTTGTCTGTTCACAGCCAAAAGGGTGTTAACTTTGATTTAAAGTACATGAATTAATGCCCTTCTAGCTCCCTCTTCTAAAAATTGCAAAGGGAGAGAAGAAAAAGAGTGATTATTTACTATTTTGAACTTGTATTCATTCTAGGCTAATTCATTCCATTACTTACATTCTACTTCTTAAGAAAGTACTACAGTAAGAGTAAGAGCTTGTATCTTATGTCCATTTATGCCAGAATATTCTCTTTGAGTTTGAAATATATATGTATATATATATATATGAATGCATCATTTGCAGATAGAATGTATTTATGGCTATCCATATAGAAGCACCTTGCTGTGTAATATAAAAGCAATCTTTGAACTATTATATAATGTTATGGAGGAAAAATATAACAATATTTGTTCATACATTGTTCACAAGCTACTGTACAGTGTTGACCTTAAATTTGGAATAAATTTTCTCACCTCTTTTCATGAGATGATTGTATTACAATATGATTTATTCTTGATAGATACAATTTTGTATCTTCTCAGAAATTTACTTATCAATAAAGAGTGATCAATACAGATTGAACTGTAAAGTCATGAGAAGACATAAACTTTATCTTTCAAGAATAAATCATATTTTCACAATCATTTCAGGAATGTTGTCATTTGCAAAAATATCACAAATTGTGCAATGACTCCAATGTCCTCCCCCCCACCCTCACATGGTGAAACCGTAAGCCTACTGTATATCTACGTCACCATGCAAGCCGATACTTATAAGCAGCATCTGATATAATATTCAGTGTGTCTTACCTAATTTGATTTATTCAAAAGTGAACTCATATTTCCATGACTTTCTTAACATAATTCTGGTAAAATCCTGTGAAGCAGAGGAAAAAAAAAAAACACTGTATTTTCGAAATAATATCGTTAAAATTGTGCATACTTTCAGATATATTTGCTGCTGTTGATTTGTACTACACCAATGTGTAGAAATTGTGTTCATTGTTATGATTTATATTCGGTGTATATTTATGTTTGCAATAGAATTATTAAAGCAGCTTGAGAAATTCTGCCATTAAAGATGTGTGACCCTTTGTGTATATTTCGTCTGCCTTATTCACATTTATTCATTTGAATGAATTGTATTAATTATTGATGAGTTATTGAAAAATTGGATTTCTGTCGAAGGTTGTGTGCAGTAGTGCAAGGAGAAAATAGATGAGTTTTAGTGCCATGCATTTTTAGATTAATTTATTTTCAAAGTGCGACGTTAGCTTTACCTGCATTGTAATGGCAGTAGGATCTAGATCGATTTAAGTGTTGTTTCAACACCCTCCCTCCGCATCCAATTATTTTAAGCCGCCTGCATTGTGCATACATTAATATTTTTATTTGGAAGGGATGTGTCTGCATGGGAAGAGGACTCGCAATAATGGTTCTTCTGTCACATATGAAAGAAATTCATTAATCAGAATATCAACTATTGCGTTTGAATAACTTGTTTAAATCAAGGACAAAAGTGATGACAT